GCGTTTCTTCTTCTCTTCTTTCTCGCGCTTCTGGCCCCAGACTTCGTCAACGTCCAGGAGCTCGATAGCGACGAGATCGCCTTCAAGCGCACGGTTTCGGTCCTTGCTACCACAAATGAAGATATCAGCGTCAAGCAGACCATCCTGAGTGGTAACATAAGCATCACTTCGGTTCTTCTTGTTGACACGGAGGATACCGGACACGAGCTGCCCATCGGCCAAAAGAGCGGGGAGGGAGGCCTGAGGGAGATAGGGGGTAAAAAGGGTCTTTCGCTGCTGTTGCTGCTGCTGGCCACCAAGCTGACCAGCATGCTGAGAGCCCTGGAGACCCATAAAAGGCTGGCCATTCATTTGAGCGGCTTGCAAAGCCTGTAGCTGGTTCAGCTGCATGGGGTTGAGCTGCTGCCCATACATTTGTTGCATCATCATCTGATTAGGGAGCTGCATAACCTGAGGTTGGGTGGGGTTATACTGAAAGCCTCCAATTCCAGAGACGGACTGGTTCATAGATCCGCGAGGTCGGTGACCAGGCTGGAAGCCTTGGCTCTGTCCGGCATTGCCAGATTGTTCCTGGCCCTGTCCTTGAGTACGCCAGTTACCTTCGAAGTTGCGAGATCCGGTACGGGCATGGCCGCTTCCGCGGCGTTGAAATTCATTGCTTTCGGCATTCAAACCACCACGGCCGCCGCCTCGGCCATTAACCGCCATGCTCTGACTGCGGCCATGGCCGCCACGTCCACCGCGAGTCGACCCCTGAGCAACAGGAACATCAAGGGTGGACTGGGAAGCGGGCTTATTCTCCTCGTCAGGGGCAGGAGAGGCAGGGAAGGAGAAGCCGGTGGTTGTTCGCTTCTGTTGGGCAATCTCGGCGGCCTTCTTGGCGTCGGCGAGGGCTAGAGAGTGTCTTCTTTGATGACCACCACCAGCACCTCCACCACGACCGCCTCGGCCTCCAGTATTCTCTCGGCTCTGGGCTTGAGGAGCTTCGAAGTTGCCAAAGCCGGATCCAGAAGCACCAGAGGAGGGCGCAGGAGGAGGTCCCATGCCCATGTTAGGGAGTGCCGACTGATTACGGCGATGTGAGAGTGGCTGGGTGGGAGGAGCCATGTTCTGCTGAGGTACTTGATTGGGGAACTGGAAAGCAGCTTGCGACATATTGGGCATTGGCTGCAAAGGATTGAACGCACCACCAGGGCCGAGAGGCTGTCCCGGAGGCACCATTCCCATATTGACATATTGCTGATGCGTAGCTTGAATCTGCTGCTGCTGTTGCTGCAACAGTTCGATCTGCTGCTGAATGGCAAGCTGCTCCACTATAGGATAGACCTGTTAGTATATTGCTGTGTAGGGAACTTCCATAGCTATGGCAGGAGCATCATAGATGATGACTTAGAAACGTATGGAACAGTCACTGCTTAAAGGGGTATGAGAGTATGGTGAAGGCACAAGATGACGTATAGAGAAGGGATGGAAACAAGACAGTTGAGACCTCATGAACTTACTTCCAGGGTTAGCAAACATGCTCATCAGTGGCGTCAGCTCAGAAGGGCTTCGGCGATGGGCAATGTGAAGTCTACGCCCAGCAGGCCCAGGGACGCCGCCAACCTGAGGCTGCTGCTGGGAAGCTTGCTGTTGAGAAGACTGCTGCTGCTGCGGCTGCTGTTGCTGCGGCTGCTGCGGGGGTTGCTGTTGCTGCTGCTCCATGTTGGGCAGTTGAGTCAAGAGCACTTGGATTGTAAATATAGCACGTCGATGCCCGGCGAAGGTGATTGATCAAGATACAGCTAGTTGGATCTGATATCGAGAAGCGTTGTAATGGCCGAAGATGGGCGGTTGGGTGAGGATGGGCGAACCTGTTGGGTAACGGGCAATGGATGAGGCGAATTGCGATGGCGATAGGCGATGGCACGGCGGGACAATGTTTGCCCAAAAGGAGGGTAGACGAGCTTGCGCTGAGCCAAGGAACGTGATTTGGAAAGGCGGCGATGAAGAGGCAGATGGTGAGACGACGAGAAGTGAAAGCCTGGATGGATGGAACAAATTCCAACTCCTGGCGACAGGAAGAGAGACGAGAGTGAGTTGGAGGAGAAGAAGAGGAGGGATGGATGCGAAGAAGATGATGGATGGGTGGATAGGTAGGTACCTAGATAGAGATGGTTTAGCTTCAGTGGAGAGCGTGAGGTGGGATACGGCTAGGTTAGTACCTACCAGGTAAGTTTGTACTGTACCTTCTGGTCTAAATTTACGTCTGTCTTGCGCAGCTGGTAAGAGCCTGATATCAGTACCTTCCCTGTCTGGGTCCTTGTCTCCATTAGCAGTACTAAAATGGAAACTAAGAGGTGCAATAATCGAAAGCTACTGCTGTATTTCTCGCACCGCTTTGGCTGGGCTTCACGACCTCATGGGCGCAAATGAATATCTGGGGCCATTTGATCACAGCTCTAGCATCCAGACAGCTGGACCGGGGGATTATCCTTAGAGACGCCTAAAGATGGGGTTGTCCGTTGGTCTAACGCAGCTCTAGTGGCCTCCAGCCGGGCCTGGTAGAGCCCCTAGCACCTGAAGCTCGCACTGACGCCGGCTGACTCCGCTAATAGCGGGGATGCTATCTCCTAAGTGCCATGGATAATGGCTGCAGAGTCTAGACAACTCGTACAACTGAAACTGTCGGCTCCTTTCAGTCTCTATCCTTAATGAGATATGTCAAGAACACATTGCTAGGTTCAATTCACCGAAATATGTGTCTTGCAATAATTGTGTTTGTTTTCAGGAGCTTCCTGAATCCTCCTCACAAAGACGGTCGAAGTTCACATACAAGGGTACCACCACCCCCCAGCTTGAGATTGGACATGGTCCATGATTCAAGGAGTCGATCTTTCTGAATGTGGCGTTGAGGGATGAGAAGGGCGTCATCTGGAGTAAATAGAGTGAAATTTGATAAGCAAAACGGGCGATGGATCATTGTTCATGTTCACCTTACTGTAAGACAGTCTGCTTTGTTATGGAGCTTATCGAGGTTTTCAAATTAAGCTGATTAATATACGAACAGTTGGGATTTTACGGATACTAACCGTGGAAATAGCTGGTCTTTATTAGCTACTAGCTGACGCCTTTGCTTCGAGGTTGAAGTGAGACGAACCCATTCAGCAAAGGACAAGTCTTCGCTACGTTTCAATACCTCTACCGTTCTCAGCACCCTGGCACTACTATTGTCAAACAATGTCGAAACAGGCTCCTCCCCTAAACAAAAACCTCGAGACCGACTACCGAGTACTCGTCTTCATCCTCTACGCGTCCAGTGTTACACTTCAAAGCGTCCTAAACGAACGAGGCCATGTGACTACCCAATGTGGTGATGCTTAACCGTATCCGCCTACGCTAGGGGCGACGAACCTGGAACCCCTTGCTTCAAGCCATGGATACACAACCGAATCCTTGCAGCTTAAACATAACAAAGGATGAGAAAGGAAGTTACCCTCTTTCTCTATACGTAGTCAGAAGATAGTTATGGGTTATCATGAGACCCAAATTGTACTCAGAGAACGGGACAGAAGAAATTTTAAAAGTTATTAGGAATAAACTAAGTTTAGGTATTCTAAATACTAATTATTCAATCAAACAGTTCTGACACTACCTAACATGAGGGAACTGAATATTCGTGACCATCTGTTTCTCTTCTAAGGTTGGCCTTTGCACGATTTATTAACCCAATAAAAATGGGAGGAATCCCTAACTCACGTCATCGAGGGGCAGTTCATAGTCTCACTGACGAAATTTGATGTTGGAGCTTCTCAAGTGATCTCATCTACATTCCACCGTTTCTTCCACTGGGATCTATCTGCATCGCTGGAAGTACCGTACCTAATACTGTGCAGATCCAGTCGGCTTCATATTACTTTATTTCCACGAAAACCGAGATAATCTACAAGTAGTCCACAGCCGACCAGTGACTTCGTGGTGACTTGATTTTCAAGGAGCAAGGATGAAATGATTCTTTGCTATGTCGAAAACGTTTCAAGCCCTCACTAAAGTGAAAATCGTTCACGAAGAAAATATTAACAGCTTCCAATAGAAAGTGTTAGCGGGTCCGGAATTGGTTGTGCGCTCAACAGTGCCTCATTTGGCATTTCAGATTCCTACCTTATTTATATTGGCTGACTTGCGATACTGTTGTTGCCGTAACAGGCATGTCTAGAGGTTGTCATGTGTATACAGTATGTACATATCACGTATTATGTTGGAGATAATCTCGAGCTTAAGAAGCCCGGTCACGTAAATCAACACGGATTCCACCACTTTTGTTCACTCTTGGTGTTCAATGCCCTCAGTATCTCAGCCTGGCTTCGGTGGCTTCGAAGCCAACTTCCGCATACCTCGAATAGAGCTTAAGAAAGCTACCTTACACAGATGGCCAGCAACGGCCCGGCCCTCGGCAGTGAATCACGACCATCGGTGTTCTAGATTCGAGCCACCAACAATGCAACCCTTCAGTCGAGACACCCCATCGTGCCTCACGTTGTCTGAAAGCTTCAAATCGACTGCCTCAACAGTTCAACGTTTCTTGGTGAACCTCAGAAATTCGAGGCATCCTTAGGTGCGGCCATCACTTTGCATTGTCGAGCAACTACCGTCGATCTCACTGTTCTTTATGTAGACAAGAGACCGCGCTGTCGAATGCGTTTATTACCCAGAGAAAGGTTCCCATTTCTGTTTACCCGTGGTCAAGGAGGTACATGGGCATTGTCGAAGCCATGTTTCACAACACTGGCCCCATCCTTTTAGTTCCTTGAATCATGTTCATCAGTGTAGGGTACCCTACCCTCATGATGTGGCTATTCTATGTATCTGTGGCGCATGTCGGGGCTTTATTTTAGCGGACCGAGCTGAATCCACCACCTTTCAAAAGTCAGCTATACCACTTCCGACTAGCCCGGTCGTTCAATAGTCGACAATAAGGACCTGGTCGTACAATAGGAACCACCTACCTGATGTTTTGATCCAATGGATCGACATCCAGCCTCTTCTAAAGGGCTACCTTAACACGATTTATCAACCGCTGTTATAAACCTTACGCGACTTCGGCAGTTGACATTTTCTTCACCCCCTCCTTTTTTTTCTGCAGAAATCAAAGATACATTTGTTTTCTTCGTGCCACCGAAAGCCAAAATACGTTGCTCTGTGAATTCGAAATCTTTCTCCGTCCCAGATGCGATCCCAATAACGGACCCGGGAGCTGTTCGTATACGACATGACATTCTCGTCGCCCGTGAGGCGCAATCAGTTGCTTTCCAGCCCGGATCGCAACATAGCAGCAACATTTCTTCTCGACTCGCGAAACAATGAACTAAACCATCGAGATGCTCTGGCTGCAGCACAACTAGAGCATGATCGCGTACGCCAAGCAGCTATACGAGTCTATGAGCTCCATGAGTTACAGGAAGAGCACAAGCGCATCATTGCTGAGGAGCGCAGAGAGGAGGAGAGGCTCAAAGCGGAAGCTGCTGTAGTTGCGGAGGAGAAAAGGCTACGGGAACTCAAGGCGAAGACGGTCCCTCATTTACCCCCAGAGCCCGCACCGCAACCACCTCCCCCAGCCAAACAGGAACCTACGAAGACGAATGGAATAACTCAAATCAAAGATGCGACACCCGCCATAGATGCAAAGAAACCCGTTGCCTCTCCTACGACAGGCCCGGCACCAGCTTCCGGTACGACAGCAAGTCTTACTGAAACTAAACCGAGCAACCCATTCGGTACCGCACAGCCTGCTTCACAAAGCCAATTACAAAAACCCAACGGGGCTACAACACAATCTGCAGCTCCAGCTGCTACGACCATTCCTCAGCCTGCAGCCAAGTCTGCAGCGCCCGCTGTACAGCCTGTGCAGTCTAAACCTGCACCTAGCATCGACCGCTATTCCCAGATCCACCAGGAGCTCAAGAAACTACGAAAAGAGTTGCAAGCTCAATCCAAGGTCCCCGGGTCGCCTCTTAAGGGCAGGCTGGGTGCTGCTCGACGAGAAATTCGAGTTGCTATTGGCCAATTGACGGGTGGAAAGGGTGCAAATGCCCAACCTGTAAGTCGCAAGCATCTATTTTGAGAGGATCACTAACATTTCTCAGATCAACAAAATTACGGCAGCACTGAAAGAGGCTTTGGAAGGCCGGATACCAAGTCCTCCGATCGATGTCAGTCTCTTTGTGGTTGACAAAAGAGAGCCCGTAGAAGGCTCTCTAAACAACGAGGCTACTCTGCCCTCACTCTTCATATATCTCATAAACATCTGCGCCAAGGGTATTGTCAGCCAGTTCATTAACGAGGGTGGCGCAAATCCCAAGGCTGCAGACCCTGTTGGTGTATTTGCAGCTCATATCTTCTCCACCAAGGAATTCCAATGGCGAGGTCAATCTCTAGTCGATATTCTCATGGCCAAATATCGAATAGTGTGTCCTGTGCTATTTGGCCACAGAGGCAGTGACAAAACTGAACGTGGCCGTATGGCAATCGGCTGGAAGAAGGACGGGCCATCATGGATTACCGAACAAAGCCATAACGATAGGATGACTGGCTTGGGCGCCGGTTTTGCTTCTCTGTCTTTGAGAGACTTCGGCAAATCTTCCAAAAAGAATCCCTACCCACCCACAAATTACTGGAGGGCGCTCGCCTACATTGTCAACTCACCGCCTAACGAGACGTCAAACACTCAATATGTGGTGCTGCGATCCATGATTCAGGGGCATGAGCAGCGCTTCCTCAATTTCTACGGCAATGCAGCTTTGGCAGCACTACGACTTGCTCTCATCGAGTTTCCCAAGAAGGCCCCGCAAAATGCTACTGCTGCTGGCTCCTTGGCCGCTCTGGCAGATGTGCTTAAGACCGAATCTGGGTTGATATTGACTTAGAGGCGAAGGACGCCCCGTTGTACGATCAACCGAATACCAACTCAAATAAACTCTCGGCCGGGATGTTAGGGGCGTTTACGAAATGGAAAACCGCTCTGTTGAAAGATGATCCATTCCGGGCATCGTTCTTGGCGGCGTGTTATGTGTTTGATAAACTTGTTAAATTATAAGCTGCCGTTGGGGTACAAAATGGCCGCTGCTGCTCTATCCTTCTTTGTAGTATACAGACCCAAGACAAAAAAAGAAAGATTCCCGGTCCCTGTATTGGTAGTCATAAAAGTGATCCCAGCCCAAACTCCAAATTCCCAGACATTATAGTGTCGTAAATGCTCTTGACAACGGAGCTATGCATTCGTCTTTTGACCTGGATGCAAGCATCACAGGATTAGAAGGAGAATCAGTAGCAGAATGAGGACAAATATCAGAACCGCTATACAGCAACTGCTGTATCGATCCTCGTTCTGCCGCATCACATACTGAAGTTTCTGAACGCCTGTTGCCAACCGGCCACCAACGCGATCAGCCACGTTATCTACTTCCTCCAACATCTCGCGCTGCTCCTCGAGCTCTCTGCCCATATCATCCGCCTGTCGACGCAAATTACCCACTGTTTGAAACACGCCATCTAAATGCTGATCCTGCTCGTGCATCATTTCCATCTGTTGTTGCTGCTCGAACTCAGCGTAGTTATCCTCGGCATCGCCATCAATGGCAAACGCATTCGGGTCAGGCAAGTCACTCGCGTCCACTTTCTTGGCGAGCTCATCGTGCATATCATCGATCTCGCCGCCGACTTCTTGAACGAGTCGTTTTCGTCGCGTGACTTCATGTTGTGAGAGGCCAAATTGCGACGGTTCGGATTCAACAGCCTGAACAGATGCGACCAGATCTGCTAGGTCGTCGGCAAGGGATGACAAGGCGGACTCGAGATCGGAGCGAGCTGATGCGAGTTCAGGAGAGTTGGCATCCGTGGAAAGTGAGCGGATCCGGAGATATGATGCGAATAGAGGCCGGGCATTCGCCATCTGGTTAAGAACATCTCTGTGCAGGTTTTGTTAATAATAACAACTAAGCGCTAGAAAGGTGAAGACGTGCTGTTGGACCTGGAGGAAAGGATCCTCGTCGTTGGTAGAGGACATCATCCTGACAACGTCAAAGTGACCATACGCAGTAAACACAATGCGCGAGGATTCTGCGCGACTTGGTGCAAAAAGGAGCGAGTTGGTGAGTAATAGGCCAGGTGTTTCACGATATTCGGGAGATGACGTTGCATGGACCCTGCAGGTGAGCTTAACCCGGAAGTCCTCGGTGAGATGCCAGCGGTACGTATCGTCTTCGTTCACCGAAGACTCACCTACAAATTCGACCTGCACACAACCTACTAAATTAAGAAAGATGGTTGTGATTGAGAACTCCGCAAAACTGCTTTTGAATTCATGTTTTAAAAGCACAAAGTTTATCTCATTGTCTCCTTCTTCGGATCAGAAAGTCTGCAGATTAGTCGAGTTCAGGTATTTCCTTGAGCTCGTTGATAACTTCATTTATATCCATACACAACTGCATCTATTCTTTGGACGATTTGTTTAAGTACCGTCGCCAGATAGCCAACCTTTCAACCTCAGAATTCGTATAAAAGCGCCAGCCGATCAGTAAACGGCAGATATATTGAACTTGTACGTATTCATTATGCTTCATCTGGCAGGCTATCACCACTGATAACTCTACAGGGTAGCACACACAACTTCAGTATGATACCAGAAAAACCTCTGCCATTTAATGGCAACTTCTCCTCGCCAGAGGAATATATTGATGAGCTTCTTAAATTTGTCCGAACGTCCGAGACTTTTCAGATTCTCTGTGGTGGGGTTCATATCCTTGACTTTTTCACCATCGAGCCTGGTCTCTTTCATTATGCCATTCCCAAAGAGTGGCACGCATTCATCCTCTCGAGGAGTCTCATGGAGTTTCTGGACCTTCTCATGCGGGATGATCTGGACAATCTAGAGTTGGAAGGAGAGCAACCACCAGCGACTCTCATAGAGTACATTCGAACAGTTCGTAATCTCTCTCTTGGCCGATCATTCACGCCTCCTTCAGAGAAACTGCCGGTTCTGCCACGGTCAGTAGCCGTGGGCATGAACGTCAAAAAAACACATGAAGTCACCAACTTCGCGGACTACTTGGCCCGACTATCAGAAGATATCAGTGCGCAGTGCGGCTATGGGATATCTCACTACGTGGACTTTGGTAGCGGCCAAAACTATCTTGGCCGGGCCATGGCAAGCGAGCCTTATAACAGGCATGTTGTAGCTGTCGAGGGACGAGAGAACAACGTCACGGCAGCGAGAGGTCTAGACGTGTCATCTGGACTAGCCGTTAAGCCTAAGGTCATGAGGAACAAGAAGCTATGGACAAAGATTTTAGAAGCGCGGGGGCCTGATGGTCAAGAGGATCCAGAGGCCTTGGCCAAGGCTATTCGTGAGGTTGCAGGAGATGAAGCTTTTGAGTTTAGACCTGTCAAAGAACTCGAAGCAGAATATACCGTGGAAAAAGGTAAGGGGTCTGTTCAGTACATCTCAGGTCGACTAGATAGTGGCGACCTGGCGGATGTTATTGCCCAAATCAACCCCGGGAGTCACACAGAAGACGAGAAGAAGGACCTGAGCCTGATGGCTATGTCAATCCATTCTTGCGGAAATTTGTCGCACTTTGGAATCCGCTCTCTGGTCCTCAATCCAGACATTCGAGCCGTGGCCATCGTTGGGTGCTGTTACAACTTGATGACCGAGAAACTCGGTCCTCCAACATACAAGCACGCGTTCTTGAGGCCAACTCTCCAAGCTGTCAACGGTCGGCTCGTTCGGGAATCAGAAAAGCATGACCCACAAGGATTCCCGATGAGCAACAAGTTTTCTGCATATCAGGGAGATGGCGTGCGATTGAACATCACAGCCCGCATGATGGCTTGCCAAGCACCGCAAAACTGGACCGAGAAGGAGAGTGCTGGATTCTTCTCTCGACACTTCTACCGAGCAGTCTTGCAAAAGATGTTTCTTGACCGAGGCGTGGTGAAGAAAGTGCGGCATACAGGTAGCCAAGGAGAATCACAGGCGGATGCTGCAGCCTCAACCCAGGATGACAGTGAGAGCCCCTTCGACATCAGCACCAATCCAGTCATCATTGGGTCGCTCAGGAAGAGTTGCTATGGGTCGTTCAAGTCCTATGTCCGCGGCGCAGTGGAGAAACTCACGACAAACAACGAATACAAACAGTATGCGGAAGTGATGCAGGAGAAAATGGGTGACATCTCAGACGAGGAGATCGAGAGATATGAGACAGTGTATCTGCCACGGAAGAAGGAGCTCTGCGCTGTCTGGAGTCTCATGGCATTCAGTGCGATGGCAGTTGAATCCCTCATTGTTTCAGATCGGTGGACATTTCTGAAAGAACACGACGATCTCGTCCGTCACGCGTGGGTCGAAACGGTGTTTGACTATGAACAAAGTCCAAGAAACCTGGTTGTTGTTGGAGTTAAGCGATGATTAAACTTTCAGCTAGGTCGTAATCGGAATGAAGTGAGTTGTCTCCAAGTGCTGATACCCGATCCTAACCGCATCCCTGGATGAGGCCCTCATTACAGGTGTGTCCATGATGAGGAGAGATGCAATCGGCTGCTTGTTGCTAGGTAATGAAATAAGAATATATTTGTGTAAGAACTGGGCTTGGTAATCCGTCGGTTGTGGTTATTGGTTGTACTAGGCAATATCGGGGCGTGGCTCTCCTAGATGGGCGATGTCATGCATGAACCCCCCTCCGCTTTCGCTCGACACTTCAGGAGTGACATCTTGAAGTGTACGACAGGACAGGAAGTTCCTCGGACGATCAGCGGCACAGAACAACAGGCCTGAGGTTAATAAGATTCAGGAAAATATATTTACCCGAACACGGTGTTGTTTATTTGATACATACTCAATAGTTCGTGGTTCTGACTCGCAAGATACCGAATGGTAGTTATCAGACGTGTTTGTCTCGAATTGTATTACGATATGATGAGGTGTAAGCCTCTACCCCGGAACCCTTTATCTCGTAGCCCACTTGGCGTTCCGTCCCACAAACAACAGGACAGCTGCCCCTCTTTGCTGATAGGTATTAATGAAGGAGCATCCATTTTCGAGGGCCTGCTGTCTAGCTGCGCTACTCAATTTGATCATGGGCTGCCCCGTATGGCACAATGGTCGGCATCTGGTGTCGCAATCGACTTGTCAACTTCGTCATGGTCCCCTTCAGTCGGGAGTTAACAGCGTGATATGCACTGCGTCACTCGTAATGCAAGGCAAATAAGCAGGACGATGCAATGCACAGGCATGCCTACCAACAAGCAGGAGGTCACGCACTGAATCACGGGTCCGGTCAATGGTGCCATTTTTGAGCCACTGACAAGCGTGATAGAGAAGTCAAGTATTAGACAGGGCTCCTTCAAAAAGAGCTTTGGAAATATTGCGCCCGCTGCAACGCCGGCTGTCGTGGGGTAATCACATCACCCTACATGGACAGTAGCACATTGATAATGGAATGGGATTCCCGAGATGCTGTGTTGTGTTGTAGTGTCAGAATATACCGAGGTGAGGTAATTCAAAGACAGTCTTATTTAGACGCGTGCAGCGGATGAGAGTCATGCAATGTGACGGTGACGGACCTGCTTAGAGGCATGATAGGCAACGACCCATTATGCCATCTTGATATTGAGGTTCCCCGACACGGGATTCGAGTATAGCTGATGGATTCAGGCATCGTGTCACTCTTGTTTGTTGGTGCTGAAAGCAAGGCAGCGACTGCAGGCCTAGGGACAGCTGACACCTGGAGGCACATTTGTGTGCTGTACAGAGATGCAAGCTTCTCTGTATGCGACTTTGAGGCGAAGTCATACCATGGAATCATGGATGCTTTTGATGTCTCGGCCATACCGATCCAACGTTGGAAGATAGGATGCGCGAAAGCTGGGGTTTCTAGGGTGTTTCCAATTGTGGAAAGCCAGAGGATCCTGTAACTAGGGTCCATCATCGATCGTTGGAGCTGACCCGAGCTGGATTCATGGATGTCTCCAAAATGACAAGTCTGAATTGTGACGTTTCCAAGGTGAAGAAAAGGGCATTTTCTATCCGATAAACTGCACATGTGACGGTGAAAAGGTGAAGCATAGCAAGGTAGCTGCTGGTCGGTGAGTTGCTACTAGTTGCTTGTCAACTTACAGAAGGCATGATCCCCATCCTTTCCAGACCAGCCTTGGATGGAGGATGATCTTTGGGTGCCTCACTTACGACAACGGCACACGCTCTAACCGAAAAACCATGAAGCTCACCTCATTCTCACCAGCAACCAACACTTACACATCGTCATCCTCCACAACCTTGTCGTTAGCCTGATGAATGCATTCAGGTTCAAAGATTGGCCGCTTACTGAATGGAATCAACTCTTACGCTGGCAAAGGTTGAGCTGATCAGGACAAGCAGCAACTCCGTATCCTTAACGTGGACGAGAGAAGAATTGAGATAGTGAATACTCGTTCGTTGTCAAGTCGGTAATTCCAATTTTTTATCAGGGACCACAGCCAGAAAACGCTACGATACAGCTCACCTAGCTCCTGACTATTGCCGTAGGACATGGACCATGGTTCACAACCTGACTTTAGGAGTTCTTGGTTGTGACCACTTGCCTTACCTCGCACACCACAACGCAAGGGTCTCGTCCTCTTCCGATCTCTCCAAGCCAGTGCAAGGATAGAGGGCAACTCACCACTTGCTTGCCCCACGCACCAACACCAACATCATTCTCAGATGGGCTCCTTCGAGAGAGTGCTCCAGGGGCCCGAACCTATCAGAATATCTGTCCGTCGTTCACTCCTACATCACGAGCCGATCTCAGGACGACTGTGACGCACTCATATCGAAGAAATATCAGTTTTTACTAGCAACGTAGTGAGAGCATGGTTGTCATGCCGCAGCGTTACATGGCACATTTCACGATGTTCTGTGCTCTAGGAGCCACAATCCAAACGTGTTCAGACATGGAGGACAGCTGATTCCTTCCAACTTTGGCCATACGCTTCCTGTAGTCGCTGTCGTGGAACGACCTCGGCCACAATCATAGATGCCATCTGCACTCTTCGGGCTCTGCCGTACCTGAACAGACGCAATGTGTCTCTGTGCATCGGACATTGGACCAAGATCTGCAACTAAGCAGCCCTCGAGAGCCTTTCTTGACACGAGTCTGTCTATCTCCCGTGGATAACCTTGATCAATGTCTGCCCATGTAAGTCTAAACATATATCGAAACCAACAGGCAAATGGGTATGTTCAGAGCAGGTGGAGCTAAACGGTTAGCTGCCAGCAGGGTTTTGAAAGTCAAGTCACTGGCAGCGAGGCAGAGAGGTTAAAGCCAGTGTCCTAAAAAGAGCTACCAGTCAGGATACCCCACCCATTCGTGTCCATCAACGTTTCTGCCGTCATAGCTCAACTCGACCAACTGGACTAGTTCCCAAGTTGGCCATGGCGCCGGACCTGGTCTCAGACGGCAAAACCCTGCCTGCAGGGCTGGGCTCGATCGAGGGACGTGCCCTTCCAGTTCGGCTTAGAGATAGCGATACTTGGAGCAGTTGAAGTTACTCTTTAAAAGGTAAGATCAGGAAGAGAGTTAATAACGTGGGTTTACCCTTATCGTGCCCTCCATTGTCTGGTCTGGACTTACCTCCAACTCTTTCTCAATCCCCTCACAAAACTCTTCGCCTTCAAATCTTGTCTGCACTCTAGACCAAGTCAAAGTTTACCGGGTTTCGGACATTGGCTGCTCCTTTGTCTCTTGTTCCTCTCCAACCTTAGCCCAAACCTTACAACAACGCTGAGACCAAACATCTTCATGATCGAGTCAGTAACTCGATTTTTACATCGCGCCGACTTGTCGCAAGCTACAATCAGCTCGACTCTGTCAACAGTAACACATTTGCATTGCGCTCCATCTACACCCTGACCCAATCCCGTAGCACAAGGGCCCTGGACCTCTCCAATGCTAGCCGTTCATCATGAACGCGCAGGTATCATTTCTTGTAAGTGTTACGCCTCCTCGCAAAAGCATTGATCTGTTGGTATATTAGCTGCAACAAAAATTAGGAGTAACTTTCCAAAGAATTACTTTGATCCTGACATTCTACCTCTAGGATGGCACATATACGCTGATTCACATCCCTCTCAGCCTCTACTCGACACTGCTCCAGCCAATCCTCCGAGTACTTCTGCCACAATCTCAGGGAACGGGAGGCTTGCGCGATTCGCCCGAGTACGAGTTACAAGGACTCACACCTGATGGCCAGCATGGATTTCTGAATATCAGCATCACTCCTCTTGAGTGTTCGGTTGTGTGTCATACCTCATGGGCTCAAAATGTCTTCGAGCCAGTCCTTAAAGCCATGCCGCGCGACATTGCGAAAACTGTTTCCGTTTCCCAAGAATCCTATATGGTACTTTCAGTCATAAGCGCCGGACTTGATGCAGGCGGTCGTGTGATGGAATTGACCTCTCCGCTAGCACTCGCTGGTATCCCCATATTCTTCATTACGACCTATTACTCGGACTTCATCCTAGTCCCCACGAAAGAGCGAGAAAACGTGGTCAAGTCTCTCATCGCCAAAGGCTTCGAGCTTTCCGACAACGAGTCCAACTTCATCACTTCCGCTGCCAATCACAAGCAGGGCACTGGTTTGTCTGCATCTTCTCCGCCACATGAGGGCCTCCCTCTTAATGTCGCTGAGTTGCAAACACGCATTTTTGGTACACTTAAGAAGAGGCATGTGGCACCTAAAATTGAGGAAGCGCTTGAATTGGTACAATGTTCTGGTCGCGAAGCATCGCAGCTTGCAAACTTCACCCATCAACGGCCTTCTATCAGCCGCCACGCAACAGGAAACGGCCGTCGACCAAGTTGGGCGGACAATGTGGATACAAAGCTCTATACATGCATAATCTCAGCGCTTGTCTCTCAGCCTCGCTTTATGTCCGTCACTCTTGCTCAGGATGATCCGCCGTCCCTCCTGCTCGACAAGAATCTTCTCGACATATTTGGCGACTCCCTCGTTGGGGACACAGATGCTAGCCTGATACCGATCTTCCTGGACTTGAAAACTCTTCCTCTAGAGGCCACGGGTATTGTTTGCGGTGTCGCTGGTATACTCGTACAAGACACCCAGATAGCGGCGAGTTCTGAATTATCTTATCTCTCGACTGCTCAGGCAGGTGCTGTGATTCTTTCCGAAGAGCAGTCTGTCAGGGCCATTGGTATATTGAAGCCATTGCTCAGTGAAGAGCTGTGATGCCTTGAGCTTGATCAATATACTTGCGATAGAAGATAAGACTGTTACATTGATGTAAAATTATGGAAAGCTCACAATCTATGAGGAGATAACGAATGGCGCAACGGAGATGGCGTTTGTTTTCTAAGAAGCCGGGCTGTTGGATTTGCGTGAAATGATTATGTGACTTTAGAACTTTAGTATTTAGGCAGGGGAAATGTTCCTGGAGATGCGTCTGACTTCTATATTGATACCAAGATATAGTACCTAGTGGAAGACTCAGTCGCTGAAGTTGTATATCCGTCTCCTGTATGGCAGCATGCCGTGAAAGTCCCTCTGCTATATTTGATCGTCCTTAGTCATTCTTGAGATCTTGGAAGTACTCGAACCTAGATTATTCGCAGGGCATGATATAGGTTGAACTCCTGGCAATAATTACGCCTTGGGATTGTTGAGCTTACCACTTAAAATACCGTGTTACAAAGTGCCTTCATCTAGTACATCGTTCCCCATGACTTACATGTCTTTCAAACTTGTCTTTACAAATTATTTCCGTGTCTAGAGCCCACTCTCCTTTAATATCAAACGGTAAGCTGACTTGAAGGAAACGGTCATGATATCAGGACCCCATTGCTCACTTCCCCTTTTTCTTCTCCTGCTTCTCCTCTTTTACTAACCCGGATTTTACAAACCCATCTCTAGCTACAGCATTGATGAGCGCAAACCTTCTAGGACCTAGCTGAACACCGCCGTACCACCTCGTCACCACCACCATGGCATCCCAGATATCCATGACCTGCATGAGGTGCAACATCCTCCCACCGGCAGCTGTCTCGCCATCATCGTCGCAGTCTTGGAAGCTTGTAGCCCCGGGCCCACGGATCCGCCATGCTGTCATGTTGTGCGTGGCGCTGCGTATGCGTTTGTCTGATGCGAGCAAAAGTTGGACGTAGTATCGAGCCTGATCAGGCGAAGTCACTCGTGCGACGTGTGCTAAGAATGTTGATTTTGACTCTGTCACAAGATCTGATAGGATCCATTCCGGAGGTGGAAAGTCTGGTTGCTCGTAGTATTCCTCTTCAGGTGTCGCTGGAGCTTGGGGCTCACTTTCGGGCTCTGGTTTCTGCTCCTCCGCACGCCGCGTGAACTCCTCCACAGCATCGAATAGACAAACTAGGCCCTCTTGAAATACTTCACCCAGGGCGTCACGGAAGAGTGCCAGATCACGAGCACCAGCGCCTTTGACACCGCCAGAGCTGTGGTGTGTGCTGAGGGCACTGGGGGGTTTAGAGGGATAATCAGACGGGAATCTCAGACGCAGAGAGGATGCGTCGCCTGGCAGTTTGAGGATAAATACAGAGGAGTCGTCTTCTGTTGGGACGAGGCTGCCATCGCCGTAGATGGAATTAATTGCTTCAACTTCATCCTGAAGTTCTTCGGACATTGTTCGGGGAGTGAGGGGTTGATTGAAAGGAGATTGAGGGTCTTGAGTGTGTAGTTTTTGAAATCGTCTTAACTTTATAATAGATCTCAAGCAATAGTATATTTGAGAACGTTAAAAAAACCCCCAATTAGGTCCATTGCAAGTCTAACAATAATGCTTCTTACAGCTGACGTTGAATAATGCACTTTAACTTGCAGAAGCCCCACATCAGCTCATCCATTTCACCTCATTGATCCACTCAATCTCCATTTCTCTCTTAGGCTTCCAGGTTTCCACAACCATCTCGTGATAAATGGATGTGATACAATGGCCTTGTATTTAGAACAAATTGATATTGAGCGAGTACACTAGACTACGGGGCGGCGCAAATAGTAATCGAATACCGGTCATCTTCTGACCTATCCCCCAACATGACCTATCTATAGCTTCAACACAGAAACAACCAGCAATGCAACATTTGTATTGTATTACTCGTCCATGACAGCCGCAAACTTGTCTGTCATCTTCTGTTGAATCTCCTCGTACTAGAATTTAGTTAGCACGCGCATTTTGTAGGTCACCAAAAATAAATAAATAAAGGACTTACTCTCTTGGAGATCACCTCCTGGCCATCAGTGGGAACCTCAAACTTCAACTGTCGCAGGTTGGCTTGCAGGTCAGAAGTAGCCTCTCGTACCTTGGCCCAGCTCTGACCCTGCGCAATAACTTTTTGGGCCTCGTCGTGGAAGCCCACCATGAGCTTCATCATCCACTCTGTCTTCCAGATAGGACAGAACTGGTCATAATCGGAGTAACCATTCTGCTGCAGGAAATCTTCCTTGATCAGGCCTGCAATATCCAATGTAATCTTGTCAGGGTCGGACAGGGCACTCTTTCCAACAAGCTGAACAACCTGGTCGAGCTCCTCTGAATCAGACAGAAGTTGCTTGATGCGGTCGCGGAGTCGAGGGAAGTCGGGGTAATTCTTCTCGTAATACTTATCCAAAATGGTGTTATACTTGCTGTAAGATAACGATGTATTGATGGAAGGGAAATGTTTTCGCTGGGCAAGCTTCTTGTCGAGACCCCAGAAGACCTGCACAATACCCAGAGTGGATGTAGTAACGGGATCCGAGAAATCACCACCGGGAGGACTGACGGCACCGACAATACTGACACTGCCCTCGCGCTCGGGAGAACCAAGAGTCTGAACACGACCGGCTCGCTCGTAGAACGAGGCAAGCTTGGCGCCCAGGTAGGCGGGGAAACCCTGATCAGCAGGCATTTCTCCTAGACGACCGGAAAGTTCTCGAAGAGCCTCAGCCCATCGAGAAGAGGAGTCAGCCATCATGGCCACGTTAAGACCCTGGTCACGGAAGTATTCTGCGACAGTAATTCCGGTGTAAATGGAGGCTTCTCGGGCAGCGACGGGCATGTTGGAGGTGTTGGCAATGAGCGTGGTTCGCTTCATGATAGGCTCCTTGCGGCCATCGACATCAATGGTGAGCTCGGGGAAATCCTTCAAGACTTCAGCCATCTCATTACCTCGCTCACCGCAACCAACATAGACGATAACGTCACTGTTGGAGAACTTAGACACAGACTGACTAATGACAGTCTTTCCGCAACCGAAAGCGCCGGGGATTGCGACGGTACCACCTTGAACACTGGGGAAAAGAGCGTCGAGGACTCGCTGGCCGACAATGAAGGGCTGATCGGCAGACTTCTTGTCGTTGGACGGACGTGGTACTCGAACAGGCCAGGACTGCATCATGGGATACTCTGTCTTCTTGCCATCGAATTCGACCTCGAGGATGTTGTCGACGACGGTGTACTCGCCCTTGGCAGCGATTTTGGTAACGGTTCCTCGTGCACGAGGAGGGAACAGAATCTTGTGGTTGGCGAGGAAAGAGTTCTCGAAGACAGAGCCCCAGACATCACCACCGGAAAGGTGGTCGCCGACCTTAACGGAGGGTGTGAACTCCCACTTCTTCTCGCGGTTGAGGGCAGGGACGGCGATACCGCGGGGGATGTAGATGGACTTGGCCATCTTGGAAATAGCCTCGAGGGGACGCTGGATACCGTCGTAGATACCGTTGAGGAGACCGGGACCGAGTTCGACGGACAAGGGCTTTCCGGTACGGGTGACAGGGTCACCGACCATGACACCGGCTGCGATGATGATTAGCTTGCTATTGTTGGAGGTTCATCATGGGCTGTCGTACATGTCTCCTCGTAAACCTGAATAGAGGCCTGATCGCCATTGATTCGAATAACTTCACCAACGAGGTTGTCATGTCCTACTCTGACCTGTAGTAGCGGTGGGTTAGATCGCGGCGGATGATGACGACGGAGGATAATAGCAACTGACCAGCTCGTACATGGCAACACCAATCATGTCCTCGGCCACGACGACGGGACTGTATAAAGTCAGTATGACATGTTGACCGTCAAAATCTCGGTTCGTATATTTTTGGGGGGTCGAGAATAGATCGCAGGCTGGAAAAATTGGTAGGTACTGACCCGGAAATGGAGTAGATTTTACCTGCAGATAGTGTTAGCGACACCGCAAGGTATTTTGAACTTGCTTGAAGAACATACCAGTTTGGTATCCATCTTCCTCATTGGTCTTGCTGCTGTTATTAGCAGCCTTCGCTGTTTTCTGTAGATGACCATGGGTCAGTATCAAGAACCAAGCAGCATAAAATGCGCCGCGTTGTCGCCAGCAAGCTTGGGGAGGTCGGGAATCAACGCACGGGAGGCATCTTCAGCGGCGAAACTGGCGCTTTGTCTAATTGAAAATGAGGAGAGGTAGGAGAATGCGGCGACTCAGGCCGGATGGGAGATGCTGTCGAACCGGGAGAGAGGTTTGACGAAGGAGGCGGTTGAGATGAAGGTGAATATGGAGACAGAGATGGAGATGGTGGTGGAGAGTTTGGCAGAGGCACTTGACGAGCTACGTCCACCAACGCTAGAGCTGCTGCTTTCCCAGCTCTTGAGTGGAGCCAGGATGATGACGATGCTTTGCGGGTGGGGTCTCGAACAGTAGCAACGTTAACGGGAGGCGCAGGGGCTCTATCACTGAAGCTCCCTCTGTAACGGCTACCTCTGGCCCCGGAGCCTGAGCTAACGCTATCGTCGTCACTGTCGCTCCCTTGCTCTCGCTGGCTGTTGTTGTCGTCGTCTTCGCCCCTGGTGCGGATCAGATCCAGCAGGGAACGCCTCGCTCTAAGAGTAGGACGAATGCCGAGCATAAGCTACAGTTGATGCCTTTTTTTTGCGGTAGATAATTTGTGGTTTCAAGTTCACAGAAGTGTAAGTGTAAGATCTGGAGTATGTTGTTGATTAAGGTAGATGGGGAGCCAATTCTCCAATGGGGCATAGCTGAGCTATAGGTTAGCGCTTGGACGGAGGCTGTACTGAAACATTATGCACAACAGCGCTGCCTTACTGACCTGAGCTGGTCGACAATAATAGGTATGGAATCCGAAGGTACATGGAAGAAGAGAAATAGTGTAAATAATCCCGAATCTTACATAGGTTGGTAATCGAATAACTCACGAAACAGCTGACACTGTTGTCTTGGTTTTCCTATGAATAATCTATTCTAATCTCAATATCGCCTGCCCTTCCTCCTAATATATACTGTCTAGTTAAAGGAAGCTACTTTAGATAATTGACCTTTGGCTTATTGTTTCATTCAACTGTATAAAGTCTTTGATGTACCAAACCTCAACCTTCTCAATTTCAGTCGTGAGGAACATCATGCTATGAATTCTTTGCGCCTTAAGAATGCGGTTTACTTTGTCTTCTTATCCTTATTCTCCCTCTCCCACTGCTCTCCCAGCTCCTTCACCTCCTGGTTTGTCTTCTCAATACACTCTCTGGCCCCAGGCCAAGGCTTACGACCTCGACCAGTGTCAAACAATCTGTAAACCGCGGGCACATCAGTTCCATCCATAAGCAAATTATAAAACTTTCGGTCGTTCCACCACAGCTTCCAGGCTTCCCATGTGAAGCACCCCAAACGATCTGTGACTCCTGTTCCCGCTGCTTGGTTCAGAAACTCGTAACTTGGCTTCGCCCTCCAGCGAAATCCAGGATGAGGAGCCGGGCCTCTCTGGAGTGTTTTGACAACATAGTCATAGTGATCATCGATATCCCTACGTCTCTCTTCGGCAGACGGCATGGGGTAGTCTCCAGACCACAAACTCGCCAGAGCCATGGTAGTGAGATCGTAAAGTACGAATGGAGGTCTCATGATAATCATGTGGCCAAGAAACGCCAATGAGTCGGGAAACTGTTCAGAGACGAAGCCATGGAAAAGGCGTGCAAACTTGCTTTCCTCGTTGTAGAAATTGGTCGCCTCAATCCGCTTGTGGTGGTCAGGGGCAATGGCCGGATCGGTCGGATCGCCAGGGCCCTTGACGATGGAAAAATCATAACCATAGCCCGAGCAGAAGATGATGGCATCGACATCTTCCAGAACCATACCGTCTGTAAGAGTAATCGTCTTGGGACCAGTCACTTCCTTGATGCCCTGTACAGATTTGACTGTGCCATCTTTGAGGTTATCCGCCAGATGCTCGGAGAACAATGGAACTCGATGGAGGACTCCATCAACTGGTCGAGTGCCGAATACTTCCTTCAAGTGTGGCCATTCTTTATCTCGCATATTGATCATCATCTTGGTCATGAGTCCTGCAAAGATATTTGGCATGATATTGCCTATCGTTCTCACACAAATGGACACTCGACGACTCAATGTGTGCTCGAAAGCTTTTCCTTTGACTCTTCTGGGGAGCTAAGAATGATCAGAGTTCGAATCTGAGGTTGTCTGGAGTTGGAGTTATTACCACGAAGACGGTGCCACGATGGCTAAGATAGACCTTGCTGGTTCCAGCTTTAACCAAGAACGACGTCGAATCCACACCAGTTGCGCCAATACCTACGACAACCACGTTCTTGCCCTGGTATTTTGAGGCGTCTTTGAACTGGCGCGAGTGAATGGCATCCCCAGAAAACTTTTCTAGACCTTTCACGTGTGGGAGATGGTGAGTATTGAGCATGCCTGTAGCGACAACTACGCGACTGAAGGTCCTGACCTCCTCAACCCCCGTTCTAACATCCTTGAGAAAGACCCTCCAGGCCTTTTGTGGCTCATCTCGCTCAATATGGTCCACTGAGACTGAGAACTGTATGTGTGGATATAGGTCAAACTGTTCGGCGTAAGATTCGAAGTATCTTTCAAGATCCTTCTGAGGGGGGTGCACAGGGAAGTCTAGAAACACTATGAGCCTCACCGTAATATGGACAGTGTATACGACTGACTTACCATCGGGCATAGGAAAATCAGTAATGGAACACTAGAAGCTATTAATATTGCGATCTGCCTCCCTTGAAGAGAAAAAGAAACCTACACATTGTTTGGAGGTGTTTGCTGTCGTATACTCCAATGCAGTTGTCTGCTTGATATTGTGTGACGCATGCCAAGTTCCACCCACATACTCTTGTCTTTCAAATGCTTTTGTATTGAGTCCCTGTTCGCGAAGGTTCTTGAGTGCCAGAAGGCCAAGTGGTCCTGCTCCTACCACGCAGACATCGGAGTTGAGTTCTTGATTCTGTAAGGCATCCATGATTTAGTATGAATATTGTCTTGGTATAGGTCTAAGAAGAACATACAAGAGTGCGTATCTCCCCTTCTTTATATCCTCACTTTCTATAAGTATTTGATATTAACAAGAGCGTAAGGATCCAAACTGCCGCGTGAGGCAGCTATCGTGCTTAATGCTGACACTTCTGAGCAGCGCCAGGATGGAGGCTGTCAGCTTTTAGATCATCAAGTAGGGTTACGACGCATGAAGCAGATGAGATAAGCCAATTCTAACCAGTAAAGGGATACTATTGCCAGCGGAGCTGCTTATTATAACCAGTTGGGATGTATCCGAGAAAGTCTCCGGAGCTCCTTCATATTCACACCAACAAGGTGTGAGACTGTACATACACTGGCTTTATGTGTCCGGCCTGTCCTTTTTTTCAGGTGACACGGCTTCTCTTCTAAGATGATAGGGTGCTGAGTATCCAGCAAGAAATACGAAGGCGAAAGAGTCTGTCTGCAGATATGGAACAACTCCTCAAGTGGTCGCAATGTACACCAACTTGGCCAATATAAAAAGGAATATTCTCCCTATTGACTGCCTTCGCGGTTGAATATATCTCTTTGAGATTAAAAATATGATTAAGGCAAACGTTGACACCATCTGACGGCCATTAGAATGTGGGTGCTAAGACTTGAAGTAGAACAGGGTCACACTTTGGCCCCGTTCAAACCTGAGTCTTTAGTGGATTACCTTTGAGATGTTAGAGCGATGCGGATAGTAACGATTAGGATTTGCCACGTGTAGTCTTCGTGAGATGGTCATGAGTACAGCTTCGTGACAATAGTGGCTGTCACTTACCAAATCAACTGTCACCATATTCATTGCTGGTTTCTGACTTATGCTTCAGGAAACCACACCACCCTCGACTATGTTTTTCTATATCTTCTTCCTCATATAATTCCTGTTATATCTCCACACCATCTGCTCTTCTTGATTTGCTTTGATCTGCTCCCATCAGCTATACCCTCACTTAGGCTTTCATACAACAAAGCGTCGAGTAAACTAGGACATAATTATCCTGTTTCTTTCAGCTTCAAGAATGTATAACATAAACTTTCCGCGTGTATCTTAATCATAATACAGTGGTATTCAGCCATCTTGATTACCCACAAGTCCTAAAACCCACAGACGGCTGATTATCAGCAGGGTTTTCTAATAGCCAGACGCAACTTAGAAGAAAGATTCAGCAGCCTAATGAGAAACCCAGTCAGAAGATTTCTCTTGTTAGGGAATAAGTCGAAGATACCACGGCCAACGTAAGTCGGACCAGCGAAGACAAATATGGAATGGTAAAGGTTGCTGGATGCCAGACAAACAGTTCCTCTCAAGGAGGCCTGTCAGTTAGAAGGATTTGAGGCACTGAAGACCGTCCTAGAAAGGGGTCACAAAAATACTAATCTGAGCACATAAAAGTTTTCGACCTCCTAGACTAGCCACCTGGAAACTCAATCTACGACTCCTCCATAATCTGGCGATAATGTAGCATAGCGAAAGGAAACTGATATATCCATCGGTAAAGCTCTGCGAAAGTAGTGATACCAAGTGCTTTATTCATTTACGGGCATTGGCCTCGCTCAAGCCTAGAGATCTACTTCTTTGTCTTTTGTCTGTGATATTGTCTAGATTACACCTGAAGAATCAAGAGAAGGGCTTTGAGTACCATTCCTGTCAAAATGGATGTATTTGATTATCCATGCAACTTCATATCCAGGCCTACCAGAATCTCCTGCAGAATCTTCAAAGCCCCCTCCTTGGCCACCAACGCTGAAAACGTCGCTTGCAACACAGAGATACCACATTCATCCCTTTCTGCGACATTTTCCATCCTTGTATGGTATGAAGAACCTAGTGTTGGCACATCACAGCCATCCTGACTCCGTGCCGCTCGTAGCATACAAATTTGCGACGACCGACATTTACCGGTGCATTTTGGTTGTACCCAGCCCCTGCTGAGACGTAGCATGTATTCATCAAAAGCCGTCTGATTGTTCTCGAAAACCTCGGTGACGTTGTGCCAGAATGCAGCGGTGAGCTCCGCCGTGTGGTCGGTTAGGGGAGGGTTTATGAGTGGGCCATATGTCTCCTTTGCAGAATAATACTTTTCCCACACGGGACCTTGGGTCTGGTATGTAGGAGATGTCATGTCGGCGCTGTATGTAGTTGCGTCGAGGACGGCGAACGTCACAGGATCGACATCGTAGACACGGAATGAGGGCATTCCTGACATCGGAGTGAGTGAGGGGCCGACATATGATGTGATTAGAGCATGGTCAAAGGTCTTGTCCGGAGCATCTCTATACGTAATCTGGAAGTGATCTCTGTGGGTGTGACCAAAGAACATAGCTGCGATAGTTGCTGAGTATCGGTTTACTATCTGGTTCAGGTAATTCGACTGATCGTGGAATGCATTTCGGTCACCTAGCGGCATATGTCCAATGATATAGACACGCTCTCCGGCTTTCTCAGCAGCGTGGAGTTCTTCAACAAGCCAATCGATCTGCCCACTCGGATCGCGCAGCATTTTCCTCTGGAAAAGCCAGAAGTTCCCACGGTAGAACAGATTTGTGTTGAGAGAGATAACGCGCAAGTTACCATGGGGATATTTAGTTGAGTAAGCGCCAATTATTGCTGCTGTAGAGGCTGATTCATGCCCGATCCAACGAGACCATGTCCCTGCGAGAAGGTCGTAAATCCATGAGGATGCATCGCCGATAGAACTAGGCTGATAGGCGTTTGTGGGATGGGACTCGTGGTTACCAGCTGTTCCGTAGACTATACCGAGATGTCTATCCATGTGCTCATATGACTGAATAACTTGGATAGGTCAGTTATGAGTGAAAGATTTGAGTGAAAGATGCTCACTTTGGTGCTCATTATAGTCCCAAGATGTGTTCCAGATGGAATGATCGACAATGTCTCCCGTAAAAATCGTGAAAGCGGCATCAGGGACCAACTTTTTGATTGCTTCATACATGCTATGCTCAAGAGAAGCAGGAGAGTCACAAGTATGCTCCCCATATGGTCCAGCCGGAGAATCCGTCCTCCCAGGCTCATCATTTTCTGTGAAAGGTCTTCTCGAGTCAATGACAGCGACGTACGCATTGAGCGAAGTGTTACTTACCTGCAACATATAGGTTTGTTACACTCCGAATTCGACCCTTCAGTGTAGAGCTGGTCAACATGAATATCGGAATAGTGAACAACTTTGATAGGGTCTCTTCCACTCGCGACTGGACGCTTCCGACGTAAGTGATCAGGGGGTACAGGAACTTCCCATACGTCTATATCAGGATAATGGCAGAGACCTAGAAATGTTACGCAAAAATGCTGCGCAGTCTTTGAGCCGATAGCGACGTTTCTCAACGCCTCTGCTATAATGGGTCCTTGAAGCTCGATGGTTCCATCACAAACATCTGCATCTTCGACCTAAAATTGTTAAATCAAAATTTGGATCTTACAAGGACTTATTAGGCTACCTTTGACTTTTTGCATACGTCCTGTAGTGTGTTGACAAAGTATCTGTCGCCCAGATTCGCGAGGCTCTTAAATGTCAACAAAAGGCCCTGCACCATCATCTTCAGCTCTTTGTAATCTCACTCATGTCGAGCTGTGGCTTACCTGGCATCCTGAACAAGACGATACACCTTGAATTTGTTTCCATATTCGATCTGCCCAGTCATTTGTATACAAAGTCTTTTGATTCTCATTAACAGCTTGAGGCACGACAGCCTGTCCTTCAATTCCGATGACAGCTGTTATGGCGCCAAGACAGGGTAGGAGAGTTGTTGTTAAGCGCATCTTTGTTGCATTGAGAGAGAGAAAAAAAGCCGATCTCTGTAATGACGAGACAAAGAGTAAAACGGGTCATGCAAACAAGCTACACTGAACTTGCTCATACAGTACGAGTGAGAACCCTAGAGACCATCAACTTATTGCCATCTTGGACAAATCATCCCCAGAATCGGCTTAGGGCCACCACTATAACGGCCACATGACCCAATGAAAGCAATCACACGAGTGCATAAGGTAGACAGATGTAAACGTCACCGCTGGTCCATGCGTTGAGGTTGATAACAAGTCGGTTTGAGCATCGTCTCAAGTTAGTAGTCTAATATACTTCTGATTTTAAATCGACCCGGTTTGTACGTCCGTCTATCAAGAAGATTGGCAGAGGCTCAAGGTGTTTCATAGTTGCGTAATTATTTCGTATTCATATCCATATATACATGTCTTTCGTACAGCTCCTTCATGCCTTAAATCAGACAAATGTAATATACAAGACTGATGATGATGAGTTATACATCTGCGCCATAGATAGTGATACACGGAGCACCTTCGCTCCCATTCAGTCAAGCTTCGAGATACCGATGACATTCATCCTTTTGCAGCTGGCCTGCTCTAGTCCTTCATCGCAGATGTCTCCTCCTTCTTATGCAAGCCCTTCTTATGCGAGCCCTTCTCATGCGAACGCGGCTCTTTCATCTTCTTGGTCTCAATGTTTGCGTTAGTTTCCCATGCAAGCTTGACACCTGTCCGTTCCTCCCTCCGCACGACCGAGTCTCTGTACTTCCTTCCAGCTTCTGTGCGTTGCGGTAGTGTTCCTCCCCACATTCTGTGCCACTCTCTCTCGCGATCCTCAGGGGTTGATACTAGCGCCTTCTTCCTACGCTTCTTGAGTTCCCTCAAAATTCTATGCGCTCTATCTGATGGAAGCTCCACGACTGTGTATTCCACTTTCCAGTTGGTTGATTTCTCGGTTTCGGGGCTGGAAATACGTTCCACGACCTCGCCGTTGACCATGTTGCGGACTGTGACATACAAACCAATAATCTCCTTGTTTGGTTTGTCGACACTCTCTTGAGCGGAGTTTGCTTCTTCTGTCGATGAGGATTTGTCTGCTTCAGAAGCCTTGACGGATTCTGCTGGAGAAACGCCTATGCTGGTTGTGTCGCTTTCATCGACCTCGGTACTCGGCTCCTTTTGATCTCGCACCAACTCCGACAAAACTCTCTCAAAGGTCCCCAAATTGCTCGTATTATTGTCAACACCTTGAGCAAACTTGATGATGAGATCCTTGAGAGTAGCATCTGTGGAATCGTCGCTGTTTGATGGAGGGTCAGTTCCATCAACATCGTCACTAAACATGGAACTATGCCCTTCATCCTCTGCCGTAGTCTCGCCGGTTTCAGCGAGGCCGGACTCTGTCTCTTTGCCAGCGTATTCCACATCATTGGAATCCACGTCATTATTGGAACTGTCGACTTCAGATGCATCGATGGATGGAGGTAGTACATCCTCAGTCTCGGAAGAAGACCTGCTAGCATCCAGTGCATCATCTTCTGCTGAATCCTTCTGAGTTGTGTCTTCAAGTTCACTGGCTGCTTCCTTGTTGTCCTTCAACTCTTCGGTCAAAGCCTCGACAAGTTCGTTGAGGTAGGATTCTCTCTCAGTTTCGGGCTTCCCAGCCAGTAAACCACTCTGCTCAAGAGCTTGCTCGATGGCCTCCCGCACACTATCCAAGCCGGCAGCGTCCTCCTCCACAGTTTGGTCGACCTTGGCCATCATCTCATCCCATGACTTCTGTCTTTCGGTCGATGATAGCTTTTGAGTATTCTCCTCAGCCTGAGGCTCGCCTTCATCACTCATTCGGCTCTTTTCTTCATCCTGTGACATACGCAAGATATTGTTTTTAAACATAGCCACGGCTTCGTTTCCCTTTTCCTGGGTTTCTTGCATCTCTTTGTCGCTGACAGGCTCAGCAAAGAAATAAGTCAAGGGGGGGTTTGTCGGTCGAGTCTCAATGTGCAACCGAAGTGACTTTTGAGGGAAACGCTTCGTAGCTCTGTCCAAAAGATCATTCAGGAGTTTGATACTGACTTTAAACTCCTCGTCTCCCACCCTGAGGTCCGCAGTTCCGTGAAGAGCCTCGTCCATTTCCTCGAGGCTAATATACTGGAAGCCAAATATTCGTTGTGTATTATGGAAAGCAACGAATATGCCATCCATTCGGCCCATACGCACTTGTAAAGAATACTTGAGGAATGCCGCTCTGATCATGTCGTAGTACTCACGCTCGAACGACTCCCAAGTGCCGAAACGGCTACGAATCTCATATCCAACACCTTTTTCATAGCCTCCAACATCCATTCGGATCGAAACTACTGCACGGGTTTTCAGGTCAAACATGCCTGTTCCTGGAAGTCGTGGATCATGAGCATCTAGCTGTGACCGCATCATGAAATCGCCCAGTGTGGAGAAATGGAATGCTTCATCGGCATTCTTCTCCTCTTCGGATAATTCATGCGAACGGCCTCTCCTGTACTTTTCGAAGTGAGTTTTATCGAGAGTGAGGAGTTTTTCCATTGATTTTCCGAGCATGCTCAGAACGTTGGCGGTATCAAATTCTTTGTCGGCGTCAATAGCATACACTCCATCTTTGTAACGGGCGAATGCAGCAGCAGGTCCTCGGGTCAGCGCGGTGAACGTATCATACTCGACCTTGAAAGAGCGGGACAAGTGCCTGAAACTTAGAGGTCTCCAGGCTGAGAGAAGAAAGTGGAATTGGGAGAGCATGGCCGTCATACTAGAAGTTGAACCACAGTACCTCTTCTCGTATTTTGCACACAAGTCTGTCAACCGACTGTCCTTGGAGGATGTCACATACTCTTTCAGAGCGTCGAAATCAAACTCATCAACGGGCATGATTGAAGCAAGGTATGGGTCAAAGTTGTAAACCCGGGTACGCTGGTCTTGAAGCTGGTAGGGTCCGCCGTTGAAAAGAACCTTGTCCAGCTGGTGGGCAAGCTTGGGAACACTTCGTCTGGATTTTTCTTCAACTGGTTTCAGCTTTAGGTGCTGGGGAGTGATGGTATAAACTGGGGGCAGGGCCTTCTTCTTTTTAGACGCCTTCGTCTTCTTCTTCGACGGTTGAGCTGCTGAACTGGGCTCTGTCTCATGACTACTTGCTATGATATGCTGATCCTGCTCGGGGGAGGGAGTGGTGGAATCGTCTTCAGGGGCGGCGGGGTTGTTTGAAGGTTCTGCGGCCACTTCTTGTTGCAACTTCTCTTGAAGTGATGCCCAAGCACCAGCCTGCTGGTCAACTACTCCGGAGCTGGCCTCTGGTGAGTCAGCTTTATCGGTCGCTTGTTTTGCATCTGGACTACTGGGCTTAGATCCTTTCTTTTTCTTCTTCTTCTTCGGCTTGTCGATACCGTAAACTCTCTTCGCCACAGCCAATGCATCACTGATGTCGGTTTCAGTTGTCCCCTCCGTGGATCCTTTCTCTTCGGAACGAGCAGCTTTCCTCTTTTTCTCTTCTTTTCTCCTTTCTGCTGCTTTCGCTCCTTTTTCAAGCTTCTTAAAACGGGCCTGAAGCTTCTCCGAGGCAGCCTTCATTCCTTTGAGTGCATCTTCGGAATCAGACGTGGATTTCGGCGTGGGTTTCGAAGTGTCGTCCGGACTAGTCTCTGTCGCAAATAACCGGAGGGGTGAACATTGTCGCGGGCATCGTAGATGGGGCCGGCAGATATGTGCAAACGTGGTCGAGGGAGCTATCCCACGCCGTAGTCGAAGCATTGGGGTGTCTTTGACGAAATCGATCAACCTTGGAGAAAGTTGGTCAAAATCGAGAGAGAAAGACTTCGTACGTGACACTGATCCAGAAAAAAAATTTACATTGAATCATCAATGACTTCGGTATAATGTCGGGTCGGACGACATATCATATGACACGTGATTGGTCAATCAATACCTTGGAGGTCCATCCCCTGCCTAGGTACCTACCTTATCCATCAGCCACAGCACTCGTCATTTCCGGAGCCTTCCCAAAGGTTCAAAAGAGGACACCCACCACAGAGACTCTCTAGGACGCGAACCCTCTTGCGGCATCTTCTCATGCGATAGCAATGGGTGCGAGTGACTCGAAGCTCGTTTTCAAACGGGGCATTTTTCGCTTATCAGAAGAACGACATATCCCAGCGGATGATGCGTACTGGACCTCTGTTCGTCGCCTACTCCACCCAAAGTCTACTTTACCTTTGTATGGATAGCTCATGGACTAACATGATATAACGCAGTTTTGGGAACTTCCTGAATCTTCTGAGGATGTCTTCAGTTTATTCACACCTGCCGACATTCGAAGAACTCGCGACCGAGCACTCGAGAACCTAGAAACCCTCATCCTCGCCATCACTTCTCGTCTATTCATACTACGTCATCACCCATCATTCCCTGATCCTGAACTTGCTCCAGAACGCGAGGCCTTGAACTGTGTCCGAGTGCTCACACGTATTTTGCCTTATTTATACGAAAAAGAATCCCTCAGTGACTGGGAGCAACAATTTTTCTGGGCTCAACGAAGAAAACGCACTCGGCATGGAGCTATCGCCAACGAGATCCTCTTTGACGAAGCTCAAGAGGCTGAACGCAAGACACAAACTGCCGAGTTCGAGGAGGTAAAACCACTCGCCGAAGAGTTGGTAGACACGCTGGTCGATCTGCTATTCTTTTCTGATCTTACATTACCTCGACAACCCAATGGCCGACCGAAGGTCAGCTATGCGATTTGGCAGAGTGGAGTGGGTTGCAACACGGCTGTTGCAACGACAAAAGAATATGAGAGCAATCGATCGGAGATTCTGCGGCTCCTCTTGACGCTTTCTGGCCAGAGCATGTATATGACTGCTGGTGTCCTACCACAGAACGGCGTGCGGGCGTTGACGCACTTATGCGCCTGTCCAGATAAGCAAGTCGTGCTCTCTGTGCTTTGTTCTCTGCTCAACACAGTTGGTTCACCTGGGATCGACTTCGAGGTACTAATGCTGACTTCCTTTCTAGACGTTAAAATACAACCCTGCTACTTGGCGCGTACCTTATAACACCCTTGTATTCAAGGATGGCAAGCAGATGCTTGTGACATACTCACTACAGTTCCTCTTGGTGCTCTTATTGTACCCTATTCCTGAGAGCCCATCCAACCCATCACCTAAACACTCTTATCGTCATTTTCTAGGCCGACTCCATCGGCCCCAAGATTTTCAATTTATCGTTGACGGAATGACTCGAATTCTAAACCAACCCCTTCAAGAGAAGACTTCATATCTTCCAGGTTCTCAGTCATCTGGCCACTTTGCTCCTGAGATACTAATGCTATTCTGGGAGATCCTTCAATGCAACAAGAGATTCCGGTCTTTTATTGTGGATACCGAAAGAGCGCATGATTTTGTTGTACTAGCCCTGTTCTATGCTCTTGAGTATAAAAATGATGCTACTAAGCAAGGAGTTGTGCGCATGTGCGCATTCTTGCTCCAGACTCTAAGCGTGGAAACTAACTTTGGCGTCAACTTGAACAAGTACTTCGAGGGGCAGGAGAGTCTACCAGTTTCTATTCGTGTACCGGGATTCCGAGGGACCTATGCGGACTTTCTTATCCACTCAATCTACAATCTGATCACGACAAGTCAAGGGAAGCTGTCGGCGATATACCCAGCTCTGTTGGCGGTGATTAATAACATCGCACCTTATCTTGAGGGGTTGAGTAGCACTAGCAGCTCAAAGCTGATGCAGCTGTTCTCTTCCATGTCCTCACCTTCGTTTCTACTTGCGAATGAGACCAACCACGCTCTTCTCCACTCGCTGCTGGAATCGATTAGCTCAATCCTCGAGAATAAATACCAAAAGAACCCTGAGCTGGTTTTTGCTATCCTCAAAAACAAAAAGAGGGTTGAAGCCTTGCGCTCATTCACACTGGAGAGTGGTCAAGAGGAAATTGAGAGAAGAAACAGAAGAAGAAAGGATTCTGGACACCATATTGATCCATTCGACGCTGCATCTGTGCGCAGCTCAGTTGACAGCCTGAGGAGTCCAAATAGCGCTCAGCCACGCCACTCGTCATTAGAAGAAGTCCCCGAAGACGGTGCCTTCGCGATTGGAGACGACGACGACGATGATGACGACAGTGACGATGAGGAACGCCAAGAGACTCCTGCACGGTCAACGTCAAGTGAAGCCCCATCCCGGAGGTCATCGACCCCCAACGTTGAGGATGCCGTCCCAACTCAATTGCGAGGAATGTCCGAGAAGGCTCGTGGTAAGATGCCAGCCGGTGTTCCAACCTTCTCGCGACAAAACAGCACCACAAGCCTAGGCGGACGCTCAATATCAGGACAATCGCAGGCAGGGGTATTTGAGCCTACGGCCCACTGGATCGACAGTTGGCTGCTCGAACTGCCTCTCCATACAATCCTTGCAGTCATCCAACAGGTGTCTGCCCTCTTGCCGCGACAAGAATTGGCAGCCGATGTACCAACACCAGAAACACTACGACGAATTTCAGGTATCCAGGTTGTTGGCATTGACCCCTCGGCTCCCCGTGTACATTCATTTGAATGGTCCCAACTCGCGTTGGGCTGGTATGAGTCTCTGTTATGGGGAGTTATCTTCACAAACGAGATGCAGGTTTCCAGAGGAACCATGGGCATATGGAACGGGACTGCTATCAAGCTTTTCAGGGTCCAAGAAACAGCCCCAGAGGGTCCAACATTGACCTCGCCTAGAGGGGCCGTTGACGCTGTTGGCAGCAACATTGTGTCACGGATAGGGCAGATCAACCTCCGGGGCGGGCCGCAGGGAAACAGCCAACCGCCACAGCGAAACAATTAAGCAGGATACATGAACAGTTCGACAAGGGCGCTTGCTCAACAACCTTCGTTGAGCGATGAGAACTTTTCGGACGACTTGGCAATTTTTCCCTGAAGAGGAAGCGCTGGACCCGAAAGCTAAGCAGATACTAACAAGAAGCCACTGTTTCATGATCTGCCAGTGTTGATTCCCACGAGGTTCATTGTGTAGGATAAGAGAACGAATGGTGCATGGGAAGCGAATTGGCGGGGTAGTCTAGATACAGGCGTTTGGGTATGGATTGGAGTCAATCAAAAACTCACTTTTGCATCAGAGCGGCCCAGTTTGTGCTGTTTTCTATGCACATAATCACATGCGCTGTTCGTCCTCGTCTCATCAGCTGGTGTTTCAAGTTTTGACTGGCGCAGCAGCTAACATGTGGCGCGTCGAGATGGAGGTGGCTAATTTGACTCAGGACCAGCCACAGCCAACAGAATCTAGGAAACCCCCTCCTAGACAGTTCCACACCGATTCGATTCCTTGTTTTCAAAAGCAAAAGTTGGCAGAAGTAGGCAAACAACGTGATTTATGCCAGCAAAGCCGTAAGGTCAAAGCAAAGCCACGTCTAATGCCTGGAGTGATCATTTCCGAAGAGTGCAAGGGGGACTCGTACGCACCGCCACGCCGACCGGGGAGCTTCACTTTTGCAGCCAATCACAAGCCGTCCCGGACCATTTGTGCCGTGTTCTCCATACGCCAAAGCCACAGTAGGTGTCAGCCACGTCCCAAGGTCCCTTAATTCTAGCAGCTATCGCGACAAGGGTCTTGTAAGGGTCCAGGTCCTGTTGTTTTTTTGGCCGGGTTACGGTTTAACACGAAAGCAACCCAGCTTATTGATGCGACTCACAGTCGGTCGCATTTTCTAATTTCTCGGTTCTTACCCATCTCAAGGTGTTTGTTTATACTACGACATTCAATTTTCACCCTGCTTCATTTGATCATTACTGGAACCGGCGCATCTTACATCATATGTAAGTCGAGCAGAACTGAATCTGCTGATACAACACTGGAGCATGTCTCAACAGCAACCCGGAGACTCCGGCGAGGAGGTCCAGCCTTATCGTATCCGTGTGAGTACCTCAATGAGAGACACCATCCGATCGAGGAGCAACTAACCATTCACTTTTGTAATAGGTGTCAAGCAAGTATCTTGATATCACGCGACAGAAACTAGAGCTTACTCGGCTGCCTCATGAGCCTTGTTCAAAAGATTGGTGGGAGCCAAAGCCTCAAGTTGAGTCTCTTGTTGACTTTTGGTAAGTGGATCTGTGACAAAGCTACTCCAGAGTGAAGCTCACATATAGTACGTAGGCAAGAATCATTCTCATGGCAGAATCACGAAGAAGAGCTTAACCAAACTCTTCCCCAGTTCAGAACAAGTTTTCAAACTTCCACTTCATCAACGCCAGTCCGGCTTCATTTCATCCATGCCCGCTCTCCTCACGCTAACGCTGTTCCTCTGCTCTTGATACCTCCTTTTCCTTTGACCAACCTGTCGCTGGGTCACCTGGTTCAGCCCTTGAGTGATCCTGAGGATGCTGGTACAAACCAGCCGTTTCATGTTGTAATTCCAGCCTTGCCTGGCCTGGGTTTCAGCGATGCTCTTCCTTCTAATGCACCTCCTGTTTCTACCACAGCTCAGCTACTGGACAACTTGATGAAGAGATTATCCTACAAGCACTACGCTGGAAGTAACGCCGGCTCTGCTTCGATTTCACCCGCTGCTATTGACTGGAGACTGGCCAGACACCTCTCAATTCACTATTCAGAGTCATGTCTGGGGTTTCATTTCATTGCACCTCCTCTGACATGCCCTACACTCTCGGACTCAGCCAGTGAGTGGTTAAAATGGAAACTTGCTCGGCTCTTGGGTTCTTCGGTTCTGGGTTACTCCAAGGATGACCTCTCAGCTATACAGAAGCAGAAGACATCGCAATTAAGCAAGAAGAAGTCGGCTGTTAACCTAGGTCAACATGGTCGCAGCGACGTTGAACCAAACACACCGTCATATGCGCTATGTGACTCTCCGACTGGCCTCCTCCTCTATGTGCTGAAACTGCTCCGGGCTCTTGGTCCCAAGAAGGAACTTACACCAAAGGACATCATCACTCTCACTTCTCTCATATGGTTACCTGGCCCCGAGGCCGCTCTGCGATTCTGGGCTCAATGCGCGTCAGAAATTGAGCCTGTAGAGGAAAAGAAGACGACTAAGAAACCTAAGGTTGCCATTACCGTTTTCACTGGTGACGAGGACCAGGCCGAGCAGCAAAGAACACTCCCACGGCCTGCAAAGACTCTATACTCTTGCCCTGGCTGGGCTAACAGGGAGTATCAAATCGTGCACCTGAACCGAGCCCCTGGAACTCCAGGTTTCTTGGCTTTGGACCGACAAGATGTGATTATTGAAGGAGTGCGCGGTCTAGTGAAGGCAATATTGGCAAAGGATAAGAGGATGCAGGTCGCCGAACAGCCTGGAGCCGTTCTCCAGGATCAACTTGAAGTGCAGGATGGCCGAATAGCTCAAGCAGATCTGTCTGGAACAACAGTCCAGGATCCGAACGCTAGTCCGGGTGAGCGACCTCCTAAAACTGGTGCACAAAAATCAACAGGGGACGACCATCAACACCTTGTTCCTCCACAAGCAAGTATACACCGAGGTGCTCATTGACGAAGATTGACAGGACGATGCATATGAGGGCAAGTGGGTGGTGGAACTTAATTCGATACCGTCATTTCGGTACCTTTCTCTGAGTCTCGATACTTGCTATGGAAATCATAAGCTTATGAGCAAAATTATATACCAAAAGTCTGTAACAAAGTATAGTGTACGGCCTTATTTTCTATATCTGTTAAAGAGTATCCTCTGTTTAATTTATGACCCGTTTAAATATTGCTGTTTATACAATACTAGTACGCTGAATTTACATCAGAGAATTCGGCGCACTGGTAATTGGGCTGTTTTGAATTGATATTTTATCAGCGTAGAAGTAATTTCACTATCGAGTAGCATAATTAATCGCTCAAAATAATGGCAATATTTCTATCGTGACCTTAGTCGTTAAATATTTGAGGTTCAGTCTCTATGTCAGATAGTGGCTGGTTACCCTACGCAAGATTGCCGCTCCCTAGCTCCTGTGCGAATGATAGGCACCTAGTTGGAGATACCCCCTTAGTGCGTCACAAGGTGACCTAACCAGCTCCGACCCCTCGACTTCTAGCTTCCGCAACAGTAAACACGACCTAACTCTGTCTATATGGGCACATTGTAGACCTACGTGCTTTCTATTTTCCCAAAGCTGACTTAGCACCGTCCTTCATTTTCTGCGTGGCGACGATGCGCTACGAAACAGTCCATTTCCCATAATCGGCCCGCCATCTCCCAACCTCAAACTCATCATGTCGAATCGATACGACCGACCTCACCGCGAGGGTAACAGCTATGGCAACTTTGGACGCTCCAACGATGACTACAGATCCGGGTATCAAGATAGCTACGGTAGCGATCGATATGCCACACCGCCTGCCACCCAACAGCCGCGACCACCACCCAGTCTTCGACAGATGTCCTCCCGATCACGCATACCACAAGTACAAGCTCCACCACAACCAGCAGACACTCATGCTGCGCGGCAAATCACCGAGGTTATAGATCATATCAAGAAAGAATGGCCTGCAATGTGTCAGGACGATTGCGTCCCTGTTCAACTGGCGTTGCAGCTTCTCGACAGAAGCTCGGTTGGTCGCGCCCACGAATATGGCCAGTTCCAGCAATCGCACAACTACCTACAAGAGTCGCTCAAGGGTATCGTCCACGAGCACCACCAGGGCTTCAACAGTTCCATCGGTACATTTCACAAAATTCAAAGTAGCATTCAGCAGTCACAAAAGCGAGTACGTGCCTTGAAGGAATCACTGGCGAGTTCCAAAACAAGTCTCTGCGCGACGGATCCTGAATTAAAGAAGCTTTCAAAATCATCGCAAGAGTTTGACGCCTTGGTGCAAACTCTTAATGAGTTGGATGACCTCCGAGCAGTACCGGATCAGCTGGAGGCAAGGATATCGGAGAAGAGATTCTTGACGGCCGTGGAAGTACTTCAAAATGCGCTACGAAAGCTACGAAAGCCTGAATTGGATGATATTGGTGCCCTTACTGATTTGAGGAGCTACCTTGCGAACCAAGAGACTGCTCTAATGGATATCCTCGTGGAAGAGCTACACGAGCATCTCTACCTCAAGTCACCATATTGCCAGGAAAGATGGCAGAGCTTGGCTAAAACACAAGGCGCCGTCACGGAAGGCTTTGGTGATATTAAGCCCATCGCTCCATTTCACGTTATTCTCGATGCCATTGACGTTGACAAGACGGTCAGGGAAGATCCCATGAAAAATCCCGAAGCCGATACATTCTACTATGTAGGACTGCTGGTGGAATCTCTGAACAGGCTCGGACGATTGCAAAATGCCGTGGAGACTCTTAAGCAGCGACTCCCGGTTGAACTCTTTACTATTGTCAACGAGACTATCAACGAGGTGGATCAAAGGCATCCCAGCTCTTTACGAGGAGGATCAGCCAGAGGCGATGGTCTTCACGTCTATGGAACACGTGAAACACAAATGCGAGCAGATGTTATTTATGACCTCTTATGGTCTCTGTATGGCAAGTTTGAGGCAATTGGAGAAGGTCATCGTGTGTTCCACGAGTCCATCAAGGTCCTGATCCGAAGGGAAGGTGCTGGCAACAACAGTGCCCTACTTGGAAGCTTCAAAGAGCTGTGGAATCTATACCAGAACGAGATTAGATCCTTGCTGCATAATTATGTTACGACCGATGCAGATGTCTATCAGTTCGACTCGCCAAACCCAGGAGATACGCTCCATGGCAAGAAAGACATACGAGAGCATCTTTTCAAGTTTTCTGAAGCGAACACAAAGTCCATTGAGATGATGAGTGAATATGACGCATTGGACAATATCATCCAGGATGCCGTTCCTGGGCTAGGATCTCGAAAGCAAGACAGAAAAGGGCGGAACGTTCAGGAAGGAGGAAGAAGAGGAGCAGCAGGAAGTGACGGTCCATTTGGAAACAGTCATCAAACGACAGGCTCGTACAAATCTCTGGTGGAACCTAGTGTCTTCAATATGAGCTTGTTACTACCGCCGACGTTAGTCTTCCTGCAGCGACTCAAGAACATCGTCCCTCCCGGCTCAGACCTGGCAGCAAGCACACTAACAACATTCTTGGACAATTTCTTGGTTAATGTTTTCCAACCACAATTGGACGAAACTCTCGCCAAATTGAGCGACACCGTTTTTGGAGAGGCAGATGCATTCACACAAGACCCGGCCTGGAGCCAGGTGGCACGTCGGCCTGTGTTCCGAGGAACGACAGCCTTTTTCGAGGTTGTGACGGCTTTCTGTCGTATGCTGGGAACCATACCACCAGACCAAGCACTCAGCTCGCTGATTGTCACTCAAATGATGCGATACTACGACCGCTGCTTCAGCTGGTTTAAGACACTTGTTGTCAAAGCTCAGGACCCGGCTACAGAGATTAGTAACGACAACCTGAGGTCATCGGCGCGATTCTCTCTGGACCAGGGAGAAATACAAGAAACAATGAAGAAGCTTTTCATGTCAGAAGAGATGGACTGGGAATTGGCCGAAAAAGAGATACATCTGCTGATGGAACTTACAGACGACTCGCCGCTCGACTCGGGTGACATCATTCAGGATCGAGATTCCATCTCATCCCTCTGTCTATTGTACACCAGCATGAAGTGGCTTGCTGTTAAAATTGCTGGCCTGCGGCAGATCACAACACATGACACAGATACATCACGGCAAAATCTGCCTCGACATTCGAGCCGAAGATGGACTCTTATGAACGATACTGGCAAGACCGCAGGAGAAGAAGGCCCTGTGTCACTACCACTAACGCAGGAGACTGTACAGTAAGTAATGCGCCCGATAGGTAAAACATATAACTGATCAATGTTCAGAGCGTTTGACAGCATAGTATCGTCCTTCGAAGAACTTGCAGGAACTGCACTACTAACTCTCCACATGGAGATCCGGTGCCGCATAGTTCATTCACTGTGCATTGCCTTGTCGCCCAAGGTGGCACCCTACCTGCTTGACCAGGAAGTGAGCGAACCTGATCCACAGATTTTGAGCCTCAACTCGGAATTGGTATTCTTTGACGAGACGATTGTGAAATATCTTCGAGAGAAGGAGATTGCCTTTATTCGAACGGGTCTGGGGCTGCTTATCAATTGCTATCTTGTGAGTAATGCATGCAAAGCATCGCCTATGAATGACAAGGGCTGCGGGCGTATGCAACTCAATATTCTTGTACTGCAACAGAACCTCAAGAACGTGGAAGAAGGGGTGGACCTCGCGCGTGCAGCAAATTACTTTTCGCTATACGAACAAGGTGCAGACGCCATCGTAGAGAAGGCAAAGGAGGACAAAGAGCAGCAGCGAGGGACCAGCGCGCAGGACCCAGACAACTTTTCGTACGACGAGCTCAAGGCACTTGTGGAGCTCTGCTATAGTGAGGCTATGGCAAATCCTGAACGAGGAATTGCCACTGCAGCCAAGCGACAGATGCAGGACAAACTGCTGGGGCTGAGTGAGCACATGTGGCAGACCTAGATGGATCAAGACGATATGTGATGCATGATGGCTTCGATGGAGTTGAGGGATTGATTGGAACAGGTATGTTAGTGGTTGATTTGAAGTGTAAAGTAGTAGCAACGCGTGATGAATGGTTACACAAATCAGGTCTGAAACCAAGCAAAACTGTTTATGATTGCTTAAACATCACCGTAAAACCTGCTGCGGGCAATCAAGCTTGATCGACCACCACTGATACACACAGAAACACAGGTCTTCGCTGTTGGTCGCGTCAATTACTCGTACCGAACCACGCGAAAGCCATGATGGACACAAGCAAAGACAGATGAGAAGGAAACTGTCATCTTATGATCATGTTTTTATAACAGACATATGATCAAGTGACATCACAGTTGAAGTCTCCCATAGACGCCAGAATTAGAAATTACTTTCCTCCCCCCGCACTTGAGCAACATCTGCGAGAGATGGGATCTGCATGAGGCAGCCCAGCCAGAGGTGGCAATGGTAGGATCCATCGCGATAGGGGGTTTGAATTCGGAATTAGTGTAGTGTTCAATGCCAGCAGCAGCAGGGGTTGATAAACACATTGCCCAGGCATATACGGAGTAGGAAACTTTAGTTTATGCTGAGGAACTGTAGATGAAGAATTCATGGTCAACATTTCGTATTCCAAAGATATTTTTGGTCTTTCGTGGAGTCTATGTGGATAAATTATCTGGGTACAGATATATGGATGTCAAAGTCTGGGCCTTGAGGCTTGCCTTGGTGTTGGGAGTCGGAAGATGAGATCAGAGGGAGATCATATTACCTGGGTTCAAGGGTGCTAAGATCGACGGTCCAGAATGAACCTTAGATGGGTATTTTGTAGTGAAAGGGTCAAGCATCGATTCTCAAACGGACGCGAGATGTCTTTATTTAAAGCTTCTGTTTTCAGGTTCGTGATATTCCTAGGGATATGATATGGCATACATGGATATGGGACTATCAATCGATCAACAGCTCCACAACATCCAGTTTGCCGTTCTAGGTCGTTCAAAAAATGGATTTCAGTACTGTCACCATACTATGACATTCTATCATTATTATATCGTCATCCATTCTGCAGCCTCGAGTTTCATGGCTACATGAGACCCTTAAAAACAAGAACAAGCCACGGCGTTTTCTCCTTGGTCTCTATCGTCCATTGAATTTCTGTAGTGCGTTATCATCCGCGACCAGGACCAGCCAAAATTGGATTTAGGCTGCCCCTGAACCTAATCTCGAAATATGTAGCGGGCCATAGTGTGCTTGCGGAAGCGGTACCTTGCATTGCTAGCTCTTCCATACCCTACCTTAATGCAAGCCCCCCGCGGCTTTCGCCTGGCCGTCTCAAAACCGGCCAGGTAAGGTACTGGAGTTAGGGAAATGGAGATGGGATGGAATTCAGGAGTATTGAATGGGCGTTAACTAGACCATGCGTGGTTCTATAGGAATGGTAGTACCCAATATTTTGAATGGATCGTCAATTGAGTTGGTCTCAAAAACCGGTACAGTCTGAATGATAATGGCATTGAGTTTAATGGATGGAAGTACCATAAGAGGTTGCCTCATCAAGTGACGATTGGCTGCATCTTTCCTAACCTAATCGCGGAGCATCTCCTATTAGTCCCCTTTTCCCTCTTCTGCCAACCTTTATGCAACCCTTGTCCATCTGAAGCCGAAGCAGCCACTCAGTGTCAGTGAACTCGATGCAACAGTAGCATCATCTGTCAGCCCCTTATCACTTCCGCCACACTCCGCTGTTCGAGTGCCGGACTGCAGTGCAGTGGTGCACTGAGGCACTTCGGAGACGCTGGCTCCAAATGAGAGACATCAGAACCCGTCCGTCTATTGGTCGCTTTGAATAATCAATCAACAACAAAACAAAGGCCAACCTCTTTCTCTTCTTCTCTTCTCATGTGCCAGCCCTTTTACCCAGTACCTGTTTCATTCCATCCATCTCAGGGTCCTTTTTTCTTTGCCGACCTCCCGTTCTAATATCTCCTCACCAGCACCCATCTACTTCATGCTTCGAGATTGCAACTAGAAACTCACAAGTTACACCCAAGATTACTATAATTACCTCGCCTATCCCCTGGTGCATCCACTCTAAGGACCTTACACGACAGCCCGTGGAAAAAAAGAAAGAGAAGACCCCACGCGTCCGAGCGGAGTAGACCAACAGCCACCTTTCTCCTCCTGTAGCTCCATTTGGCCCATTTGGCTCGTCAGGTTCCCCTGGATTAGATTGGATTGGACAACCAACTCGGGCTTTTGGGACTTTTCGGCGGCATCAATCTTCACCCCAAACCCTACATCATCATCCATTCATCAACAACTCCATTCGTCGCTCTCTCGCAAATCTTTTTCGCTCGCTCGCTCTCTTCGTTCGCTTTGTTTCATACCGCCATACTTTAATCGCCAGACCAGGCTCTTGCATCGTGGTTCTTCACCTTCTCTTCCTGTCGTAACCAAGCCCCTAGCAACCAACCCTCGTTCACCCTTTTCCGCCGCTCTTTGGGTCTTGAGCCCCCCTACTGCCGCCACAATGGCAAACACGTATGTCTTGATGCCCTCACTTGATATCGCCTATTTCTCCTGCCGCTAACACTCTACGTGAACAGTTTCGGTGCGACCATCAAGTCTTTCTGGCATACTATGACCAGTTATGACAGACGTATGCGACCCCTGATCCTCGAGCGCAACATTTCAAAAACTTCATACTGAATAACTTGCAGATTCCTCATTCGACTCTCCTTACCGAACCGGTCGACATGTCCCCTTACAGAACGGTCGAGGTGGTATTATGACTGGCGTAGCAACAGCCTCCGATTCTCGAAACGATGTCTCATCTCCCTACTCCGACGAAACTGGCCGAGCTTCTCCTCTTCAACCCGACGGCGCTACTTTCGCTCCCACAAGCGCCCCTTATTCGCCTGGCCTGAGATCAATGAGCGCGCGCAATGCTAGCCAGGGCGATGGCTTCGAGGTGCAGAGCCCCGGCGACGTCCCAATGCAAAACTTTTCCGATGGCCTCCCCCCTGCTCCGCCAGTTGCGCACTCCTGGAGGCGCATAGACGCATGGGCAGATGATAACTATCCAGAGCTTTACGACCAGCTATGCGAAGGTGCTACCAACAATGATCTGAACGACCTGGAGCATCAGCTTGACTGCTCTCTCCCTCAAGACGTCCGCGACTCGCTTATGATTCACGATGGTCAAGAACGAGGAGGAATGCCCACAGGAATTATTTTTAGCCACATGTTGCTGGATTGCGAAGAGATTGTTCAGGAATGGGATAACTGGAGGACCGTCAATCACCAGTATTTGCTCGAAACATCTGTTAACAAGCCCTCTACCCCTTCCAAAGCTTTCGGTGGCAGTAATGAGGCTTCTTCTTCCAAGCAAGGCGCGGCAGCTGGCGGCAGCCCTGGTCCTTGGAGACAAGATCTCCTTTCTCGCCAAGACTGCGTACCTCCCAATGCTGTCCAAAAGGCATATGCCCATAGCTCATGGATCCCGCTCGTCCGTGACTGGGGTGGCAACAACCTAGCTGTCGATTTGGCTCCTGGTCCTGGCGGTCAGTGGGGCCAGATCATTCTATTTGGCCGTGACTACGATACCAAGTACGTTGTCGCCCGCTCTTGGGCTGCATTCCTGGCTGTTGTTGCAGATGATCTCAACAGTGGCAAGTGGTACGTGGATGAGGAAACCAACGAGCTGAAGTTGCGAGAGTTCAAAGAGACAAGGGTCGAGCCACCATACTTCAGCATCCTGAGGTGGAGAATGGATCAGAAATACGGAAGAAGGGCAGCTTCGAACCGAAGGTCGATGGGGCCCAAGCCTAATTCTCCTCTTGGTTCCCGCTCCTCTTCGCCTTATGGCAGTGGTGGTGAGAACGGCGAGCCCCGGGGCCGATCTATGCAACGACTCAGTGGATCATCTCCTTTGGCTAGCCCTAGACCAGGCCCAGGATACGGAAAGGCGACACCCTTGAGTAAAGTAACAGAGGAGACGACAATCCCAGAGCTCGCCGACGCATACATTCAGCCTGAGAAGCTTGTGGAGGTCGAAAGTCCTCGGCAAAGCCAAGATAGCAAGACTCCGAAAGTGACAACTAGCATCCCCCGGGTGGAATCCGACCTCCTCAAGGTGGAAGAAGAACCATCCCCCAAGGCGAACGGTAAAAAGCCTGAGGTGGTTGACGAATCGATGAAGACGATCGAGATTTAAAGCACCGAGAGATTGGCAGTGTATTTTGCAATAGACGAAAGCACGGGGACTGGCATAGGGAAAATGATTGCATGAGACTCGTTATTTTTATCAACTTCTGGCCAAGGCTTCAGGCGGAGCGACGCACCGGGAGGGTACACACAGATTTGGCGTTCAAGGCGTCGTGAGAAATACGCAAGATTCCATGATTCTTTCTATGAGAGTCAAACTTTTTATTTTCTCCTTTCTGCACTCCTCAGCTAGACCATTTCTGGGAGGAACGCGGAAACAGCATACAAGCCTTAGTATACTATGATAGCTTTGTTTATTACTCAGGGACGATGATGTGGATAGGTTACCGGGATAGTTAGAGCTGTGGGTATACTGCAGCTGGATGAAACCTCTCATAGTGATAGGATGGATGGTAATCATTGTATGAATAAGAATTCATATTTCCATTTAAAATTGAAGATGATGAATTTTGTCAGCTGTGGTCAAAGACGTTTTATCAATATTAATACTCAAACTGAGACAGAGGCAATGTTAAGCGGATGATTCATTTGGCCATTATAGTTCAAACTTATTGCTATAGCCAAACTTTATATTTTAAAAGTGTCGTGTCTAATTGCTGGTTAAAACTTTTGATATATTTCGAGATTATACTGATTGATAAGGATCTTATCTTTAGCTTGAAGATACAACATGCATGACCCATCCTTCAATGCAAGCACCCCGCGCAAGGCCATTAATAATAAAGATGTTTCGTGCGGAGCTCAATCGCCGGCATCGGGTCACACTGTTGTGTAACATGATCCTGATTCTCTATCATAAGACTTGCCCACATTGCGGCAGTTATTCCTCAAGTTACCTCAAGCATATCGATTATTTGCCAACACTGGAATATTGACAGACGACCACGAGTGACGCAACTATCCACCATGAGCACAGCAACAGCAACAGCAACAGCATCACGGCGTCTTCATATTGGCATCGACGTCGGTGGGACAAACACAGACGGTGTCCTTATTGATCCCCTCCTGAGCTCAGGGCCTGATCGTGGAATCATTGCATGGCACAAAGAACCGACAACGACGAATCCAAGCGTTGGTATCAACAATGCACTCACAATGATGCTCAACTCAACGTCGATCAGTCCTCATGAAGTCGCAAGTGTGACTATAGGAACAACGCACTTCGTTAATGCTGTTGTTGAAAGAGATGCTGCAAGACTATCACGGGTTGCTGTGATTCGCCTCTGCGGACCCTTCTCGAAGCATAACTTGCCATGTGTCGACTGGCCTAATGACATGAGGGAGCTTATCCTGGGTCATCACGCTCTGGTCCATGGCGGATTGGAAGTTGATGGTCGTTTGATATCCGATATTGATCCAGACGAGATCAAAACGCAATGTTCGATTATCAAACAAAAAGGGATTAATAGTGTGGTTGTTATTGGTATCTTCAGCCCTATTGACACAGTGGAACGACAAGAAGAGCGAGCGGCAGAGATCATCAAGGCTGAAGTACCCGGCTGTGACGTCGTGTGCTCCAAGGAGGTTGCCAACCTTGGCTTTCTCGAAAGAGAAAATGCAGCCATTCTCAACGCCTCCATCCTACCTTTTGCCCGCAAGACAATTCGATCTTTTCACGAACCAGTCAAGAGGCTAGGCCTGAATTGTGCTGTTTTTATCACTCAGAATGATGGCACTGTCTTGTCTGGTGAACTTGCTGCTCGATTACCGATCCGAACTTTCTCAAGTGGTCCTACCAACAGTATGAGAGGAGCTGCTTTCCTTGTTCAGGGTGACCTGGACGAAGCCATGATGGTTGTTGATATTGGAGGAACCACATCTGATGTTGGAATCCTTCTGGAGAACGGCTTCCCTCGTCAACAGGCAGCTTACAGCGACCTTTCGGGCGTGAGGATGAACTTTTCTTGTCCCGATATCAAGAGCATTGGTCTCGGTGGAGGCTCTATTGTACGGATAGACAACAGTGTCTCTGTTGGACCGGATAGCGTGGGATATAAACTTCCCCAAGAAGCAGTTGTATTTGGAGGAAAGGTTCTTACAGCAACGGATTGCACTGTCCTAGCAAATCCAGAGCTGAAGATTGGCGACCCAGCCCTTGTGAAAGACGCTCTTTCGGAGGACCAGCTTACAAAGGTTAACTTGGCAATCAAACACAAGCTGGAAAAGGTTATCGACACCATGAAGACATCACCTCAAGACATACCGGTTATTCTAGTAGGAGGTGGAGCTATCATAGCCCCCGATGAGCTCAAGGGCGCGAGCAAGGTTATCAAACCGCAGTGGTCACAGGTTGCCAATGCCATTGGCGCTGCGATTGCAAGGGTGAGTGCAGTTGTGGATACTGTTGAGTCGACAGCATCCAAACCAACAAATGAGTGCCTTGATGTAGTTAGTCAGGTTGCCGTTGAAAAGACTGTTGAGGCTGGTGCTTTAAGATCGACAGTTAAAGTTGTTGAGAAAGAAGTTTTCCCGCTACAGGTAGGCAATTGATTTGCGATGCTATGGAGCGTGCTAACGAGGTGACAGTATATTGCAAACAAAACTCGTTTTGTTGTTCGGGCGACTGGAGACTTTGATTTCTCGAAAGAAACAGTTGCCCCTGAATCTCAGGAAGAGCACGGAGACCACCAAGACATGGTCCACTATGAGAAGAATTCTAAGAACAAAGACTCAATGCACAGTATACAACAGGATGAAGACTTTGACATCATTTCATACCGTCCCGATGTAAGAAAACGAACATGGTATGTTTCTGAAAGGGATGTATCTTGGATCGCAACAGGTTGCTACATTCTTGGTACTGGCGGCGGCGGTAGCCCCTACGGGCTGATGATACGACTACGAACTCAGTTACGCAATGGGGCGATAATCCGAGTTGTCAATCCTGAAGATCTTCCAGACGATGCACGCGTTGGTTGTGGTGGCGGAGCAGGGAGTCCTACCGTTGCGATCGAGAAGCTAGCTGGTGATGAGCTACTCGAAGCACAACAGGAATTATACAAGATGTGCAATACTTCCGCTACTCACATGATATCTGTTGAAGTTGGAGGCGCCAATGGACTGAGCGGATTGTTGCTTGGCTCAAGTGATCAGATGGACATCCCTACAGTTGACGGAGACTGGATGGGTAGAGCGTATCCCACAAAATGGCAAACAACACCTGTGGTTTTCAAAGAGAGGGACACCATCTGGTCACCCATCGCCATGAGCGACGGTAACGGCAACGTGCTCGTCATGCCGAAAGCATCCTCCGACGAAGCTGTCGAACGGATCATCCGCGCTGCCTTGAGTGAGATGGGCTCTCAAGTTGGCGCCGCAGATGCACCTGTCACAGGAGAAGAGACAAAACGCTGGGCTGTTGAACATACGCTCTCACAGTCCTGGAGGATAGGGCGTGCCGTAGCCCGGGCGCGAAAAGAGAACCGCGTAGACAATGTCGCTGAAACGATCATCGAAGAGTGTGGCGGTCCAGGAGCGGGCAAGGTTCTGTGGAAGGGCAAGATTATCGGCGTGGAGAGAAATTTAAGGAACGGGCATATTTATGGCGAGTGTCTCATTGAAGGGGCTGATGTTCGTGATGAACATGTGGCTTCAGGAGATATTTCGGAACAGTTCAAGGGGGTTGTCAAGATTCCTTTCAAGAACGAGAATATCGCCGCCTTGAGAGTACATCCTGATAGGAAGGAGGAGCTTCAGGAGGACGTCCTCGCTATTGTGCCCGATTTGGTCTGTGTGATTGATGCACAGAACGGAGAGGCAGTTGGGACGCCTGAATATCGCTATGGATTGCTTGTTGTAGTGTTAGGAATAGCGGCGAGTGACAGATGGACCGGAACTGAGAGAGGGATAAAAATCGGAGGTCCTGAGGCTTTCGGACTTGGACACCTCAAGTTTGAGCCTTTGGGAAAGTATTTCAAACCGAGGAGTGTCATTGATGAGTTTAATGAGTGTTAAGGGATTCCATAGGCTTAGCATTGTGCCAGAAGTTTATATAAAGTCGGTTCGGGTAACAGCATGTTAATGGGGACTCATACGTAACAAATTTGCTGACTTATCTGACAATTTTTCGCTGCGTAAAGCTGTTCTCACAAATATGCTCTTGCTCTTCAACTGGAATCCTAGGTTGATATCCGGCCAAGGTGAGGGCTTGTTCACCTGAGGCCAAATAAGGCTAGCGAGTGTCCCCACACCGCCCACCTCATGACATCCCGCCGCCTTCCATCATAGTTTCTTTCCTTTTCCTAAACACCACCAAATTCGATCATATCATCAACAACTACTTATATAGGTAGCCAACGTATAATAACCTACCTACAAACGCTTTCGATTCAACACATTCATCATGGGCTCCGTTGTACTTCCCCATCTCAACACCGGCTGGCATGTGGACCAAGCCATCCTCTCAGGTAAAAACAATTCCCCAAAACTTCCTGCCTGTCATATACTAACAACTTCTCAGAGGAAGATCGTCTTGTCGTTATTCGCTTCGGTCGTGATTGGGACCCCGATTGCATGCGCCAAGACGAAGTCCTGTACAAGATCGCTGACAAGGTGCGCAACTTCGCCGTGATTTACCTCTGCGACATCGACCAGGTTCCCGACTTCAACCAGATGTACGAGCTTTATGACCCGTGCTCCCTCATGTTCTTCTTCCGAAACAAGCACATGATGATCGATCTGGGAACCGGCGACAACAACAAGATCAAGTGGGTTCTTGAGGATAAGCAAGAGCTCATTGACATTTTCGAAACGGTGTATCGAGGTGCCAAGAAGGGACGTGGTTTGGTCGTCAGTCCCAAGGACTACTCTACCCGACACAGGTACTAGTCGTGGAAACGGCCACCAGAATTTGAGATTTGGGCGCGGATTGGAGTTGGGCTTGTTTTGAGGTGCTAATACATTTATGATGGCTGGAGGAAGGTAGGGACGGTTGGTTTTCGAGTCGATCGATAATGAGACTACGATACGATACGTTTTGTTCAGACCAATATTCCATGGATCAAATGGTGAGATTCCTCGATGCCTATTTGGCCCAGTTTGAACCGCTTCTCTGACACAGTCTGCTAAGATATACAAGTTTGCCGTGGCAACAGTGCAGCCTGCCTTATGGTCTGGAGAGCATATCGCCACTGGCAAACCAAGAGGTGAGATTACTGATCACGCGTAACCGTGCCCTTTATATATGTTGGACTCGTAGACTGCTCATCACTTTTGAGTAATGTCATTTCGCATTGCCAATATCGTAGAACTAAGGGCCTCCACCTTGGAACACTGGGTGAAGCAAGGGACAGTCGAACTGATTTGAAGTAATACATATACTAGCAAAGGCTCATAATCCAAATGGCCAGGTTTCATGACACTCTCGAGGCGACTTAGGCTGATGAACCTCCAAAGTCCCAACGTGTTTTGACTTGTCAAACCAGATGAAGCCGTCAAACTGCTCTGGTAAGACGGCATTTGAGTAATGCGAAGCCTTCTCCGTTTCAGGCTTATATAACACACCAATAAACCTTTCCAGTCTTTTCTCGCTCAGTACCTCTCGTAGCCTCTCATCGCATTTGCCTTTACGGAGATCCAAGACAAAGTTGTCAATGCCCGTGGCATGCATAAGCTCCTCGTAACTGCCCGGGAGCCCTGGCTGAACCTTCATAATGTTCATGTCGCCGTCCCAGTTCTGGGCTGCAGCCACGGTGCCGGTATTTGTGTTTGTACCAATACTAAGAGCTTGGACTCCAAATCTCTCCTTGCAGAGCTGCCCAATGTTGAGTTCTTCTCTTGACCATCCCATGCTGGTGGCCCGGGCATCACCGACGTGGCTGTTATGTGCCCAGACAATGGCTTTGGAACCTTCACCGCGATGTTCCAAAAGTCTCGTAAGAGTTTCGAACATATGGGTGTCTCGAAGATTCCATGTTTCGTCTCGTCCACGATACATGGCTTTATAGTATTGTTCGGCATCTGAAGATCTGTCAATTTGCGATCAATGGGTTCTTTTCAGGGGCTGGCTTACCTTTGACAACTCTGGCATTCTGCTCTCCACTATGGAACTCCGTACCATCATGAAGTGCTGCAGAGTATTCAAGGCGTTTACCCAGTAAGTCCTTCAGCATCGCAATAACATCTTTTTCATACCCCTCAAAAGATGTTGCCAGAGACTCCAGGCCATATTCGTGAGGATCATCTGCCCAATGCATCAGTTTCCTGTATCGCCCCTTCGCGACTTGTGCCATATCCTTGTCAACAGTGTCCAGGTAGTCAACCACTGCCTTCATCGAAGTACCCATTGAGTAGAGATCCAAGCCATAAAATCCTGCTGCCTCCTTTTCTTCGAGGTCAGAGTTGTAAGACCGCATCCATTCCACAAAGTCGTGGACTTCAATGTTACGCCACATCCAAGTGGGAAATCTCAAGAACGCTGGTTCTCGACCCTTCTTCTTTGCCATCTGAGTTGTCTCTACTGTGCCTTGACCAGGGCCTGGACGGTGCCTGACATATCGATCAACAGACTCGGCATCAGGCCAGTCTGCTTCAACAGCAACAATATTGAAGCCGTGGTTTTGCATCATATACTTTGTAATTTCTGCGCGAACCGAGTAAAACTCCGACGTGCCATGTGAAGCATCGCCTATAAGCAATACTTTGCAATCCCCAAAGCTGTCGAAGTATTTCGTGATTGCATCGACATCTTGGGAGATTGATTTGAATGGTTTGACACGGGTTTTGAGCTGTTCTGCGCTTGATGCTTCCATTGCCGACACGGGTTGAGATGGGACAGTATGCTTGATGAATCCTTCTAACGATTTCGGCCTCAGAAAGAGTTCATGGGGAAGTGGTTATCCTTTTAAGCTCGAGTTCTCTTGAGCATTTCACGCTAATCAGTCAGCTGATAGTGGCGACACGAATTCTCAATTCCGAGTGATCTGTAAGTTCATTCCGTGTGATATCAGTATGTGATTATACAATTGCAGTAAAAGAAAGAGCTGCCAGTCTGATACAAAGTACTGAAAGTGGAACGGGATGGTGATCGACAGCCTTGCAACGCTATTAGTGCGGAGGTGGTGGCGATAGCTTTCATCATGACGGTTTCGTGTGCTATAAGCCTACGACGAACCACCATTCCGTGTTTCAACCAGTTGCTAGCCAAAAGATTATCAGTCAGCATACTTGCTGCACAGTTAGAAAGATCAATATAACATAATGCAAAACTTTTGCAGACATCCAAAATTGTCTGGCTGTTTAACTAACATGTGAGGATTCTCTTCCTCACACTACTGGATTGTCTGAAAATATGATCATATTGATATAAGCGTCTTTTCGTAAATTTGTGGCATACAAGTAATTCATACCATCTTCGATATATCAGTACATATTGTAGTATACAATCGGGGTATGCCTCCACATTGTTTGCCCTAGATTCGCCCTTCTGCTTCCGGGTTGTTGAGCCGTGGAAGATAGTATTCGCATTCGATCGCTTACGGCACTTATACTCGGCGTCCTATCAATACCTTATCCGCTGTATCTGGCGGTATGTATCGAGTATTCGTCCTTTTTTTTGGTAAGTGAGAGGATTCGTATACGGAATGAAGGAATATAAAAAAAGGGGCTAGAGACAAGGCAGTCAGCATCTCAAATGTAACTCGGGTGGCAAGGGTTTTTAAATGATGACCAGGAGGAAATCTTTGGGATAATACATCAAATCTTGACATGGACTATGCTTCACAGACCTTGTTTGTTGGTCATTGATCCATGTGCCTATCCATGACTAACTGTCGAGGCCCGTAAAGAGACTTACACTGCGACCCTCCAGTTGCAAATCACGAATTTTGATCAATTTTCCGTCGCAATGTACCAAGCTGAACTACAGATCAGAGACGCTAGTTATCAGTTGTCGGGATGATCGAATGTGGAGAAGTGGTGTATCCGATGAACGCACAACGTGGACATGAGAATCCAAACACCACCCAAGGTGAAACTGCCAAGTAAATTAATGATAGCTGAAAGGAACAGACTGCCTTTCGTATCAGCGTAATGCCTACCACCATGGGCCGGGAAACTGCAGCGTGACATTGTTTCTCGTTCCGTGGAAAGGCGCGCGGTTCACATTGTGTAAGTGTAGGACGGTAACTAAGACCAGTACCTGTCTCCTGTGTGGTGATCAACAATCCTATAAAGAACTAGGATATCTGACTAGCCTTGATCTTCGTCCGCGATAGGCCCCAGGGGGCTTGAGTTCTCTTCTTTCGGTTCGGGTTGACTTCCTGAAATACTTAGGGATGGCCAATAATTGTGGGCGTTGAATGTAAGAGATACGACTGATTTTCTGGTAGTACAGACATAGGGCCGCTTCCTTTGCCTTACCTGTATCTTACGCTAGTCATTTTGCCATAACGCGTGTGGACGGAGGGGCATTTGCTTCGACGATGGCTGGTTTTTGAAGACCGCGCCAGTCAATGTTGTTGATTTTGAGAGCACATGTAGAAGAAGCTACGGAGTGCCTTGAGGGGGGATAATTGATTCTTCTCATTCTGTGTAGTGGTATAGAATTGACTGTAAGTCCTTGGATTATATTCCAGCTCGAATTGAGATCTTTCTTCTGATCCGAAAAAAGTCAATCAAGGGGTCATAAAGTTGAGGCGACCATTGCCCGAGATTTTCGGCCCTCTTGAACGAAACGTAACTGATTTTCAATAGAATAAATCATAGAATCGTATGTGTCAAAGCGACCGAGAGTCGTGTGTGTAAATAACTGCGCTCGTTCTTGTGGAGGAGACGCGTCTTTCGGGTTCCATATTTCTAGATCATGACTAGGTAGGTCAGTACGACTTAATTCAAGCGTCTGTTGTAGCCTGAGGATTAGAGGGAATGCCATGTCTCTGGTGCCCTGGCAGAAGAAGCTCCTTGGTATGTGTTCCGACCTGTGAAGAATCCTGAAGTAGAGGATGAAAAGAATGACGAAGACTAGACACCCATTGCATAATGAGATTTTGACCGCATCGACTGTGCAAAAAAGGTGACGAAGCAAGAACGAGACAATAAAGTAGCTCTGAAACCTGGGGTTCTAGACCAGTACAATGAAATTTGAAGCCCATGGTTTGGATAGAAACACGGAGAAGTGTCTGATGATGCAGGAGGTGCAACTCTGTGCAAGACTAGCCCCTTCGGGAGCGGGTGGGCGAACACACCTAGGGACAGGGAAAATGCTACTTAGGTACCTAAGGTAATCCTGGGCTAACTAAGTCACCAGAAGCAAATGCTGAAGCGCTCGACAAGGAGGCAATGGGACCGGTGAATTTGCTCCTGCCGAGATATTGTAGAATAGCATTTCGAGAACACGTAACTGTTCATTTGTGATACGGAACCCAATAAACCGAAATCAGGTACTGTCCCCAGCTCAGGGGTATAACAGTCCGCTCCAGTAACAATGCTTTCGCCAATGATCCGATATGTTCTTGGATTTTGTTGTACATGCATCAACACAGGAGTCATCTCAAAGACTCGGCCGAGTACACTACAGGCCCCCCCATGTTCAAGATCTGCCCCTAGGACAAAGAACGGCATAGTCAGTTCGGGCAGGGTGGACCTGTCAACTTTAATTGTTCTTGTGTTCACTACTTATTGACGATGTTCGAGAGAGCAGTAAGTCTGGGCTTCTACTGCAAATGCGCTTAGGAGAGCTGATATCACTACTAACTATTGGCTTTCATGGCAGATTCACTGCGCTCGCGACGCCCGATCATGGCCCTCCACTTTTTTCACCTGCCATCATCTCTACCCTCATCCAGGCACTTGGGAACAACAACAACACTCGTCTCGTTGATCATATTCTCGACCTGATCGTGACTTTGCGCTTCTATCAACTTTTTGAGGCCATCAAATCGCCCTTGCTACCTCATCCTTGACACGGATGATCGACCATTCCCACCACCTCAAACTCTTGTTGCCTCAATCTTGTCACTCGAGGTCCAGTGGCCACTGTTTACTCTTCTACTGATCCATCCCATTATTCTGATAGGATATGCAAGGAAGTCGCTTACCCTCATACTAGTATGTTCTTACACGGGTGTAGTAATTCCATTCGTACCACAAGACGATCAACTCGCAGCCTTGTCGCACGCCTAACAATTTGGCAGCATCACAAGAATTAAGCTGGCCTTACTTTTGAGATCTTGTATCTTCTGAGGCTTCACTGCTTCCATCAGCTAACATGTCGCACTTGCAGAATCATGCCAACCATCATCACACCGACCCCAACGTCCCTTAGAACAGGACTCCTCGTGCTACCACTTCCAACACTGTATCTGTAACAGGAACTTTCACAATAAACCACTCGACGGCTGCTCCATCACCCATATGTCGCCAATGGCCTACAGAAACAAGACCGTCCCTATTCCTTCGTCCCAGTTGCGTCCCGGAAACCTGGTGTCATCGTTATTTCAGTTCTAGGTGTGTCTATCAACACGTTTTCGATGGAGCAGGAGCTTTACCTGCCGTGAAGTTGTCACGAAGAGGCGCAAATAGCCATTTCACATGCACAGGGGGTTCGCGCCTTTGTCTTCTTAAACTTATTACAGTGGCGTGCTAAATTTTCTTGTGGTCAAACGTTTTCCATCGGGTATCTTTTCGATTCTGCGTGTCTTGGTTCTTTAGAGGGCACGGCTTTCATGCCACGATGCTAGAATAAGAGGAACAAGGCACTTTTCCGACTGTGTCCACACGATAGCATTAGAAATGCAAAATCCAATGATCTGACACCCGGCGAATACAGCATAATACTTTGACTATTAAATATGATATTTGGGAACTGTTAGTCTACGAAAAGTTCTCGTGGTGTGTCTTGATATCAATTGCTGATCGAGTGAGAACGACTCTAAATCCCCTGACCCGGGTTCATTTTGCGATTCGGAAGAGCAACATTCCAAATCCGCCCGACGATAGCTTCGAAACTACACACAAGCATTGTTTGCAGTGTCTTCAGGGCGCTGGCTGTCGCTGAGCTAACCCCCAATCGTCAGTGATGGGATTTCAGACGATTCCAGATAGATGCGTCACTGCCGAATTATTTCACAACGCGGAATACGCAAATGTGCAAAATATCATCGGAGCTTGAAATAAAACCATTAAAGCTATATTCGTAGCTGATTAGTCTAGAACACAGTTTTGGCGGAATAACTGGGTAGGCTGGGAAGCACTCGGACACTGCGGAAGTGGGAACTAGATTACCATTTTCCGCATGCCGTTGCTATAAACCGGCCATTACTTGTGCAAGTTGGCCATATACTAAGGCTTCTACCATGCTATTCACTAAAACAGTCTCGGCAGTAATCATGCAACGGGGCAAGGACATGAGGGGTGTTAGGGAGTAGTCATACTTGTTTAGGGCAGTTGGCCTTTAGGGCTAGTGCTATTGATCGAACTTAGGAGGAATATTCTAGAGGAGTTGAGGTGGTACAATATGTTTTGAGTGCTGCAGTAGTAGCCTAATTCTGCTGCGGTGTTGTGCATATCTTCGTCTCCCGCCCTCCGCTCTTCTTTTCTCCTCCACCACCAAAACATCGCATCGAGAACGCCAGCAAGGGCGAATAACCACCACTTTGACTCCGTACTTGGTACCCTTTTGATATTGAATTCTTAATACGCTCTCATTCTGTTCCTTTCATCATAGTCGCGTTGATTCCCTTGATTTTCCCATACAAACAAACACTAGTTGCTGAGGTATCTCAGTTTCTCCTCACTCCCCCCCTCACTCCTCAACCCATTTCCTTTTTTCTCATCATATTGGGTTCAATATTCATCCTAACGACCCCCATAAGTTGATCTTCCACCTCAAGATTCACGATGTCGGCCCTTGTGGTCGGGCGTCCTAATCCCTCCCGAGGCTTGCCCAATACTCCGGCAGTTAAGACGTTCAGAATCGGAGAACTCTTACTACTGATCGTCGAGGAGCTTGGAGAGCGAACTGAGCAAAAGCCTTTATACCAGAATCTTGGGAGCCTTGCCAACTTGATCCTTGCGAACAAGTCCCTGTTCAGCTCACTTCAGGCTTACCTCTACACTCAAGACCTGAAGGATGACTGCCACAAAGGCCTCCAACATGCTGTTTTCAACTGCTCTGACCAAGTGGGCTACCATATCATCAGCAAATACCCAGTCCAGCTCCTAAAGCGCAGGATCAACAAAATTTACAAGCGCAGTACTGCGAAGGCCAAAGCAACATTTACTCTGCTTCATATAGCAGCAGCTCAGCAACAACATCGTGTGATCCGAAAACTGGGGCGCTTGGGTGCCAAGTATCTCGATGCTAAGAACCTCCATCTCGTCCTGTCACAAGAATTCAGAGATCGGCTAGAACAAGAGTCCGAACTTGTCAACCACCTCCCCAGACTCCGGTGGAAACCTGCACTAGCACCTCTTGTACTGCATCAGGTTGCAACCTTCGATCTCCTAGACGAATACTGGGAGGCCGTTTATGTCGGAACCTTCAACTTTCACGCGCTTGCTGTTAATGGCGTGGTACCTCCAAAGCCTCCCTTTTGGCCGATGACCGTCCATCAGTTGGCAGCAATTTTGGGAGATCGCAACTACTCTGTCCAACTGATGAGAAAGGCTGTGGAGACTCACCCTTCAGAGAATGAATTCCCTGGAGGACTGGAGAGGTACTCGGTTCTTCATTTTGCTATCAAGGCTTACAACTTCAGGGCCTTGAAATACGTCCTGGAGTCTGGTGTTGGGTTCGGGCGATACATGGTCGATGCCCTTGGTAACAACCCACTCCATTGTGTGTTCCGGCTTGCCTTGGAATCGGCAAACAACTCGGCATCGAGATCAGCCTGTAGAAAAATGGTCGACGAGCTCATGGACAACCACGGGTTTCACCACCGCATGATTCGAACCTGCTACCCACACGAGTCACCAATTCTTATTGTTGCTGAATCCGTTCGCGTAGATTGGAGCGGCAGGCTTCACATGATCAAGTATCTACTTGGAAAATGCCTCCAGAGCGAAACCGATATGAGGTTGCGGCGGGGCTATGACCCTGCATCTCACCGAAACATGATGAATGTCCCTGACGCATGTGGAAATACTGTACTGGGATTCGTTTCCCAAGCCATCATAGCACATGAGGGTAATGATGCCCTCGAAGGCTTGTTCAGAAGATTGGTCCGGCACGGAGCTGACATAAACCTGGACATCAATCCCCGATACAGACCCCGCAGGTACGCCCACTCAATCAAGTTCATTGCCCAAGATGCTCCGGGATGCGCCAAGTTCAAGAAGACGGTCGACAGTCTCGGTGGCCGTCTTCACCAGGCTGAAATTGAGGGTACTGCTATTGGGTTCGATGGCATCATATATCGAGATCATGAGCCACATGTACACTCGCTTCCTCCAGAACATCTCTTTGCCCAAGAGCACCCCTAGAAACAGTCTCGGATACTGATCGACTCAACTTTTATCAGCCAGGGGAAGCTAAAGAGGGAGTCGAAGCATGGTGGATTGCTTCCTCATGCAGAATTGGTGCTTGAGGCTGATAGCCTTCGGAAGCCTCCCGCGACACATTTGAGAAACCATACCTCGGCTTCTACCGAAAAAAAGAGCTCTGTACACTGCATTTAACCTTACCAATTTTTGGGCGCAAGATATCAACATACCAAGCATATGATAGATACATGAGAGGGCTGTTATCGGTCAAAACGGGCATGAGGCCGAGAAGAAATGAGCAAATCCGGTACAGCACTCCGACACGATATCGCAATGCAAAGATTTGGCTGTATGAGAATTGTAACAGAGGGGACATGTACATTAATTACTCGCTGGAGAGGAAAAATAGAAGAAACCCCACCAATGGTTGCTCGCCTCTGACCGTGAGAGAACCCAAGTGATATTCTAGCCATCCTCTTGACTTCTTGAGTGTAAGCTAGACCATGGCGATAGATAAGTAGGTGACCAACAAGTGCCTGTTTCAAGCACTACGATATCGGACTTCCTAATCGAGCATCAACATGAAAGATCTACACATCTTATTTGAGTCTAGTCGAAGCAGTACAAAAGTCATGAGACACATTACCCAGAACAGCAAGTCCTTTAAAGATAACAGCGTCGGGCTGAAGATCAAGAACTTAGTGAGGTAGATAGATAGATGCATGCTCTTTTTACTTGCGTTACACATATTTTTATGGCTCACTGAGTTTTTCTTCTTCTTTTTTCTCCTCCCCCTCACATTCTATGGCAGTATAAACAACGTTGATACCAAAACACCACAATAAAGACCCCACGAAGACCTATCTGCAGAGTAAACAACCCCGTCAAATCTCGGACGCCCACTTCCCCAAAAGGCAGGTTACCCAGCTTCCCATCCCCACACTCTTGTTCTCCATCCAGAAACACCCCATGTCGATCACCGGCACTACCTTATCAGCGTGGCGGCGTCTCAGCCTTTGACTGGACCCTGCACTTTGTAACCCGGCACTGAGTAGACGCTCGATATGCCGATAGTCATCTGCTCGCCTATCACGATGCCTCGTGCCTGAGAGATCTACGGACTTGAAACCCATATACGTGCGTCGGTGAGGATGTCTAGACAGAGGAGAGGTTGTTGTGCGCCGGATGTACATCCAATAAGGAAGGAGCATGAATTGTGTGGTTTTATGTATATGCTTGGTGCTGGATAGAGATGGTGATGTGATTAGAGGGATACCGAGATGGTATCTTGGCTTGAGTGATATAAAGACACATGTGTAGCGTCCAAGGTATGCGATACTCCTCGCCTCTCTTTTCATCCCTCTCTGAGTCTCCTATCTTATATCTGGCATATCAAGATGAGGTTCTCTATCGCTCTTCTCGTTCCTGTTGCTGGTGTCCTCGCCGCACCTACACCTGTATGGCACTCATCACCACACCTCTCATGACACCATCTCTGACATCTCTAGCCCGGTATTCCCAGTGATTCTACTGCTCGATCACTCCTGAGCGGTCTCACTGTTGCCGCTTCCACCAACACAGGCACCTATGACAGAGACCTCTTCCCTCACTGGGAGACCTATGAGGGTGCTTGCAACACTCGGTGATTACACCCATCTCAGGACCCATGCGACCGAATACTAATGATACTGATAGTGAATACGTCTTGAAGAGAGATGGATCAAACGTCGTCACCAACTCAGCCTGTGCAGCTACTTCCGGCACTTGGAAGTCTCCCTATGACGGAGCCACCTGGACACAGGCCAGCGATATTGACATTGACCACATGGTTCCTCTGAAGAACGCTTGGATCGTAAGTCCCCTCATCAATATGTGGCCCTTCACGTCTGGGGAGACACCAGCTAACACATCTTAGTCTGGAGCTGCTTCGTGGACTACCGCGAAGCGTACCCAGTTCGCCAATGATGTTACACGACCCCAGCTGTGGGCAGGCAAGTCAACCCAATACTTTCCATATCAAGAACAATAAGCTGACATCATCATCAAGTTACGGACAATGTCAACCAGGCAAAGAGTGACAAATCCCCTGATGCTTGGAAGCCTCCTCTGACCAGCTTCTACTGCACCTACGCCAAGAGCTGGGTCCAGGTTAAGAGCTACTGGAAGTTGACTATTACCAGCGCCGAGAAGACCGCTCTCAGTTCGATGCTTGACTACTGTTAGGTCAATATGGTTCGGAACTTGGTTCATCGGGAGTATTGTACATATTGAATCAGGTGCCTTCAAGAACTCATTGAGTGGTTACGTAGAATATGCCACGAGCCGCAATAGTCTTCAACGTCAAATCTTACAGTAGAGGTCTGAAGATCAAGTTTCAATTGGCCTCACGTGGGCTATGCAAAGATACTGTCAAAACATCCAATTTTCATATTCAGTGATATATTCATATATCGTCCCAATATCATTACAAAGAAGAGTATTGATTTTATACGCATCCAAATACCAAGGCATTATTAACGCCCCGTCTTCTTCACCATCATCAGCCCCACGCTCTCTCTTTTGTATACACCGTAGAATTATTCGTGAACCGCAACGTCTGGGGTATCAGGGCTGTTTGATTGCCCATGAGCGAGAAAAAAGGTAGCAAAATGAAAATATCAACGCCAACTCCAAATATGCAGCAAACGTCAAAAACTGATGCGTTTGTATGTATGCTTGTTCCTACATAGACCATTTCAAGGTCTCAATGTTACATCTCCTTCATCATCGCTGCTGCTGCTGACGTCCATGTCGCCTTCACTGAGTTCACCTCGCGCAGCTCTTTGCGCCAAGTCCCTCTCGTGGTAGATTTCTTGTTTCCTCGAATCAGCTTGTCGAAGGCAGTCAACGTATGTTGTGAACTTGACGATTTCGCGTAGGAGGTACGCGCTCTTGCGCTCCCAGTTGGCCATGGCCTTCACAGCGTTGCTACCTCTAGGGGTAAAAGCCAGAAGCATAGGGCTGCGGAGTCGGTTGTGTGTCTGTAGTTCTGCCTCGATACCTTTGACATAGGTGTCCAGAGTCTGAAGCTGCTCCGCTTCAGGCTGATTGCTGGGCCGCATGCTCTGGGTGGGTGGTGCCCATTCGGCAATGTGAATCCGATCGCCTGGTAGCTTACCACGTCCACTGTTGTTGGTGAAAGCACCCGCAACGTGATCAAAGCTTGATCCTCGGAAGCTACCACTGTTAACACTTGACCTCCGGCCATGTGCTGCGCTGCTTCCGGGACGCGAGGTCTTGCCAGTCGTAGTCTCGTTGATGGCCGATACCAAAGCGTTGTTCACAATGGCCTCACTCCATCCGTACTCAATGTTACTTATACCACCAGTCAATGGATGGGTACTCAAACGAGCGCTCCAGTAGTTGGCTGTAATAACGAATTCCTTGCAGATCTCGGGTGTACCAACTTGGAATAGGTGAACGGCGCCGTTAGGGAGGCTCAACGCCCATACATGTGGGCGAGCCCGAGAATAACCTGGCGGTGGAAGCGCAGATGCGAGAGTCTGTCGTAGGTTATAGCAGCCCAGATTCGTTGCGTTATCTTGCCAATTGCCACCACCGACAATAGCAGGGGCACCGCCAGCGTTTCTGCCACGGTTTCTCGAACGGACAGATTTGTTAGGTTGGAATGAGAACAGATTCAGCTGTCCCTTTTGAATGACAGCAAAGACTTCGGACCAATTTCTGGCCTTGGCCTTCTTATCCACGCCATCTAGGTGGTGTTTGTGAGTGACCATTCCTTCCTTGACCCACGGCGGCCCAGCAAGTTCAAGAGACTCATCTTCAAGGAGTTGAGTTGCCGGAATCTCAGAACTCATAATAGATGGGGCACCGTCACCGTACATTTCTTCATCTCGAATGATGGCTTGGCTCAATGCATTTGCGAAACCGATCGATTGCTGATAGTCACCTCGAGGAAGGTGAGAGCCAAAGGAGTCTTGTGAAACAGATGTTTGAGTCCTTCCAAGTGAGTGGCGGCTCCATGTGGCAGAGGACGGCGTGGGACTCCACAGCGAATTGCCATCGTCGAAACTTGTACGACTCGAAGAGAAGCCGTTGCGGCTCATGCCAGCGCGAGATCGACTCTTGGATGTCCACCTTGCCGTATTGGCTCGACCGTTCTCATTGATGCGGCCGCGAACAGATAGCTGGCTCTCCGAAGGAGCCTTACTAAGGACACTGGGAGTTCTCTTGAGCATCCCCATTACAGAGAGTCCTCCACTGTGGGAAGGCTGTAGGCTGGCGTTCTTCTCAGATTCAGCACCAAACAAGGGCAGCCGTTCATCTCTGATAGAGGTATAGATTCCCTTGAGGACAGTTTCTATCTGTTCTTCCCAGGCCTTTCTCGTGCCATTAAATCGTGACTTGACTAAGGGGCCGCAGTCTTCAGTGCCTTCACCTGGTAGGGTACCCGAGTCCGCACGAGCTGGGGGTCTAAAAGAGTTTCTAAAAGAACGTCGATCCTGCTCAGAAGGCGGATCCTGGTTCTCACCAGCCGCAAGACCGTTCTTGTCTGGAAGAATGCTTGGGCGGTGGAAAGCATCAGGGGCGGATTCGTCGACAGCCTGCAAGATGGTCGTCATGGTGTTCTTGATAAACTGACTGCGGGTCATTTTCGACTCAATATCAGCCAAATGAAGGTCAGTATTGAGCAGCATGATTGAGTAGCAAATGGTGTGAATCACATCTATCAAAGTTAGTCTAGAAAATCATCGGGCAGCTCATGTGCTTACCAGTTGCCTTGAACCCATGGTTAGGATTGCAGTCACACCATCTTTTAGAAAAGGCCACCAGGATGCGATCAACTTGCTGAGTCTCAGCTCGAAAAACCAATCGTCCGCAAACTTGTCTCAGTGCTTGAACAATGCTCTGATTCGTAAAGTCATAAAGCTCCATGTAAGCTTGAAGTGTACGTTGTCTGATCGGGCCCTCTTCACCCATCCACGAGGCAGCCTTCTCCTTCTGGATGAAGTCCTCATTACCATCATAGATCTTCTGTGCCTTCTGACGATCATCTTCGGTCGGGTCACCGATGACAAACTCAGGCTCATCAATACCCTTGTTTTTAATCGAATCGAAAGTGCCAAGTACTTTGGGACTAGGGTCTGCCGAGCTTTCGATCCTCACGCTAGGAGGAGCACTGAGAGCAGACTTATAATCTGTACCAGTTGAAGCTGATCCTGGACTAGAGGCTCGAGCTCCTTCGATCGGCAGTGCCAGGTTGGAGCGGTCTGGCTCATCCTCGGAATCGGACTGCTGTGGGCGATGGGAAGGTTTCCTGGACCCAACATGGTCTTTGCCAGGTCGGGGAATGTCCCTTGCTGGAGTGTTTCCAGGCTGCTTGGACTTAGTTTGGGACACGCTACCATGCTTTCGACCCAGGTATCCACGTTCATCCTCATTATCACTAGCCCCATCAAGGTTGAGAAATGAGTTATTTCGCGACTCGATCGCTTTGGTAGGCCTTTCAGGTGGAGGGCGGGAGGGTGTACTATTGTTATTTCGCTTGTTGAGTTGCTCATCAGACTCGGAACGGACTGTTCTGATCCTAGCATTGGGGCTTGGCGAATAGTCAGGCGAGAACTCTCTCTGATATCCTTCTCTTTCTGCAGCCCTGTCGTCTCGTTCCGGTGTCATATTGGAAATATCGGCCAGTGGAGACGGTCCTTGAGAGGCTGAAGTTCCCGGAGCACTCTGACCAGACCTGAGATACGGGTTCATAACCTTGCGTAAACTGCTAACAGGGCTTGGCTGCGGTGGATAGTTGCCATCCCTATCCTGGGGAGCCAAGTTAGGCGCAGCTGTAGGGACGGGAGCTGTAGGCATTGGAGGCAGAGGAGGAGTATCTTCAGTAACGGACTTCTTCCGCCGACGAAAGAACGACGATGGTTTCTTTTGTAGGACGGGGTGATGAGAATGTGATGAAGATGTGTCGCGAGACGGTGGTGCTGATGCACTACCAGCCATCTTGTCGGCAGAAGGATTCGATTGTGGTGTCGGAGGGTTTGTCGTTTCGTTACTATTATGTGAGTTGTTGCGGGACGATCCAAACACTCTCCTGAAAAAGCCCGGACGCTCCTTGACGGGTGCAGGTGCATGTGTTGCAGGCGTTGGGCCACTGTGCACAGTCGGGTCCTTTGATTTACCATAGCCAACATTGGGTGCAGGTGCCGAATCAAGGTCCAGGGCTGGCACAGCAGGTGTAGGCTCCCGCGAAGTGGCAGGCTTGCGTCCCGACACGCTCTTCAAAGAGCGACTGCTGCGTTTGTGATCGAGTGTTGGGGGCTCGAGAGGTGGAGGTGGCATTGGTGGTGGGATAGACGAGGACATTGCCGACATCGCAGGGATCGACGGCTCCCGTCGTGGGCCACCCGGGACGGTAGGGGTCGGGGCTGCATCGTATTCGTTGTCGATGTAACTATTCGAGAACTCGACTCGAAAGGGAGACGGTTCAACAACTGGAGGCTGTACTGCTTGCTGCTGAGGTCCATAGTCAAAACTTGCAGATCTTCCAAACCCACGTCCATATCGTTGACTTCCAAGCACTTGAACATAACCAGCGTCAACACTAGCTGTACTACTGCTTTTGCTGCCCGGTTTGCCCCCTCTCGAATGCATGGCTCTCGATGAGCCTGCTCTGTGGCCTTCGCGAACGCTATTAAGGCGCGGGAAACTCGATTGGAAATTGGAGCTACTATTGCTCCGTCGGCCGCGACTCGATATACGACTGGAATCGTCTGCGCCCTCAAGATCTGAGCTATAAGAGTATTGGTGTCCGTTGGATCGGGGTGGACCTGCGACAGAATTGGAGGCTACCCAGCTTCTAGTCTGCTCGGCGGCGCCAAACTGGGGCGAGGTCTCGTCGAAGGTATGTGTACGCGATGCAGGTGTGGATGATGGGCCGTACTTGTCGCTCAACTGTGCCATGGAGAATTGATCGAGAGACATAAGCATATTAGCCACGAGGGAGTCTCGGGTGACGTTGCGAGGAGACAACGATAGGTCGTGGGAGTCGCGCTGGGTGGATGATGGAGGTAGACGGTCGGCCATGTCGTCCTCGACGGGAGTGGGATTCTCTAGAAAGGACTCATGCGCGTGAGTGTTGGAGGCGGGTAACCTGGTAGGCGCCCGATTGTTGCTGTTGTTGGAATTCGTATTGGCTAGAGACTTTGACTTAGACTTGGACTTAGACTGGGACACGCGGTATTCTGAATTCTGAGGAGGCGGCGTCTGTGGGTGCGGAATGGCGTCTCTTTCCCTCGACAACGACGAGGCAAGGGATGAAGTGTTTGTATTGATATTCAGGTCGGTATGAGGCCGACGTCGAGTCTTGCGACGAGCATTGTCGTTGGAGGACGAAGTTGAGTTCGACGGCATCTTGACTCGATGGGGGCCGGGGAGAGAAAAGGGCTTTTTTGTCTGGCTCTGGCTCTCTCAGCTCAGCTCCCTTGGCTCCTACTCTCACCTGCAACCTGCAGAGCTAAATCTCCTCTCACCAAACCAACCCAGGCCAATCTGAGTAGAGGTAGGCTAGCTGAGTTAGCAGGAGAAGCCGGCTTCCGCATGGGTCAAGAAAAAAAAGCCACGCGCGAACGACTGGGCCAGTTGGCGGTTGGCTTTGACGGACCACGGGGGCCAGGAATTGTGACGTGCAAAGTCAAGTATTTCGTCTCTCGACGGCGCCGCGAGGAATTTCAATCTAGCAGCACGAACCAGTCTCGTGGTACAAAGGTTGGTAGGTACCGAATGTATAAATGTACCTGCGTCTTAACCATCAAAACAATCATCCCAGTCGAGCTTCGGCGACAGATCTAGGGTCTTAGTCGCTGCAAATTTATTCTTTTGGTTGCCAGTCCAGGGGGAGAAGTGCCTGTAAAGAGGGGCGACAAGGGTCCTTGATGCAGGGGGGAGATGGGGTGTTAATTAATAGCAGTTGAACTCCATTGAACGCCAGGAAGTGCCCGGTGCGAACTAAAGTGAGAGCAATTGAAGACTGAGGAATGCTCATGAAACGTTCAGAGGAACGAGGGCATGCACATAACGTATCCGTCCAAGGTTACACAGTGTCCTAGAATTCAAGATCCAATAGATGACTGACTTGTAATTTTTAGGCGCCGTTCAAGTGCGTGCCCGTATGTTTGCGTGGTACTGGTCCAGTGCAGTTGAATGGAAGTTGTAGAAGCACATCCATCACACTCAAAGGCATCAGGATTGGAGGTCAGTGGATATCATCACCACAACCACCTGAAGATGAATCTACTAAAGCAACCAACAGGGCACGATGCTGCAGAACGTTCAGTAATATGCATCTGCAATGTCTGCGTCTGCAGTTGCAGGCGAAAACATGTACATTTATCAATCCTTGCTTCACCTAAAAATGCCAACCGGAGACCCTCCCATCACTCCATATGATGATGATGTGCGCTAATTCCCGCCGACCTAAACTTGAATGAACATAATTCAGTAAACCAAACCTTGTTAAGCCTTCAAACAATGTCAATCGTGGAGACAGAATCAAAAAGTTCCAGCCTTGCCGCTCCCGAGTCAGTAGGTAAACTCTAATACTCAACGGATACAAAGTCAAATCGATACAAAGGATAGCCATTAGCCACTGGGTACCTTTAGCTAGAGTGCACAGGAGTCCTCGGGCTTCAGCCTTTTTACCTTCTCAACCCTTTTTTCTGGAGCTGTCAAAAAGATTGTCCCAGTGGGCTGGGCGTTGAGGCGAGCCCAAAGAATCAAGGACCCTTGAAAAGGCAGGGAAGCCCCTTTTTTTTCTTATTATTGTTCCCCGACTGCGCGTGAGCATCTTCATCTGCCGCGGCGCCGTTCCTCTTCGGTGGGATTACTCAAGTGGTCACGAAAGGGGGAAAAGACAGGGATTCTGAGGAACATCGTTCCAGATCAGAATCAGAAGCAATGGAACACAATTGACCCCTTGCGAAGCCATGTGGCCAGACTAAGCTTAGAAGAGAGTCTTGGTTGCATTTAACTCTCAACGTCTGTGTCTGTGCTCACGGGTAGGCTCCTCTCCGAGGTAGTGAATTATCGTCATTGAGTTGATCTCAGTGTGAGATAGTAATTAACTCCAGATGTTTGTAAACAATGAACCTAGCAGCAGTTACTCTCGGATCTCTTCCGTGAACGACCCTTTCGTGGAACCGTGACATACCATCATTTGCAAACAAGCGCCACAAACTGAATAGAATCACCAAACCATGCATGGCCAAGATGGTGTTCATTGTCTTACAGAAGTTGAAACCAAAAGCCAAAGCGTACATACATTGCTAGACCGCCGAGTATCACGATCATCTCAAATATCTTCCAAGAACAGATAGTCAACTCCGATAGACTGGATATCGACATCGGTTCTCCCTCGGAGTGGACGTGTTTCATCGTTGGTTTGTTGCACCTGCAAGGTACGTGAGACATTGGGTGGATAAGATGCACTTGGTACTATTCACTATTCAGCAAGTTGAAGAATTGATCAATCAGTTTTCTGCAATACTGCTCATACCCATAGAGTCTAGTATCTTAACTATTTCGCATCGTGCCGTTTTACTAAGTAGTAGCCAGACTATGGTTAATCTGGTCGATGCCCACTGAATGCTTGAAGTCTCCATAACTCTGCGTTATTGGTTGCCTTGTCACCGTCGCATAATAACGAATTCCATATGAACTCCATGACTCAGACCCAGAGATCGGTAGAAGACATGTTATACCAATGTGCAGTGATCGTGATGGCTTCAGGTTTTGAAGCTGAATGGCACGAGTAGAATGGAAGTGCGTACACCCTGTGATTGTAGGTAAGGTCGGCGCTGCCAACCCCGCACAGCCAGGGATAGTTAAGCTCAGTCTAGAAGCTCTAGCACATTCAATATCAGAATCCCGCCTGTGAAAAGATCAACTTCGTAGCTCCTCATTTTTCATCTTATTGAACAATCGCCAGAATAATTCCTTATTACTGCAAATGCAGGTTATCACAAGCCAAACGGCCTTCTCGCCATCGACCATCTTCAAAGAAGTGTTGACTGCAGAAGAAGCCTCTGTATACTCCGGTATCCTTTTCTAATACGCCCGGCCGCGTGAACTTTCAGGATGGCGTCTTTCATGACAGAGAATTCTTCATCACCCTCCAATAGCTGGCCTCTGGATCAGTTCGTTCAAGACCCGGGATATCTCGCCTACCAGGAAGAACTTCGATGCCTCATCTTCAACACAGCTCAGACTGCAGCACCTTCCCGCGAAGCCTCACCTACACTTGGAAACTATGGGCCAACTGATGAAGAATTAGCAGCTCAGGCTCAGACAAAGACAGCCCTTGCTTCCGGACGACGACTTGAATACCTCAAGAACTATGTCGCCCAAGTAGCTCCCTGGGTACTTACGTATCACGCATGTGTTTTCTCAGTTACTAATACGCAATAGCTCGATATGTTTGACAGTAACGGGGCATTCACTGTTCAAGTCCCAGTCCTTGCTCGTAGTTGTCCAGCTCTTCTCTATGCAGTGCTCGCCCTGTCCGCTCGCCAGATGGAGCGAAAAGAGGCTAGGCAGCATTCATTCGACAGTCTGGAACTCTACCAAGAAGCTATTCGTCTCCTGAACCCCTTACTTCAAGCCAGAGACCTCACCATAATCCCAATCTGCGTCATTCTCTGTTGTCTAGAGATGATGTCGGCAAGTCCACAAGACTGGCGCCGTCATCTTGAAGGGTGTGCTGCTCTCTTCGATTCATTTGACGTCAACGGTTTCAGTGGCGGCCTCCTTCAAGCTGTCTTTTGGTGTTATGCAAGAATGGGTCTGTATTGTTCGTCAAAGCTACATGTTTCGATATTGACTTTGTTTTAGATCTATGCGGTGCGCTCATTTCTGATGGGACTCAAGGCACATTGGTACCACTGGACAAATGGCTACCTCCTGGTTCCGATCCAAACTCTGCCGCTGACATCTTTCGAGACCAGCGCTCACCGGATATGCACGCCAATTACTCAGTATATCTCTGCTCTAAAGTCTGCGAGCTCGTTGCTGATCGAACGCACCATGTCGAGCTTGCAGAGAACAACGGTTGCGATTCCGCATCTTTTGAAAGACGGTGGTTACGACTCTGGCACGATCTTCAATCTTGGTTGGAGGATCGACCGGCAGAAGTAGTTCCTGTCAAATTCATTGAAAGTCGACCATTCCCTCAAATTCTCTTTGTTCATTGGGCAGGGATCTCATCTAATCAGCTTTACCACACAGCCTGCACTTTATTGCTAGGATCGAAACCTCGGGAGGTCAAGCTTGACGTGGGACCAACGGGATCTTCCATCTGGCATGCTAAATGTATATGTGGCATTTCTTTGACCAACCCCCATCAAGGCTGCCTTAATAATGCCATACAGCCACTTTGGATTGCCGGGAGACTTCTCAGTCACAAGTCGGAACATTTGCTTCTTTCCAAGTTAATCCTGAGCATAGAGGCAATGACAGGGTGGGCAACTAATTGGCGCATCGCTGACCTTGAACACGCATGGGGTTACAAGGTTAGATGAGTTTTTACTGTCCCTTTCCACCGCTGTAAACATAAATCACGAGAAATGGATGAAGATGATACCATTGCCGATTAACGAAAGGGGCATCCAGTGAGTCATAAGTAATGTATCTTATCTATTTAAAATCCAGTTCATTAATTTCATTTTATAGCTTCATTATACTACCCAGTCCCTTGCTTAAGCAAAGATACGGAGAGGAAAGTTAGGAAGATAAAAGCCAGGATCATTGAACCGTAACCCGCGGTCCAGAGCAGAGATACTCTCAATTTCTTCTTGAGAAAGATCAAAACTCATAACATCCAGATTCTGCGCCAGGCGACTGGGGTTGTTTGACTTGGGAATAACAGCAATGTTGCGCTGCGTCGCCCATCGGAGCAGAACCTGAGCAGGAGTCTTGCCATATTTTTCAGCAATGCCCTTAATGAGACTAGACTCAAGAAGAGGCTCGGCACCGTGAGCTCTCTTGGAGAAGATGCCGGGGAGCTCCTTGAAGCTCTGGGGCCCAAAAGATGAATAGGCTGTGACGGCGATGTTGTTCTCTTGAGCCATGGCAATGAGGTCTGGTTGGACAAGGTAGGGATGGTGTTCGATCTGGAGAGAGGATATAGGGTGACGCGCGTAGCGTTGCACGTCGTAAAGGGACTGAGCCTGGAAGTTCGACACACCAATGGACTTGGCGATACCTTGGTCAACGACTTCCTCAAGTGCCTCCCATGTTTCGCGGATAGGGACCTTAGCCGGCTTGACAGTACCCTGATCGTCCATCCACCAGGCCTAGACGAATGTTAACTCCCATACACAAGAAAAACTCGGGTTAGACGTACAGGATAACGTCGCTTCTCAGGTTCAATGTACTCGAGGGCAACGGGGAAGTGAATGAGATACAGATCGATATACCCAAGGCCCCATGCCTCATTCTGAGACTTAGCAAAAGCAAGGGCATGCTCTTTCGCGTGGTAGTTATTCCAAAGCTTCGTGGTGATAAAGATATCCTCACGCTTTACAAGTCCCTCCTTGATAGCGCGCTGGATACCCTCGCCAGCTTCCTTTTCGTTCTGGTAATCGTATGCTCCGTCGAAGAGTCTGTATCCGGACTTGATGGCCTATATGGCTGTTAATACCCTTGAATCGTGAAGAAGTCCGGGTGCTCACATTATAGACGGTCTCAGCTGCTTGGTCGGCGGGAATTTTCCAGAGGCCAAAGCCAACGAGGGGCATTTCGTGGCCAGATGCGAGCTTGACGGTAGAGGGAGCCATTGTGAGTGATGTAAGTAGTCCAATTACAATTCGAGATGTGACTGGTAAGTGGGAAAGAGAAAAAGGAGGAAACGAAACTTGGAGAGAGCTTCTTGAGCTGCTTTCTTATTCATTTTGACCCCTCTAGTCTCCGCCCGACGAATACCTCGAAACATCTGTCATGATAATATCAAAACTGGTTCAGTACTGACCCAAATCATATACTGTAGACTAATCCCTGTCGTTTCCCGACGCTTAGTTATTCCTCATTTGGTAATATTCGGGAAGCTAACGAGTCAAGATCGGCTCCGAAAACCCCATGTCATACCCCATCTCCCCAGGTCCCACCCACGTAAAGGCTTCAACTTTCCCACTTTGGAGTTGCAGTCTTTTTCATATAAACACTTTATTTGCCATGGTAGACGCTGAGAATGAGGCAAAGACCCGCCTGAAGAGAACGCGGACAGGGTGTTTCAAGTGCAGGGTACGAAGACGAAAATGTAAGTCAATGATCTAGTTGTCAGAGTGGACACTTACTAATTCCACCTCAGGCGATGAAGGGAAACCTTCGTGTCAACGCTGTGTTGATGGTGGATTCGAGTGTCAATATGGCACCAAGCTATCCTTTCTTCAAAAGAATGCAAAGACGGCTTCGGGATCCCGGGGCGCAAAACAATCGTATGCGAAGCTGAGGGTAGGTTGATCGAGAACCTCAGTTGATGTATGTCTGCTAACAGAGAACAAGTTTGTTATACCAGAAACAGCAAGAAAACCTGGTACACATGAACAGCATAATGAAATTGCCTCGAGCGAACCTGAGAAGACCGAGAGTTCATCTATAGAGATAGAGACAGTTGTTGCAGCGCAGAAAGATACTTCTCAACACCAAGAACCCACGCAACAAGCAAAACCACCTGAACCGCCTATTCAGCCTCCGCCACCAGCGATAATCAGCCCCAGCAGCGAAGCTTACGTCACATCTCCCCAAGCTCCTTCTCATAGTCTACAAGACTCTGTAGACTTTAATCTCGTCATCTCGCCCTCTAATGCAGCATATGAAACCGCCCTTGACGGACTCCTTGCTCTGGGTAATGATCACTATGTATCCCCTACAGCACCTACAATATCTCAAACCGGCACCAATGGGGGACTATTCGCACCGCCGCCACAAAATGTCCAATTCGAAGTGAGCGGTAAGCCTCGTGAAGATGTCTTTCCTAATTGTCTCCATATGCCACAGGATCGTGCTGTTGAGCTGCTACGACACTACAGATACAATATTGCGCCTTGGGTACAGTTGTCCCCTCTTGTCTCTGGGAACGGCCTAACATGTTTCATAGCTCGACATAAACGATCCTGAGCAGACTTTTGGCTTACTTGTTCCACGTGTTGCCATGGACTCTATTTCTGTCCTTGACTCTCTTCTCTCCCTTTCTTTGGAAACTCTTGGAGATCGCACCCAGCTTGATCTGAATGAACAGTCCTTGTTACCTGATACGAGCACTTCCAGCATTGGAATTCTTTGCAGTGCGCTGGTTTTCACCTTTACGACCCTCCACCGCCAGTTCGCCACACAACCAACCTCCTGGTTGAGCCCGTCAAAGGGTACAGGCTATGAAACAATCAACTCGACTCCTTTCCAATTACATCACCCCACTGCCGCGCTGGCTGTGTCTTGGATGATTCTACGCCTAGGTTAGTATTCGTCTCATAAATTTCACAACAACTTCTAATAAGTTCAGGTGTTTCTGTCAGTCTTATGAACGGCTCGTCAGTCCCTATACCCTCCATCGTCTCTTGCGACGTTTCCTCACTTCTAGGCGTGTTGAATAGAGAACCACTCAGATGCGGCCGAGAGCCTGTTCTTTTGTGTGCCGAGGTCCTGAATTATTGCTTCGGGGATGATATCCAAACTGGTTCCGACACGATCCGCCTTCCGGCCGCTCACAGATGGAAAGCACTTTCTGAAGCTCTTCACAAGTGGTACACAAACCGTCCCACGGACTTCAAACCCATGCTCGAGACTGAAGACAGCGAACAACTTTTCCCTCTGGTACTCTTTACCAATGGGGCAGCAATCTTGGCCAACCAGTTGTACCACACATCGATGCTGTTGCTCCTTCAGAACCGGCCACGTACCCTTCCGAAGGAGCATGGCCGAAACATCTACTTGTCACCACTATGGCATGCTCAGCGAATTTGTGGTATCAGCCTTAATAATGATACGCGGACCAATTGGGACTTTAGTTTGTTGGCGTCCTTTTATTTTGCTGCTAAGCGGATGACTTATGAGCCCCAGCAGCATGCTATTCTGCGTGGAATTGATCGCATTGGGTCTTTGACAGGATGGAATGTGAACTCATTATCTGCGCAACTGATGCATGAGTGGCAGCCAGATTAAGAACGCAGAGTTGTTTGAGCAAGTTTTGTGTTTATATTATATTATATATATGCTTTTTGGAACAAAATTTGGTACATTTAGTAGTCATGGTTTTAACTGTCAGCTTTTTATATTGTTAGAGAATGGAGTATTACTTGTTAACTTTTTATATAAACAGTTTCAGTAACTAGGTAGTATCTATTCAACAGCCTACGAAGGCTATCAGAAGCTACCTTGTTCTAAGGCTGGGTTCGCATACTCTAAACTCATGATAGTGTAAACTTGGTACAAAAAAAATAGTCTTGCGTTTCAATTCATCTTTCTTGTATCCTAAGGCCAGCTAAGTTACTCTTTGTGACTCAGAGGGCTCTTCCACACATTTCCTTCCATTAATGTTTCCGTCCCTGAGCACATTGCGAGGCTCCAGCACTTATCTTCAATAAGATAATTTAAAGCTTGAGCCTATAATCAGACTTGCCTTATGGTGCTTCAAAAGACGCATAAATGGAGCCTTGTGAAATGCTATGAAATGGAGACTTCAATGGTAGAATGGATTTGTTGACGTCCAGAATAGGCAACTTCAAGCCCTCCACTAGTCTTGTTGTGGAGAAGTGGGGAGACGAAGACCTCCAACTGTAGAATACCATCTGCTAACGGACAATGTTGTATACGAGTAGAAGGGGGTGGAATGAGACAAATATGGCTTTTCTTTTCTTACCTGATACCTCTCTCACTCTTTCTTCGTTCCAAATTCCTCCTTGAACGTTTCCTCTCCTTAAGCCATCAATCTTCTCGCTCCATCCCATCACAATGTGTTCTCTGGCAGCCTCACAACCCCTCACCCATGATGCAACACCAATAATCGATGAGCTCAAAGTCAAGCTCAACGGCTATACAAACGATACTCAAACTCTCAAGGCTCCCCTACCGAATCCATCTTTGCAGGTCACGGCAGATCACAACCTGAAAAGAGTCGATGCGCCTGTGTATGCACCCAAGGCTGGCGAGGTTCTTCTGCACATCAAGGCCACTGGTATTTGCGGGTGAGATAAGGAATTACTGGTAGCAAGAACTATTGATCACTGATGACTCGACCAGTTCTGATGTTCATTTTTGGAAAACAGGATGTATAGGTTCCCTTGTATTTGAAGGTGATTGTATCATTGGACATGAGGCCGCTGGTGTTGTGGTTCGTGTTGGTGAGGATGTTACAGATCTCAAACCTGGTAAGTAAAAAATGAGGGAACGGAAGTAGTGCTACTTATACGAATCTCTAGGCGACCGAGTGGCTGTTGAGCCTGGTGTTCCTTGCGGTAATTGCTTTCTGTGTAAAGACGGCCGATACAATCTATGTGAAGATGTTCAATTCTCTGGGGTCTACCCTTACGCTGGAACTCTACAGAGATACAAGATCCATCCTGCCAAATGGCTTCATAAGTATGCCCAGGTGGAATATTAATGTATGAAAGCATTGAGAAACTAATATCTTCTCAGACTTCCCGACAGTGTCTCTTTCGCCGAAGGCGCCCTTCTCGAGCCCCTGAGCGTCGTCCTCCACGGTATAAACTCAGCTCCAATCACCCTCGGAACACCTGCTGTGATCTGTGGTGCTGGCCCTATTGGCCTTCTCGCTCTCGCCGCCGCGCGAGCTTCTGGGGCCCATCCCCTCGTCATTACAGACGTCGAACCCAAGCGACTGGCTTTTGCAAAGGAGCTCGTTCCCACAGCTATTACGTATCAGGTTGACATTAGCAAGAGCAACGAGGAGAATGGCAAGGCCGTGAGAAAGCTGTTCGGTGAGACGGAGTATGTTCAGCCCAGGGTTGTGTTTGAGTGTACCGGTATCGAAAGCAGTGTATGCTCGGCTGCGTATATGGTACGCCGTGGGGGTATTCTCATGGTTGTTGGTGTTGGCAGGTCGATCATGAACAATCTGCCCTTCATGCATTTGTCTCTTGCCGAGGTATGTAATCAAACTGTTTTTGATGAGGTGGGATACTAATGATAGGTTACAGATTCAACTTCGATTCATCAACAGATATAAGGATACCTGGCCAGCAGGCATTGCGTGTATCGAAGGGGGCTTGATAGATGCGAAGAAGTTGGTGTCGCATGTATTTCCTCTGGAACAGGCTCTTGAAGGATTGACCTTGTCGGCAGACCCTAAGAATGGATGTATCAAGGTGCAAATTGTAGATGAGACCGAGACAACGTATTTTTAGGAGATTCAGCGATAGTCGTGCAACTACCCTATAAACTTAGGTGTAGGTCCCCGTCTATGGATCCATGATACTGGGATTGTATTAGTGGAGCAGGCACTGAAACAATTCCATTGACCGCCACAACCTCAACCGTCTTGTCTTATATAACAATGAATGTCTAGAAGTTTAAATTTCAATCTTCTATTCACAGTCAGTAGAGTCAATATTCGTGACTTCTCATCGTGATTCTCACAGCCCAAGCCTTCCCGTCTTCTCATCCGTCTTGGCTCCAGTTAGCCACAATTATTCCCTGAATGCCGAGCCCACTAAGCCTCAGCGATCCCAGCGTCAAGTTGGTGTGATGACGTCGCATTCTTCATCGTCAAGGGGGCATCTGACATGGTATTTTGGCCTCTTACTCGTCGTTGCCTGGGCCAAATCTGGGGATGAGGGTGTCGACATGGAGCAAGGCTGAGTGAGTATTTTAGCTGTCTACCTGCCTACTTGTGTAAATAAATAGTAGCGAGAGTTCTTTTGCTTATAAGAACGTCAGCAGTCTTGCTGCATGTGAAACACCTGCTCTTCGTTCTTTACTTTTTGCCACGCGACAGTAGCTCAGACGTCAGTTGTCTTGCTTCCATATTCGGACTCATATCTAGGTACATAGCTAGCTAAACAAGGACAGACCGACAGCTCGAGTCTACCATCGTCAACCTACTACTTCCAACGACTGTTTCGATTCTCAATGAAAACCTACTAAAACCTCGCATACATAGCATCACCACTATGGGTGCAACTCAGTACTATCGCTCTCAGATTGGCGAAGAATCCGTCATCGACTACTCTCATACCGACTTTCCCTTCAAGCTTCTTGCCAAGGACGTATACTATTTCCTTGTCTATGTATGGGCACTACCATGGGTCATCTGGCCTGTCTATCCGTTCAAATGCAAGGTTTTTGACGAGCTCTATCCATCACCTCAGAACATATTCTGCGTTGTCGTTCACCTTGTTCTCTTCTTCCTGCAGATAGGATTCGTCCTGGCCCTACCATTTTCTATTGTGTTTCCAGTTTGGATGGCGGCAACAGGTATTGCTGGTTTCATGTTTACGAACTGGCTCATCTGTAAGCTTCTCAATGGTAGTAAGGAAACTTACACCTCAGATGAAAAGTACGCCGAGGCTCGACCTGAGCACGCCCATGAACAATGGGTCTTCTTGAACGGTGTTGCTGTCGGGTATGATAATCTCCAAACCACCCGTGAAATTCCCCACTGAAAAACCATAGAGAACACTGGATGCAGTCAAACCTGAACCGACTTGCGTTGACTTTCGGCCGGCCTATTCTTGGCATTCATAACCAAACTCGTGGAATAATATTTGATGTTGTTGAATGTCTGATACAGCGTAATTTTGGCTACGCAACTGGGGATGTCAGAATTTGTTTCAGACTTCTCAAAGACATCCTCTATGATGAAAGTAAATCCAAAGTTGTATTCGTACTACACTCCCAAGGAGGAATCGAGGGGGGTCTCGTTCTCGATTGGTTACTACAGGAGCTGCCACAAGATCTCATGTCTAAACTCGAGGTTTACACTTTTGGAAACGCTGCCAACCACTTCAACAACCCTCATCGCCACCGGTCTTCACAGAGGCTGGCTCGTCTCAAGCCCTTATCAGCGATGAGCACTATTCTTACTGAGTCCTCCTTTGACTCTCCTTCCAGCAGTCCACTCGAAACCAAAGATGTTTCGGATCTCAAGACTCGCAATCCGATTAGAAAGGAGTCTTCCGGTGTCTCGACTCGGTCGATTTCCGCTGCCAAAGACAGGTGCATCCTGCATGTTGAGCACTACGCCAATAGTACAGACTTTGTTGCCATATGGGGCATACTGCATTTTGCAACAAACAGAATGGAATCACGAGAACTCCCACGCTTTCAGGGGCGATTGTTCGCTCGAGCGGACGGTCGTCACGGCGGCCACCAGATGAATCAGCATTACCTAAACGCCATGTTCCCCTTGAAGAAAGATGTTGAAACTGGAGAGTACGTGGGCGCTGATGAAGACAATGAGTTCATGAACGAGGCCATCAAGGTCGGCGAAGAAGGCAGCGCTTCCGCCAACGCGAGAGAAGCCTTCGAAATATCGTGGGCTGGAACGCAGGGATTTGGATCTGGTGATGCTTCAACGCCGATTGAGGTTCATGGGATCTCAAACAGAATCAAGGAGGCTAGTGACGATCACGGAATTCGTGTGAAGGATGTGAGCCGTTTATGGAGTTACAGAAATGGTCGAAGTCCTGTAGAATTACCCCCAATGCTTGTCTCAGAGAACGGCGTGCCTAGAACAGCAACTCTATGAGCATGAGAAGGGGAGACATAAGCAGATAAAGGAGAGGCAAAGCATCAAGGAGTGCATACCCAGCAGAGTTGTATGAACGATCCCCAAGGCCAGTCGTGATGGTATCGCTAATGATTAAAACCTCACACGATTGGTGGAATTGTATTTGTTGTAAACGCATTTCTCTTCGTTAATCCTAGCGAGCTTGAGAAGCCACACGGGCTATATTAGTAACGAAGAGCGTCTCACATGTCGTACTAGGCTGGACCACCACATTATTATTGCGAAAGAGAGTCATTTCAGCTTCATTCTCAAAGAGACCTTAATTCAATATGCATGTCTAGTATAAGTCTATTGGTCACAAATGGTTGGTCAGAAGTTCTCGCAACGCTAACTTTCAAATTTACTCCTTATCCATGATCTTAAACATCGCTAAATGTTCAATCGACTTGCACTGCATTTGGCTCTTTATTCATCATATAATACATATTTGGCTGTAACCAAAGCCTTTTCATGGCCCATGAAACTCTCCTGAGTTCTTATTGTGATGTATCTGGTCGGGGGTAACCAGGAGGTTGGCTATTTGTGTTCCTTCGTCTCCGAGTGGCGGTATTCTGGCTTTCCAGAACGTGAGTCGACTCGCTGATTTCCAATGGGTAGACTGGTTGTGTAACTGCTGGCCGGGATCTTCCAAATTCAACAATGCGACCGTGGAATTGGATTCCTCCGGAACCCGATCTCACCATTTCCGCGCCATCGGCCTCCACCTCTGGTCTAGGACTCGAGGTGATTTCCCTTCTAGAAGCCCCTTCAGAATTCCAGGGCCCTGATTGCCTCAGCTGCCAAGATTGATACCCCGAAGAGGTATTATCAGGACTATCTGTGGCTGTGACCGATGGGACACGACGGGCCCACATGGGGATAGGAGGGTTCCTCGAGACAGGTTGATCTGACTTGGAGGAAGAGTTTCGTGACATCGGCTGAGAAGAGTGACTTTCAGGTCCTGACGAAGGTGGCCGAAGGGTGCTGCTTGTAAGACTATTCGGTAATGAAGATGACAAAACCTCCCCCGTGGACAGAGTACGTCGATGATAATGCGCTGGCTGCTGATAGTGAGAAATAGGTCTGAGGCTGCTCACTGAATGGCTCGTAATAGGCAGACCCGGTGCCCACTGGTCAATATCTGCATCGAGAGATGTATCCGAATGACTTGCTCGTGGACGGCCTGTTATACGATCGTGGGTGAGCCAGTCTGCGTTGGCAATCTCCATAGTTGGAATTATGCCATCTCCTGAACCCATGAATGGGTTTTCTTCAATACGTTCACGGCTTATCTCTCGAGGGTGAGAGTCTGGTCGAGGGATAGCCCCCACACTCTCACCCCTGATTGTTGGTTTTACAACGCGCTCAGCAGGCTCAAAGAGTGGCCTTGAACGAGAGACACTTGGTTCTCTAATCAAAGTCCAACTCTCATGCAGGTCACGTTCAGATACCCTTGGGCTGTTGCCACTTGAACGTCTTTCTGCTGGCCGTTGCCGAGAAACCCCCCTCCCCATTAAGGTATCATCGTCCTCATAGAATACCGGTACGGGCATTGTACTATCGCAAGGATACGGTGCATCGTTGTCGTCTTCCAGTGAAGGGAAACTAGTGCGCAAGTCCCAAGGGGTTTGCTTCTCTTCCTCAAGATTGTCGTCATCTGGGGTGGTAAAAGAGCTTGACAGGGAAGCACTGTTGCTTTTCTCAAATACTGACACATAAGGACCCCGAACCCATCTTCCTTCAGAGTCTGTGGTCATTGAGCGTGCCAAGGTGCGAATCTTGACTTGAATATCCTCAAAACGACCTTGCAATGCTTGCTCAACGGCCATAAGTTCTAAACTCGGTCTGTCGACTTCTTGGAGATGCTTCAAAATCCTTCGGCACTGGGTAGCATATCTTCTATAGTCGTCTGGAAGACCCATTTCCTTGTTGTTCCTGGCTCGACTATCTCCCCGGTCGAAAGATTCGAGGAAAACAGCGGCAGCACGTTCAAGCCAAAAATTGTACTGTCCGTCTTTCTTCAAGGCTTCGAGAAAGAAGCTTTGTACAATGCCGTGGATCTTGAGCACATCGAGGGGCTCCATCGGCCTTGAACTAGGGATTGTCTCGCCTGGTGTGCTCACTGATGGGACATCTTCTATCTCGTCACGCTCGATGAGAGCAAATGCTATGAGAACGGTGAAAGTCTTGTTAAGACTCCGCTTACCCATCGAGTCATGGGTACGCACAGGAGTCCGTTTGTCAAGTGCTTTCAGGCCTATCAAGTTAGCTTCATCGCGAGAATGATGAGGGGCTGAAAACATACCAAGTGAAAGCATCTCGACTGGGACTCGCCCTCCCCAAAATGCGAGTAAATACATGAGGTTGAGCGCCGCTGTCTCCCCTCGTTCCTTAAGCTTTTCTCGCACAGCCTTGTAAGCCCCCAGCCCACCGGTACGGGGCCGCTTCTTGTAAGATCGAATGTACTTTGACAGTGGCTCTTTGGTAGCTTTCATCTGACCAGCTGCGGTATGGATGGCTAATGGAAGACCTTCAACCAACTGAACTACTTCGAGAGCGCGGTCGAGATCGTCCTGAGTCCAAGGTCTCTTCTTGTCCATATCCTCAAGCAGCAACGTCCGAGCATCGTTATCAGCCAGTGGCCCGAGTTCGAGTTTCTGGGGATTGTCGAAGTGATGGTCTCCAGCGATGGATGTGTCAGTAGACGTTAGTATCAAGCTTGAGTTTCTCGCATCGGGGATGCAATTCTTCAGATTGGGGGTGTCATATAGAGCTCCATCCAGGATGAGGAGCCAGTTCTCTGATCTGTCAAGCCAGTTTCGAACTAAAGGAATCACCTTGCTCGGATTCTGGAGGGTTGTCTCGTCCTGTATATCAATTTCTGCCCGAGACATGGCATGTTTAGCGATCCTCAAGAATCCATCTTCGAGATCTTCAGGAGTCTTGGTGCGTACCCAGAAGACGCCGCAAGAGTAGTCATACCGATGCTTGAAAGCATATTCCCTGGCGAGATGTGTCTTTCCTCCTCCAGGAACTGACCATATGAGAACTGCAGAAGTACCCTGGTCTCTGCGCTGTCGGTCCATGAGCATGGTGTGAAGATCTTGCAACTCTTGCTGTCGACCTCTGAAGAGTGAGTTGGGTCGGAAGCGTTCTGGATGAACGAAAACTGATTCATATCTATCGAGTAGCGCCAAAGCTGATCCTTCAAGGACTGGTTTCTTCCCCTTGAACGATGATATATCTTGACTCAGCACAGGTGTCTGAGTCTGACTTGTGTAGGGAGACATGATCTCGTTTGCCCTTGCCATGGCGCGGGCTCGTCTCTCGTCTTCTTCAGCAAGCCATCGTTCCTGAGTAGCAGAAGGGGCCCTCTGAATCCACTGCTGTATAGTGATGGCAATGTTACGAAAGCCTGGGGAACTGGTGCTATCGAACTTGCACATGTTGGAGTGTGATGCCTCTATTCCGTAGTAAGTGACGCCAGGCAATTGAGGTCCAGCTGAGTTGGCATCGACAATAATAATTCTTATCACAAACAGTTAGTTGGGTGACCAAGATGGCGAAGAGACAAGACAACATACTTGTGGCCCTTGATATCCGTTTTCTGATTCTCGCGAACCATATGAATCTCAAAACGCTGATAAATATCCAAAAAGTGACTGTTGATATTCGCCAAGGTTTCGTTGTCTTTCTTAAGAGTCTTCAAAAGCACCGACTCAGAGTCGAAAAATCTCTTGGGTATGACTGCATCGGACATGGCTTGAAGAATGAGGCCCCAAGTAGCTGCATCTGAGCCAACATGGGGTGTTCCCAAGAAGACCAGGCCGAAGGTCGAAACGAAAATGGATCGAAAATGTTCAAGGTGAGGTTCGCGAACATCAGATGAGTAGAGGAGAGCTCGTTTGACGAGGATGCCCCCCAGGCTATGGCATACCCAAATGATGGGATTCTTCAACGTGCCTTCGCTTTGCCGATGGAGAGTCAGATTTGTTACAAGATTCTGCGCATGCTGGTGAATGAAGCTGTCGCTGGCTGTCTGGTTGTTCTTTTTAGAATAGACGTCTGCATTATACCCATAGACCAGGATGTTGGTCTGGGCGCCTCTGAGTGCAACTGGTAATAGGTCTAGAGGCCAGAAAGTTCCATTCTTAGCCGTCCATGTCTTGTCGGGCGTTCCATTGAGCCCATGGACAAGAACAATGTCAACTTTGGCCTCTGGATGAGTGTATACCGCTGTTGTCTCGTAGCGGGCTATTGAACGGTTCTCGGACCCCTATTTCAACCACTGTTAGCCAACTGCTGCACACTGTAAAGGAGACTCGACAGGTTCGAATCGTGAATCTCACCATGATGTGTCGTCGAAAATGGGGAAGCTCGATATTCGTGGTGTCGTTCCAAACATTGGGGAATCCCTGAACAGAGCTAAGTTAAACAACCTTGCAAGAAATGCGCGGCTGATCGGCGTATAAATGGCCGCTCGAATCAGAACGAGGCTGTCGACAATTGCGCTGCCTAATAAGTGACAAGCGTGAGCAATCATATCCTCTCACCGAGGCTGTGAATTGCCCCTGTTATTCTATTTATCGCCGGGCTGAGTGCGACGCGCCATCTTCAACTATTGGGGGCCATCACAAGACTCATACTCAAGCTAGATATTGAAAGCTGAGTCAAATGGTGCATGTCCGTGTCCGTGTCAGGGGCAGTGGCTGAGCTCGCCCAGCTGAATGGTGCCTGTAGGGCGTTTTTATCGCGTTGGCCGAATGGGTTTCAGCTAGACCTTTTTTTGTCCATTTTCGGGGGGTGCTATATAATTGGCAGGGCTGTTCGTTTTATACTGTTTCATCATTGACGGGCATGATGGATGGATGTTTGCTGAAGAAAACCCAAACCACGAAAAGCATCAGTTTTATGAGACTGAAATACGCATAAATCTCTAAATAGCTCTGAGTACTAAGCAGTTTTATAGTGCACGAATAGAGGCTGTTTTTGTAATTATTTGGAACCTCGGACTTTCAGTTGGTTTATATAACCTGGAAGTTTTGATTACCTTGTTCTTACTACCAGTATATGGCTAGACACTGAAAACCTCCCGCCTTGACCACCAGGCCATGGCGACTAGTAAAGACTGCAAAATTGTTTGCAATTTTCTGTGATCTAGGTATACTTATAGAATTTATTTGTTTTTGTTTTTTTTGCTTCTTGGCAACTCTTTACATGACAGAATATTTCAGAAGGGGCATGTCGTTTACCCCTGTCAAACAACCTTGATGATGACTACCTTATAGATCTGGTGATGCCCTCACTCAAGCACATACGACCATACCTATCAGAGAGCTCGGGGTCCCGTCCGCTCCCCCATAGATAAGCTGATAAGGGGCGGATTAGTAGTTGGGTCGGTGACGACCAGCGAATACCTGCTGTTGTATGTCTTTTTGCCCAGTTATGGTATCTGACAGTCGTAGAAGACTGGGCATCTTCCTCGACTAGTACCGGAAGACCCTGACGTTATGTTCCAACAGGTTTGATTCATGCAGAGTTGCGTTGGTGAGTGGTTGAGTTTTGTCTGGTGCTGTTTACCAGGTATGGAGACATGTTATAAGGATCACTAGACAGAGACATAAAGAGGCAAACCCAGCACTAGTAATAAGGAATTTGATTTTGTTGTTCAAGCTTGAAACCCATTTGCTTCTACATAATGTAGAACAACCTGTTCTAATCATCCATTTGTTCGAGGCATTTAGCAACTGTCAACTGGTTGCTCCTGTACTCATTGCAGAGCCAATAATGGTGCTGCATTGCTTGCTCATCTGGAGGCTTCAATCAATACTCGAGAGCAATTGTTAGGCCTTTAAAGAGCTTTTCACATCTGTATCACTATCTTAAATGCCATATGCATGGATGAAACAAATCTAGAAGATCAAGCTTTCTTGCTCTCTGTACGAAGGGGTTCCAGAACTTAAGGTGAACTCCTTGATGACTACATGCTAATTTGTGTGAGCTATACAAAACGTTCTCACTCACTAAATCCTCACTCATGACCTTGGACAAAGCCCTTATCAAACAGCTTCTCGATTTGTTTGCTTCAATAGCTGCTCTTCAAAACAAGACTTTTGAACTCATCTGATGTCTTTGATGACCATGGCCAAATAATAATGACTTGACCCAGGGAATGAGGTATGAGGCGAAAAGGAATGACCGAGAGAAGAGAGCTCCCAATTGGCGTCTGGGCCTGAGATTGTCAACCCTCGTACCATCACGATCTTGAGAGAATTTGAAGAGATAGGCGTTGATTACTTGTGATGTAATTTCATCAATGATCTTATCATGGTTTATGGAGCGTCGATCAGAGTTCATCTGAGATTTTGTAGCAGTGCTGTCACAGCTTGCCATTTCTGTTCAGCGAGTTGGTGCATGAAGATAGTCAAAACTTGTTGATGTTAGAGGAAATATGAGGAACAAAAAAGTGCCAAATGACACATAGCAGCACTAGGAAATAGCACTGCCCCGGAACGTGGACATGAATAAAGAATCAACGCTTTTCTTGACTTCCGTTGAGTCCACCTGAGGTGAAATCTTCAATTAGTGTTGTCATTGCGCCAATCCCGGGATTCGCGGTCTCGATTCGGGAATACAGCCCGGGGAAAATCTCATTAAAATTCACAGCAGGTTCATCTTTGGCTCAGAGCCTGGTTCCTTGAGCAACCTCTCATATGTGACGCATTCAAGGCTAATGCTCATTGAACTGGTGGAATGAACCCAGGCTCCGGCGAGTTGCTCTCAGCCGCAATTGTCATCCAATCTCAGGGAGGTTTCCTGGCCGTAGCGCAGTTGAGTCATCGCTCAGCCCTTTGACACCTTGACAGAAAGCTCGGGAGGTATCCTAAAGCCTCCCTGATCCGTGGCCTCATTTTCAGGGAATTGTGAGAATCGACCTCTCCTTCATGGGAACCTCGCCTCTGAATGCCTGTTGACATGGTTCCAGACGTCGTATGTGTTCTTAAATGGCCACATTAAACTATGTTATTTTGCCAGGTTGGATTCAATGTTATTCTGAATATGATCCGAGTTTCTTATTTGTGGCAGACATGGGTCTGCTTGCCGCATGACTCCATGTTGGGGATACACGTTGAACCTTCGGTGAAACTGACCACCACATGCTCAAATGAGTATCGTTCCATTTTCGCAGAGATTAGTCTCGTGGCGCAAGCATGATCACATACTCCCTCGTGCTGTGACCAAATTGAATCATATCCTTATCCCTAAGCTCCAGATACCTGCTATCTGGGATCTTGCCATCGTTCAACGTGGTCCCATTGGCACTTTCCAAATCGATAAGGTACGGCTTGACCTTGCCAATTTTGTCGCCAAACTCGTTCCTCTTCTCAATATAGCGGAATTGAATCACAGCGTGTTGCTTGCTGATGCTTGGATGCTCCGCGGGTAAGTCCACAACTGACATTTCTCGCCCGATGAGCCAGCAGCTCCTCGTGCTGAGCTCTATTGTGTCGACAATATCTTGGCCTTTGAAAACGAACAACTTCCAGACATCGCGTGGCGAGGGCTTACGCGCCTCGGAGGGCTCGTGATACTTGAGTGTAATTGTCGTGCCGTCCGCCTGTGATACTGAATTCGACGCCGCCGCCAATACGCCCGTGGATCCAAAGTTGGGCTTTTCCTTGGGTTTCTCGGGAGCCTCGCCGGTGGTAACGGCGAAAGAGTCTGCCTGGGATGGTAAAGGACCAGTGCGCCTCACAGGGCTTCGCTTTGAAACCCGTCTGTCACCTTCGCCTTCATCATCGTCACGTCTTGGCTTTGAACTCTTATCGTCTCGTGATCTTCGACGTCTATGTTCACGGTTTGTGTCTCGTTGACGGTCTCGGCTTCGTGACCTCCGCCGTGAAGATTCTGGTGTCCGGGACCGTCTTCGCTCGCGTCGGTCCCGTGATCGACGACGTTCTCGGCGTCCGGAGTCACGGTCTGGGTTTTTTGATCGACGATCGTCTCTGGATTCGTTGTCCTCGTCCTCGTAGCGCATCCGGCTGGGCCTACTTCCTCGTTCTTCGTCCGACGGCATTGTGGTAAGATACGCGCAATGGAAAAAAAGATGCAGGGCAGCCAAGGTGACGCAGCTAAGATGGAGAACTAGATCTGCACCAGCATGAAGAAAAGTGGACTATGAAGCGCGTGGCTGGTACACTAACTGAGATGGGCATAAAACTGTGGCTTAAACACGTGGGATGCGCTTGCACATGCCATTTATGATAAAAGTTTGATAAATTTCCAACTGTCATATCAAAGATAAACTCAATGGATCTGCTCTATGCTACCTCTATTTTCACTTGGGTAGGTTTACCATCGCTCATGCGCCGCCATAGTACTCCAGTAAGTAGCTGCCTGCAAATCCCAAAAAAGACCAAAAATGTTAAAAATCCCGCTTTGGATATCAAATCTCATCCCTCAAAAATCCAAAAGTACGTATCAGTAGAGTCAAAATGTATCGTCAAGTCGTCATGGGGTGCGAAATTGCCTATCCTTAAGTGGCAGAAGGAATAGCCATAGCGGTTATCCTGGAGCCATTGTCAAGATAGGCTTCAGCGTTGGTGTTGAGATTTTCAGCGCCTTTTCTAGAGACGGTGAGACGCTGCTCATCTTCGTTCCACCAAACATCGTCGCCGACCTCGGCGTCTCCTGGGACTAACAAAAGCATACCGTTATTGTTACCAAGAGCAATCCTGCAAGAGGGGTCTTTCACAAAGGTCTCGAGAAAGGGGACGTCGTAGCCCTGCATCCCCCGCAACGGTCCCCCACTCTCCACAAAGTCTCTGATCAAATTGCTTTTCTCAAGGCTCCAGAACTGGCGGAAATCTTCTGGGCGTGAGAAGGCATCGACGTTTGTGAGAAGCTCAAGCATGCCTGCCATGCCGTTGAGGACGGGGCTGAGAAAGTGGACAAAGGAGTTGAGAATCTCCTCACGAGAGTATCGGGACTCTGTCTCTGTTCTCAAGGCTGGTGACATGGTGTTCAAGAGAGTAAGAAGGCGTTCTTGGTTCGAGGGCAGTGGTGTTCGGACGCGATAGGTCATGGTTAAGAGGGAGACAAGAGAGAACATGGAGGACATGGAGGAGAGAGGGTTGGAGAGGCTGGCAATGCTATCGATGTAGATGGCCTTGTTTGGCTGATTTGTGAGCAACTTGGAAGTATGCATGCTGCTGGTCTTGTGCCGATAGTATATAGAGTTTGTCGTATAGATGTATGAGTTGGTGTTGACAAGGTAGACCTTGGTATATATAGTGATGTAGTTGAAGATTCAGGTTGTAAAGACTAGAAAGATGATGGACCAAATATCGAAGGACTCTGCTTCTGGAAGGACATGCCAGGCTATTTCAATGAAAGGCAAAGATCCATTCTACTAGAGTCAAAATAAAAGAAGCGCCGACTCCCCCCTCCCGTCCCCCTTCCAAAGACGCCATCCCATCTCCGTTGGCTCCGTTTCCTTACCCGTGGTGTGTAAGTGACCTGAGGTGAGAAGCAGTAGAGCAGAGTGGAGGAAAACCCTTAGCGAGACCCTAGTCCCTGGATACCTCTGACAAGGTACCTGATTACCCAATAAAGTCACTCATGATAGCAAGGTGGTCGATTGACAGGGCTCCAGGCCCCCACGAGAGGAGCCTCTGGAACCACGCATCGGGTAATTCCCAACTGAGCTTGGTCTTGACAGTGGCTGGCTGTAGTGGTATGGCCAGCGGGTCAGCGCATCGCATTTCCTATGTCGCCGCCTGAAGATTAGCGGCAGCACAAGCACAAGCTTAGGTTTGATTCATGTTCATGTTTTGTGTATTTTTGGCCTGTGAAACTTGTTGAGAGTGCAACTTTCACATGGTAACGCTGTCTATCTCTTGTATGTGATGTCAGTTGAGATGAGATGGTTCAACAAGATGTTGTACCATATATAGACGTAGGAGGTGCCTTACGTGTCATCATAAACCCAAAGATTCCGATACTCGACCTGTTCCAAGTTTGTTGATATCAAATCAATCGAGCTTGTCCTATCCTATCCTGTCTCAGGTCAAACTTCGAAGCAGTCTTTTCTTGTCACTCGGGCCTTTTACTCCCTCTGATCCCTTCTTGGCTGACTCCCTCTTCTGTCCCTCCATTATGGGATCGTCTCCCGTCCTTCCCGCGGCTTACGCGCTTCCAACCTTTCAAGCCAAAAAATATTGTTTTCGACAATCATCAGAGCTCTGAAAACCCCCACTCGAGTTTCTACTCTGTGCCCTCCATCAATGGTTTGCGGGGAGGTGAGCGGAGCGGGTAAAGCAGTTCCATATCAGCCTCTACAAGGACTTGCCTTAGCTTAGGCTCTTCCTTGAGCCTTGAATTGGGAGTCTGATGAATCTACGTGGCTCCCCAGATTCTCTCAGTCCTTTGTGTAACAGCCTCGTTTGATAAGCATAAGCACTGTAGATGCAATGTACGTACGTACGTGTTCCCGACTCTACCGAACTTGACTTGCGGCGTAGTCTTCGGTCGAATTCACCAGTTCGGGTTCCGTCCCTCTCTCACGTTATGCCGTTTCCATATCAATCTCATCTGTCTCTGACTTTCTGTCTTTCTTTCTCTCGGATGCAACGCTCCGTTATGTCATGCTGCGTCTCTCGGCACGTACGGTTTCATGGAATCGTCATTGGTTGGACAATCTGTGTTATCAAACACAACCCTGAATGCCCTCACCACAAGTCTCCTGACAAATGCGGCCCTTTTCCCGATAGCGAGCAAAAAACAGGCGATGAAATCTAGACTCTTCGGTGTTACTCAGATTCCGCATTAGATTTCGTGTAGATCGCATGTTGATATTTGATCTGGATGGTACGTCTGCCGCAGAGCCTCAACTCTCATTCAGCCCTTTGCTATAATATGAGTTGAAGCAATAACCATGCTTGTCCCCGATTGCTGGAACTGGCTGCCTATTGTATCAGCGCGTTGCATTCCAACTAGCCCTTTGCAGAGTTGCTAAGCCCTAAAGCTGTCTGTAACATCTCCTGACATATCATAACATCTCCGCTCAGACGTATTCCTGTTCTGTTATCGTAGATGACATACGAATACCGTGATTTTTCTTTCTCCTTTCTAGAATATCCTGACTCCGCGGGCCGATTTTTAATATATAACTGGGCCTTCATTGAGGAGTGCCCACTCTGTTTGCCCTACTTTTCCGTCATGCTCAAGAAGCGGGTCTATATGACCATGATCTTTTGAATAGCAACCACGAGTAAGGTAAATAGTGACGGTAAACAATTATCATCGCTAGATATGCGTTTCCAGTATTTTGATACTATGAATAGATGCTCAACCCTGCCAACATACTGATATACAGGGCTATACTTCACCAATGATTATTTGATACTACTTTGGCTTGGCTATGCCCAGGCTCTTCCATGGGTTGTTCAACACTGTGCCCTCTATTATTAGGCTCCTGACACACGACCACGGAGGAGAATGTTTCTAGGTTGTTTAAGATCTCGTAGATCAGTGAAACGAAAACTTTCCTTCGGAGGATGTTTTAGTTTAAGCTTGTTCACTACATGCTGTGTTACTATAGTTAGTCTCTTCGCTTTGCAAGCTTGCTCTCAAGTTGTAAGTCAGGGTCTTCAGCTGATACATTTGTCGCCGTCAACAATGCAGCTACAACAAAGCTTGACCACGTGTATTATTGTACTCTAAACACCGACAAAAGGCCTCGCTCCTCACCGTTTCACCCAGTGGCTCAGAGTCCTGACCGACCAGTCACTCGGCTCGGCTCGGACTTAAACTTGCAGTGGTGGCGTCTCGACTGACTGAACCGTTCAAACAGCATGAAACCGTTCTACGCCATGTTTGCAATGCTGTCTATGCAGCAACGCCAGTTCATCACTTCAATACGTTCCGGATACAGGGTGCGATGTGGTTTCAATGAACCATTATAGGGTGAAGCTGGCCACTTACACCGAATGACTCAACCGGCTTACTAGTCGCAATACCGTCAGAAAAGATTACAGCTCCAATATTCAGACAGCTCCTTCAACTTCCAAATCATTCTATAAGATTTTAACAGCACGCATATAGCAAGAAGAATTAATATCTTAATATGTGACCTACCTCAGTGAAAGAAAAGATCGTGAAATCAATTACGTCACGGAACCAACTACAGAGACTCTTCTCTGCACCGAGTGTGGCACCCGACTACAGTCAATACAACACACAAACTACAATGTCGACCATCAACAACAACCCCGAAAACTACGCCCTCTTTCGGGACTGTTTGTCCACCACTCTCCTTCAACCCGCCTCTTCGGCCCCGGACCCGCCCAAGCGCCGTCGGCGTGGTAAGAACACCTGTGCTCCGCTCGTTGCATCCACCCCGGCCCAGGATCCGGAGAAGGATGCTGAAGAACTTGCTGAATTTGTCGATTATCTCGCTACTGAGATCTTCGAGAATCTCCCAGAGGAGTTGCAAAATCTGGAGTATCGGACATGGCGAGAGAATGGAGCGTTACAGGAGCAGTACTCTCTCCCACTCACTAAAGAAAGCCTTGTGGTGTTAAACCTGCCACCGTCTGTGATTGAGACCCTCACAACTTACAACCTTATCTCTGCCGATCCCTATGTTGAATCACATCTCCCGTCCTCCCCAGAGTCATTCCTCCTTCCCATTCTCACCTCCTACATAACTCATCTCATCGAGCCACCTCCTGCTACACGGTCAACTCGGGCTGACGCGTGTGAGCTATGTGCCCGATCGTGGGTTCCTCTGTCCTACCATCACCTCATCCCGCGGTTCGTGCATGAAAAGGCCGTTAAGCGAGGATGGCACCGCAAAGAAGATCTGCAGAACGTGGCGTGGTTGTGTGGTGCATGTCATCGCTTTGTTCATCACTTCAAAACTCACGAGGAGCTTGCACGGGACTACTACACTGTTGAGCTGTTGCTGAACGAGGAAGAGGTTCAGAGATGGGCTAACTGGGTTGGCAAGTTGAGATGGAAAGGAAGATAGTTCCAAGGCGTGGCCTGCACGAGTAACGAAAGGAAGGGAGCATTGCATCATACAAAGCGTTCTAGGAAAGTGATGATTCTCATGAAGTTTATGGACTCGTTGAATATTTATTATCGCTCAGTATCAATTCCTAAACCCTCCTTGTCTTATACTGAGTAGTATGATTTAAAAGCATGCGGCCATAGTAATCCTTGGAAAATATCTTGTATAATTACATGAAAGTTATGAGCATCTCTCAAGATGGATGGGTGTTATAGACTATACCGGCATGCATTAACCTTGTGCTCCCATCCTTCTATTACGATCCACCAAATATCTATTCTTTAACTGCTTATCTGTTGAGCCGCTATGGCAATGGTTGAGAAACTGTGGTTGAGTGAGATAAGAATCTACAAGTTCTGTTGAGGCGTTTCTGTAGTGACAACTCATTGAGTCCCGGCCAGATATGCAACCTAAACCTAACATGGTCTCATAATACAACGAGGAAGACATGAAGGATTACCTTAGACGAGCAATGCGTCTTACATCCAGGCGCGAGGATATTGCTGAAAGCAGTCATTGTGATAAAAAAATGATGTCTTGAAGCTTTCCTCTTGGTGTCAAGATCGGCCATAACACCTGAGGCGTCTATCTATTTCTCGTGAAATTGTCACAACATGGCATTGTCACAGTTAATCATGATCCTCCTCAGTCAAGCCTGGACAGCCCTCCATCTCAACATCAGGATACGCCATTTTGCACCAGAAACAATACTGATGCTTTTCCCTCAGATACTCCAACACGCTCTTCAACCGCTCCCCAATCTCGAGCTCATTGAACTGATACAGCTCCTCATCTTCTTCGTCCAGATCCTCAGCCGTAGCATACACCGTATATCCCTTCCCCAATGCCCTCTTGTCGTCTGCATCTTCCTGGTCGTCTTCGTATGTTGGTAATCGCGATAATGATTGCTCAAGATCGTAGCGCATGCGTCGGTCGCGTTCTGCTTCCTCTCTGTGTCTGACTAGACCGCGATAAATAATTGGTATTGACTTGAGAGGACGGGATGAGATCGGCACCGGTTTGTTGTTTTCATCTTTAAAATTTGGGTTTGAAGCACCAGGGCCATAAACTCCTGTCTTCTCATCGTCCATCCTCTCTGCTGTGCGCTGGGCTGCAAAGAACTGCTTCTCAAGCCTTGCGTCCTCCCGCTCTTTTCTCACACGGTCACGGTACTCGTCTGGATCCATTTTAACAGCTTTGATGTCCCTCTCTTCAGCTGCTTCTCTCATCTTGCGCTTCTTCTCATTGTCCAAACCAATACCTCCACGATCGTCCTTCATGCTGACCTTGATAGGCTCTGTGCGGCCGGGAGCAGCTCCGTCTTCTGTCTTTTTTCCTAGCCCACCGCCTGTAAACCCCATCTTGGCCATCATGGCGAGTCCTTTGCTCTTTTTTGCCTTGGCATCGTCAAGCATTGAAGTTGAGAGAGCCTTTTCACGTGCGGCTTCTTCTTCCTCTGCAATTTTCTCTTTTGACTTGATGATACCCCGTGCACGCGATTCACGCTTCAGTCGCTGTGTACGTTGTATGGATGTCTCTTTTACAGGTGCTGGATCATCAAAGGACATGTTCATGTAATCATCCTCTTCTTCATCCTGTGCCCCTGCACCGTTCTTGTGTTCGGTGCTCATACCTCTTGTTTCTGTATTCGTGGACGGTTTGTTTTGTAATTGATAAGGACGAAATTGAGGTGTAGTTATGTTTTGATACTTCAAGATTTGGCGTTGATGAATGAAGGCTGTTTCAAGGACAAAACAGTGGGCTCCACTAATTTTTATTAGTGGTTGAAGGCGTCCACTTCAGGCAGGCGTCTGCACTCAGTCTATCTCTACCTACCCTGCCCTCAGGAAGCAAGAAAACATCTAATATTTGATAACAGTGCTAAAAATAACTAGACTCAAGACCTACTAAGTTATACTAAGCTTACCTAAATCTTTTTATTGCTTAGGATATTAGATCTAAGTTTCCTTGCCTTCCCTAGCCTGCTACCTCAGGTTGAAAAGCATCCGTCAAGTTTAGACTATCAAATCAATAGATATTAACTTCTCAAGCTATTTACTGGTTGGATTACTCAAGGCTCATACTAATATGGTTATCTTCGCCGTATTGTAACGTCTGTCCCATTTTGAAAGAGCTCTTTGAACGTCAGGACTATAAATGATTTGTTTACAACCAGAGCTTGTAGAACTTTAGCAGTAGGTCGCAGTCAACAATAACACCACGCTTTTCAATAGCACACATTGAATGAACATACGAAAACATGTATTGGTATCCTGAGCCTATACCTACGCCATTGTATCCATTTACCTGTTCTTGGCCCTCTTTCTCGCAGACTTCTCTCGCTCGTATGCATTCGCCTCGCGACCCTCCTCGCTTTGGATCTCAGCAACGAGACGCTTGTACTTCTTCTCGTACGCCTCGTCCTTTGCCTTCTTGATCCGCAACTTCTCGCGTGCCATAAAGTTGGCGTCCTTGCGCAGCTCCCGCAGAGCACCCTTGCGTTCCTTCTTGTGCTCCTTCTTGAGCTTGGCCAACTCTGCTCGCTCGCGATCGGGGTCGTAGTGCTTGTCTGGATCGAACGTCTCCTCGAACTTGGGCACATAGGTTTTGATTGCCAGGGGGCGATGATGATGGAGCTCAACATTGCGGCGAGATAGTTGTGCGACCTTAAGCATGCGGTCGAATTTGACTTGGAGCTTCTCGATTCTCTCATTGAGAGGGGCGGGTAATTGTGACCGGCAAGTCTTGCTGCCGAGGTGTTTGAGTACGCTCGCAGCCTGTCCAAACGTCTCGAGGAACGCACTCTTCCCAGTCCATGTATCCGCTGCAGTTTCTATAACTTGTGCTGTGGTATCAAGGATAGCAACCTTGCGGGCTATCGTCTCAGCCTTTTTGGCTTCTTGCTCGATGCAATCTGAGAAGTTGAGTCTCCGTGACTCTGACTTAGCTGCAGCTTCTGTGCGGACACCCTCAGGAGCATTGTGGAGAGGGAAATTTCCGACCTTCTTGGAAGTGGCAACAGGGGCCAGAGCCAAGAGTGTATTCAGAGAGAAGTTGATAACCTCGGGCACGTAGCGCTTAGCAAGTTTCTGGTAGCTGACGGCAAGAATACAGAGATATGTGCCAGTAGCATAATGTGCCAGATTCTGTGGCACTCTTTGGCCAAGGTATCGAGTGATTGTCAACACAGCAGGAGTGACCACTTGATGAAAGTGATCGGAAGTAGGGAAGATGGTGCCCACTGCAGAAAGCAAAACCAGATCTCCAGTTCCTAGTGCCAAGGGTCGGGATTCGCCTATCTCTTCAAGATTCTTGCGGAACTGCTTGCTAATTTCGACAGGAAACATCTTTGCGAGAGAGTGGATGTGCCTGACAATGCTTTCAAGCACCGCAAAGGGGGGAGAAGTGGCAGGTTCCCAGGGCAGACCGACGTAGTCAACTAGAGCAGTTGCAAAGTTGCCAAGCTTCTCCTTGTTCATACTGCTGAGCTTGGGATGGTAGAGGGCACGAATCCTTTGGACAATTGTAGGGAAGGTCTTGGCTGGGTATGGCGCCAAAGTGACTTGCAGCTCGTCGCAAGTTTGAGGGCATTTGAAGGTGTAGGGGAGGCCTTGCTCGTCACCCTTCTGAATCGCCGAAGCTTTTGTTGTCGAGTCGGCATCGAAAACGGGATTTCGGCTCTCTTCCTCGTTAAGCAGACCTTTGGTAAAGTCATCCTCCTCGTCCTCAGCTTCCTCATCGGGCCCCTCCTCCATATCTGATTCATCCTCACTGTCGAGTGGTTCCAAGTCCGAACCGCTAGCCACGAGATCATCGTCGATGACGAAATCATCTTCATCGTCAAAACCAAGCTCAGTAGCAGTAGGACGAGCTCGGATACCGTTGCCCAAGCCAAAATCCTCTTCTTCATCCAGGTCCATAGTATCATGCTCAGGCTTCTTACCCTTATTGTCGACCTCTTCATCCTCACTGTCGCTAACCGACTCTCCCCTCATGCGCTTCTGGCGTTTGTCTTCGAGCTCTTTGAGTCTTGTAGACTCTTCTTCAGCCTTCTCCTCCTCGGTCTTGGTGCGGTCGGCAGGTTGTGCCCTCTTATCCTGAGCTAATTTCTTTACTTGAAGATCAAAGTTCTTCTCAAAAGCGTCTCGGTCAACTCCAGCAATGGTGGGTTTTGCAGCTCCCTCGTTCTGAGGTTTGGCGCCTGGTCGGCTGTGATGCAGCATGTACTGGATGTTTTGCAGTTCCTTGTCGAGTTTCTCTCGGAGCTCTTCATCATCTTCCTTTGCAGCTTGTCGCTCGTACTTGTAGTGTTTGGACTTGGCGATAACTTCCTCCATTACCTCCTTCTTCGTCTTTTTTCGTTCCGGTTCATCATCTTCGCCATCGCTGCCCTGCGCTGCTAATGCACGAATACGCTTCAATCTCTGCTGTTCACGCACCGAGCCATCACTGTCGTAATCCTCTTCGAGATCGTCTTCTTTGAAATCGTCCATATCGTCGAAAGAAAGAGACTTGCCCATGTGCGTTAAGCCTTCTGAAGCATCGTCGTCTTCCAAGTCAAACATTGAGTTCTTCTTGTGACTTTTCTGTTTCTCTCGGGCAAATCGCTCAAGCATCTTCTCTTCGGGGGCCATTGTGGGATCGTTCTCACCGAATCGACGATCGAGAATTCCACCAACTTTGTTGCGACGTTGCATCTCGACTAGAAGGGTTTGTCGGCGCTTTCGTAACTGTTAGTTGATTCTTCATGGCAAACTGATTTGTGGTTATATCGAGGTCGACAAGGATTTCAGCAATAGACGTTGATGTGAACAGGTCGTGTCACCTCCACTGTCCCGACGATGCCTCGCGAATAGAATGTGAGAACTTACCCTCTCCTCGCTGGCTGCTTTGGCCTGACCTGGACGGCCCTTGATGCTGCCAGCAGTCAACGTAGGCCGGTTACTCGTAACTTCGAATTTTGGGCCCTTGGTATGCTTGAGATCGAAAGGATTGAATTGTTCACGAATCCCCTCCAATACCACTCCTCTCTGAAGTCGTTTATCATTTCGAGAGCGCTCATCCTGAGCATTGCGTCGTTTCTGCTTCTTCGATTGCTGAGGGCCGACAATTCCTTGCTCTTTGAGAGACGCCTTGAGGCGTTTGAGCTGGGAGCCGGCCATTGCGACTGATAATACTGCTGATGTGAAAGCTGCGCTGGTAATAGCAACTTTTAGTTTTTTTGCGATGGAAAAAAGTCTTATCGTTATCAAACTTCATGTGGGGCCCTCAGCGAAATTACGGGTAATCTAACCTTATTAGGATATGATAAAACGGTAAGCACTGGCAGAATGCCTTACGTCAGGAGTCCTGGGACAGCTATCAAGAACTCATTTATCAATACTTTAGCAAAGCATGAACTCAATCACCAGATTCAACCAAGATGGGATGGGCTGATGGCCTCCTAAATTTTGCTCGCGATGAGAGGGTTGTTCTTCTGACCTTAGGCCTTGCCACTTTTGGTGTAGTGAGTACTGTCTTCACTGCCCTCACCATCATAAGAGACGACAACGAAATTCCACCACCACAGCCAAAGACACAATACATCACTCAAGATACGGAAGACTCGTTGGAACTCGAAACACTTGAGAAGTTATTAGATCACCCAAATTATTCTATACGAGAAGTCGCGATCAAGATCCTTTGTGATCGGGCCGTTAACGATTCCGAGACAACTCACATATTGCTCTTCGGCATTACTCGACCAGATTATGATGAGAGGATGCGTTGTCTTCGGGCTTTGGCCCTACTTACTGGGCAGACTATCGGTAAGTTCTAGAAATGGAATCATAAGATATAACTGACATGTTCAGGGCTGGATGGACTTTCAAAGTTGAACAATCCCAAAGCCTACTCGGCTCTTGTCCGGTCTCTGGAGCTGAGTCTAGATGATACCGAGCGACCGAGTCTCACTGATAGCCATTGGGATGAGTATTATCTTCGCGACATGGCTGAGAGGTTCTGCTTAATGTTCATCCTGGAGCTCGCCAATAAGTACGGTGCCAGCATGCTAGTTAAGGCACGCTTTGTCGAAAAGTGGTTAGCAAAGCAGGAATGGGGCGATACCCCGGAAGAAAGGCGTCGAAGCTTCAGAGATTATATGGCACTCAAGACAAACAGGATTGTCGAGATTGTCGATCGAATCAAAGAATCAAGACGAGGCCTTAGGGCTCTGGAAAAGGCAGGGCTTATGGACAAGGAGAATTCCAGAAGGAGAATTCGGGAACTTCCAGATCTTATCATGGAGATCGAGGAGGAGGCAGGAAACTTACCACTTGTCGAACAGCAAGTGACACGAACGAGAGAACATTCAGCCGAAGAGCAACGGCTACGACGGCAACATCGAGAGGCGATGGTTCTTAACGATGGAACTCGGCCGCTGGCACGCGAGGATATTATCGAGAGAGAACATACATCCCCTGCATAGGATTAGTGAGGAAATGATACCCAGTATTGATACTACTACGACAAGTTTTAAGCAAAATATCTGTATGCCATTGAGCAACTGATGAGCCATGCCACGGCTGTCGACTACACAGTTACATCATTGTTCAAGCGAGTTTTTTTTTTTTTTTTTTAGTTTTTTTTGGTCCTTCTACTAATAGGCACTCTACCAGTATTTACACGACAACATGTTGCACTTATGTCACATAAATTGCTTCATTGAAGAACCACAAGGATTTTGCAAACAAAGATTCCAACTTCTCTGCCCGGTCTATGTAATTTCCCTCTATTCTCAGTCCTTATCGTGTCCCTACACTTCTTTCTTCACTTACCTACGGCTGAGGCGAAAGACAAGGAGCATGTAAGTATTCATATCATCTTCATCCTCCTCGTCCGATGTATATGCATATGCAGGTCCAGCCTGCCCACCAGTCTGTCCACACCCCTGTTCAGAGGCAGTTTCAAGAGCCTCCCCAGTTCAATCATCAAAAAAGCTAGCCTTCTCGAACAGTATATTTGCACGGTCGTCTGGGTCAGTTGAAGATTCAGATTCGCTGGGGACCGCCACTCTCTGGATCACGCAGGACAATCTCATCTCTCTACTACATAGCTCCTCGCGCAAGGCATTAACGTACCCATCATCGAGGGGAGGCAGAATCTCATTGTTATCAGCTGGCGTGCGAGCCAGTTGCTGTGCATCGAGAGGCAAATTCGGTATCATTTCGATACGATTAATCCAAAAGCCATAATCATCGCCCTTGCCTAGGAATACCAGAAAGACTCTCAGCACGTTCGTATCCATCTTACCCAGTACTGGACACTGCAGTACTGCAGGTACAAAATTCTGCCATGCCTGTGGTGAAGCTAGATCGGCAAACTGGAATAGAGAAACCATCAACTGACTCCACCGAAGAATCAGCTCAGGATCTAGAGTACCTTCGAGGTAGCGGAACTCAACAGCCCCTTTACACTCATCTTCAGAGCCTTCATCGATTTCATCGAAGGATTGGCACTTAGAGAGGCCTAAGCAAGACTTTGAGCCCATGCTAGGCGCTATAAGCTGTTTGAGCCGACGTAGAGTTTCGGCTGTCCATAGCTTCTTCAAAATGCCCAAGGTACGGCGGTCAGCGATTTTGTCGACAGGGATGTAGTGCTCGAAGTCAGCTGGAACATTCATTTCCGACCACTGGTTTGTATATGCTGGTTCCAGTACTGATGCTAGACTCGGCGCGTATCTTGAATTCCTTCTTCCGGGAAAACAAAGGCGGTAAACTATGTTCTCTACCAAACACATGAGGACAGAAACCTTACGCACGAGATGCAACGGTATAGGCCCAGTGCCTTTGCTAACATGAATATGGAAGCCACATGGTTTGCCCACTGTTAATCTGAAGTTGTTTCGCAGGATGGAGACCATATCCAGTACCTCCTCCCAGCACTCCGGCGTATCTCTAAGAACGCGACTGATAATTTCCAAGCCATTCAGCTCCTTGTAGCCTGCCCATTCAGGCATTCGGCGCAGCGATACATCGGTTCCAATGGTCCACGTCTGATATCGAGGATCGATATCGTCAACAGGCACCATGCCGTAGCTGAGGAGCTTGCTCTCCCAGAACTTCTGGTCGAAATACTCGTCCCACACTAGAGTCAACGGCCCTTTAGAATTGATAATTTCTTTCATTAGAGTAACTCTGTTGGGGAATCGCTCGGTACGGCTGAGTTCTCTGTCATCATCGGGATGAGGATCGGGCCGGCCATCTTGCGGGAGCAAGACTGGCATGTACATTTCGAGCTCAATACCAAAAGAGTAACTATTGTTTCTTGTGTCCTTTTGTGAATCTTCCCGTCCGTCGGTTCGGAGACCAGACTCTTCAAAATGCGAAGCGAGTGGATGTCTCAAAGACAAAATTGGAATCACAATGAGCTCCTCAGGGGCCTCAGCACTTTCAATGGGATGCCAATGTCTCAGATCTGGCACTTTGAGGTGTTTTGGTTTTGATTGAAAAGTTTGGACACCTGACCCAAGCCTTGCTCCTCAAGAAAGTCGAAAATTGTAGAGCCATATCTGAGATCGGGATATGATTCGTAAAAGAAGGTACCGGATTTGTCGAGACAGTGTTGAGTGAGCTTTACGCAGAAGATAGCCCAGAGAGAAGTCCAGCATATCAAGTGTTCCACAGTGTTGATTGAACTCGACAGCAACAGTTGACTTGTTGTCCACGAAACAATAAGCAGGTCTTGCGTAGGGGTGGTCTTCTGCCTCACCATAAATTGCTACATCCATGAGATGGATTAAATCTTGGACGGAGTTAGCACCGAGAATTCTGTGAACCCCATGGCTATACTTTGCTTCCCCCAGCTCTCCTGGATGGGGGAGAAGCTCCAGTGGGCGCCGGTTCGGCGAAAGGCGATTATTCCAGGGGTCCTCAACCTCAACTGCAGACAAAAGCTCAGCCTGGAGATCATTGGCATCGTCATTAACAAGATTAGTATACTGTAATCCTAGTGAATAAAGTGAGTTAGGCCCACAGTGAGCAGGATGAATATCATTCAACAGAGGGTCTACTAGCCAAAGCATGGATGCGATAGCGTTCATCGCACCCAGGCTGGAGAGATGCTTCGGTATAAATACTTTGACCACTAGGCGTGTCTCTGAGTTGGGAACAGTGAGGAACTTCTTGGTCACGATGTCCATGACTGTCTTTGAGTCCGCATCAGCGATAAAACTCTCAGGGCGGAAAAGGGGAGATTTCAGCTTAAGGCCGATCCATTCATACTGATTGCATTGGTATTGGTTAATGAGTCCATCGTATTCCACTGTCCAAGACTCGAGTTCATTCTTGACCTTTAAACCCCTCTGGTTGTTGGCCGTTGTGAGATTATTGGCATATAGGGCCGTCTCTAACTGATCTATAGCCCACTGTGCTCGAAGGAGATGGTCTCGAGATAGATGGCGGTGATCTTTCACGGTATTGGGATACCTGGAGTACCCAGTAGGAGGTAAAGGTAGTGGTTTGCATGGACGATTAGGAAACTCTCCGTGCGCAATATCAACTCTGTCACCGGGACTGCGGGAGACCGCAAGGAGAAAGCCAAGTTGCACTTGAAAGGTTATGGAAGTCATGGCGGCTTCTAAAAATTTACCTTGGTCTCCCTTTGTAAGGACTTTGCCAAGTGTGTTGTATTCGGTGAGGGAATTGTCGTCGTATCTCTTCGCAATTATCTCTCAGGATTGGGTACACAAATGGGGTTTAATGAGGGAAAGAATGATAAATTAGAATAACTGAGTATTATATAGTCGCAGCAGTAAGTTCCTACCAATCATGAAAATGGTCTTGTTTCTTACAAGCAGCAGCGGTGATCAGTTGCTTGTTCTCCAGCCACACCCAGAACATAAAGTACCTTGTTGAACAATGGCTGTTTGTTCTGGGTAGATGTACAGCTTGGGTCTTTGCTCAATGGTGAAGGCATTGTGGGATTTCACATTGGAGAATTCGAAAAGTGTCAACGCGTATTATTGGGTCAATATGCCATTTCATTATATTGAAGAACAACGTCACCCTGTGCGGATGCGTCTGGACTTAACCTACTCTTTTGTCTTCCCCTCATCTCTGGCGTTCTTGAGCTTCTTCAGAGGCTCCAGGCCAAATATGTCATCTGAGTTCAAGGGGTTTCGACTCTCAGTGACCTCGCCGAACAGGAAGGCATTCTTCTCACGACTAGCGCTATTCGACATTTTTTTCTTGTGCTGGGGCGGTGGTGACTTGTTAGACGCCGGGGACGCTTTTGAAGACCCTGATTCGTCTGGCTCCAGCATCCAGGAGAAAGACGACTGCGCCAATGTTGAACGAGTCGGGACAGGAGCTGGCCGTGACGGGGCCAATGAGTTTGCAGATTTGTCATTGTCGTGCGCGACTATATCCATATGATCAGGGCTAGAAGGGCCTACTGATTCGTTTTCGGGGGCTTTCTTCGATTCGGATATCTGGAGAGCCGAGATATCAACCTCTGTAGACGTCACTGACAGAGGCTCAGGCTGAATAATGGTTGTTTCAGCTACAGCCACTTCCTGTGGGCTGTCTTCAGGTGGTGGAGATTGCAAGACCGGGACTTCCATAGAAGAATCGTCCAAGTAAATCTTGACAAACTGCACCTTGGTCGCTGCAATCTCGATGAGCTCGAGGCTTTTAGCCTTGTCGTCGAGATTCGAGGCAGATATAGCTTTGAGGTTATCAACCGTCTCATCAAGCATGGCGGCAAGTTGCTGATTCCGCCTCTCTAGAGCCACCAGACTCCGAGCTGACTCTTGTTCGTTTACCAGGGCCTGCGGAGATCTAGGTGCAGACCTGGCCTCATTGAGATTTCTTTTAATCTCCCCCATGGCATCTCGTACGGCTTGGTTGATGCCCAGTTTCTCGCCTCTTTCATACACTCCTTTGGCTCCTTTGGCAGCTCCTTGAAACAAAGCCTCCATGCCACCCTGCTGTTGAAGGAAGCGTGAGGGGGACGATATTTGTGGTCTCGGACCCAGCCCTCTATGTTTAAAAGAGTTGAAACCACGGAAGCTCGGAGTGCCTGCTCGCGAGGTCTGTGGTGGTGAAGATAATGTCGGCATCTTTCCAGTGTATTTCATAATCAGCGATGAGCCTCCAGATGGGGAAAGGTGGTCCCTCAGGTACAGAGCATCATCGACGAATGTATGAGGACCGTGAGATCCTGATGGAGGGGGGTATTTGAGAAGTAACTGAAGGCAAACAGAATAATCGGCTTCTAATACTAAGTAGTGTGTTAGCTGGGAAGCACACTTTGCGCAGGTAACTTACAATCCCACCGAATTCTAATCAGCATAGCAACACAGATGAGATCTATAAGTTCTAATGTTGGATCGACAGCGAAAATAGTATCCCAAAGTACCAAAAACTGCTCAAGGGGGAATTCTCTGCTGAATAGTAGCCGAATCCACCGACTAGGTGTTCTGACGTCAGTGACGACTTCGGGATGGGTGCATGGTAAACACTGACATGAGAAAGATTTGTGGTAATATTTCAATGTTAGTTAGATGAGTAGCTAGTTCCGGGTCAATTTTCTGTAGGCAGACTTCGTGGATGAATTTGCTTCGTTCGACAATCGCAGAGCTTTGTTCTGCGAACTTGGGAGGTCGCAAAGAACTTCCTGGTGGTGTAATAACATCCTTGACCTCGTAAAATGATTGGGCACGTTCCATGAGTTTCGAGAACAGGATAAAGGCGTCATGCTCAATGAAAGAGTGGTCGAGAGTCTTGACAAGAGCATCATCCAAAGGAATATCTTCTGGCAAAGTCGTTGGATCCACGGCATCCTGCTCAATGACATGTAGGATAGGCGCGAGCAACTCGTGCATACCCTGCCGGTAGCCACCTCGCTCAGGGTTTAGTTTACAGTACATAAACAGGATATCCAAGATGATTGACTGGGTCTGGTCTTCATGGTATGATGCCTCGTCAGGAAGTCGCTGAACGTCTTGCTGGATCTCAGCACGAACAACCTCATCTTGACGAACCGTATTCCAAGGAGACTTTTGCATGTAAATCAGTTCACTGGTAACTTTCCGAATTTGGTCAGCCTTACACTGGGGTCCTCTGTCAAAGGATCGATGTTCAGTTCTGCAAGAGCCTCTGGGTGTTTTATATACTTGAGGAAGTGATCCCGTTTCTCGGCGTAGAGTTTTCTTTCATCGTCCAAAACTTGGGACCAGCTCAGCCCTTCGGCAGCAGTAGAAAGAAGAAAAGTCTTAGGTAAAGGCTTAGTGGACATCGGTCAACGGGCATAAGTTAACATACCTTCCAACAAAGAGAACGGCATCCTGATATGCATGGACTTGCGGGACCATTATACCGCACAGCACGTCGTAGATCACCAAGATGCGCACCTTGGGATTGTGTCTCACGCCATCTCGAACTACGTAGAGATGCTTTGGTCAGTCGAAGTATTATTTGTTGTCGCTAATAGGCGCAACGTACAGAGACTCTTGGAGAGGCCTCATGATACCAGACTGCACCACAAGAAGGGTATAAAGGCAATTTACCGGTGTCGCAAACAAGGCCTGAACTGGGAGTAACCACGTTGTGTGCAGACTACAGCACTGTAAAGTTGATGGCGGAGGATGGATAGAAACCTTGATTTAATAAGGTACCTAGCTAACGTATCAGCGCTTCAGGTTCAATTGGGTCTTCGTCTCAATAGCTCGGCCCCACTTCCTTACTATCTTGCCCTAGACTGCTTACACTGGACTCCGCTGCACCGGCCCTCACACTGCGGTACTGGGGATCCAATCACCCTGGGACGTTTGGCAGTTCAGGGGCTGACCGCCAAACAAATAGCATCATGTCACCACCACCTCCAACTAACCTTAGATCACGCTCAACTCACTTCTTTGACGTGCCTCTTTAAGCCTTATCACTACCCATATAAAGCGCACCCTGCGACCCGGAAGTAATGCATTATTAGGCGATACACTATGTCTGCAGATCTCTTTGCCGAGTTTAATAGTCTCTCAAATAACTCAACACCTGCTCCAGCTCAGCAGCAACAGCAACAGGCCACTCCTTTTCAAAATCAAGCTCAGCAGCAACCGAAACCTCCCCAACGCACAGGAACACAGGACCATTTTGGTCTTTTAGGCAACACTAGCAATGCCTCTCCAGTGAAACCCCAGCCATGGCCAGCCTTTGAACCTCAATCGAGTGCGCAGAACACATGGGGAAGTGTCTCATTACCGTCGAAGCCGACGGAGACAAATGACGACGATGATGGATGGGGAGATTTTGAAGTCGCTGAGCCTTCACAACCTCCATCAGTCAATGCGACTCCTGTTCAGACCCTGAGCCCTGTACCCTTTTCTGCATCAAGTCGGGGCTCAACCGCAAATGCAACTCCAGGCTCAGCAAACTCATCGTCCATACCATGGCCCAAGCCAGACCCAAGCTCAGCCGCAGCTGTAGCCCAACGAGTACCTGGAGTGAAACAGAAACCGCCGACTCGAGTTGTGAGAGCGTCGACCATGGACCTATTATCCAACAGTCTTGTCGATATAGGAGGAGCCTCAAAGCCCACCAGTGCCCCTAAAGCTCAGCCGTCTGGACCACAGTCACGGTTTACGCAAGAATGGGGACAGCCAACAGTTAATCAGGAACCGCAACAGCGGATGAAAGCGAAACTCAAGCCTTCGGCGCAGCAAGAGCCCAGTATACTATTTGATGCTGAAGACTTTGAACTTCAAGTTGCTGAAGGTGAAGATGATGATGATGACGATGATGAGTTTGGAGACTTCGAAAGTGTCCCTCCTCCAGCGGCGACGAAAATGGCCCCTGCAGTTATTGCCCCAGGACCAACACCAGCTCCTCCATCAATGGATCTTCTCTCGTTAGACGAACCAGCTCCCGCTCCCTTGCAAACAACAAAAAAACCACCGCCCACCAAACTTCTCGGATCTCTTGCTTTTGGTGCCACTGCTACGAATTATCCTCAGGCACCAAAATCACCATCCTTCCAGGATCGCAACCCTTTCCCAGAGTTAGCCATTAAAACACCAACTTCAGAAGAACCGAAACCGGTTAAGAAACCGAAGGAAGAAACACCCACCACAGCATGGCCATCCTTTGAAAGTCCGAAGGATACCAATCTTGCCAAAACCAAGTATCAAGATGATGAGTGGGATGCTTGGGATGATTTTACTGCCACCGATAATAAGAAAACAGATACCAGCACAGCAAAATCACCAGAGGGTTGGGGTTGGGACGCAGTCGATAATGTTCAACCATCACATAAAGAATCGGAGGATGATGCTCCTCCACCAATCAATGTCCCACCACCCTCGGTCATCCTATCTGTATTCCCTGATCTTCTCAACTCAGGTACAGCTTTCTTCAAGCCCATGTCAGGCCACAGCACATCAATCAAACAGCGAATCTTGTCAGATCCCAAAGCGACAGAATTCCTGCGTGGTTATATTCTTTTAGCAACAACTGCTGCCCGAGTTATTGCTGGCCGCAAACAACGATGGCATCGGGATAAGATTTTAGCAAAAAGCATGTCCATCTCAGCTGCGGGAAGCAAGGGTATGAAACTTGCAGGAGTTGACAAAACACAGGCTGCACGTGAGGACCGTGAGGCCGCTGATGTGGTCGCTGTATGGCGCCAGCAGGTTGGTCGCCTACGATCTGCAGTTGCTGCGGCCAAGTCTGTCGACAAGAATCTGTCACTTCAAGTCCCTGAGATTAGCGAGAACATGCAAGTGCATACAGCCAAGATGGTACCGACAGCACCAAAAGCTTGTATCATCTGCGGTCTGAAGAGAGACGAGAGAGTAGCCAAGGTAGATTACGAAGTGGAGGATAGCTTTGGAGAATGGTGGCTAGACCACTGGGGACACAAGGCGTGCAAGAACTTTTGGATAGAGCATGAGCAAAAGCTAAGACAACGATGAGAGGAGCCAATGCCCATAAGTAGCCGGAGTATCATTGGAAATTCTTGTCATTAACAGTCGATGCTTCCTCTTCATCGATGCGTCGCAAGGGCGATACGTGAGATCACTTGGCACGAGGTTACTCACGGCAGTACTTGCTTGCAAGTTCCAAGATGAATATGTACACTGCACGACAGGCGCTTGAGGTCATCAAGCGTGATACTTGTTGACTTTTGCAGCATTACTCCACCAACTGTGGACATCCAACAGCCAATCCCAGAGACAGGAGCTGCAGGCAGGTGATATAAAGTGTAAGAAGCATCACTTCATAAACCTTGTCACATTAAGTTCGTGCAGTTGAGCGATCCTGTGCGATGGAAAATTGAGGCATTGGCTATGGATTATCCGTACTGCAGAATAACAAGCGAGCCAGCACGTTGTTGACGGCCGTTGTACAGCTTTCAGGCTAGGGAATAATACCGCTAGAGCCAAAGGTGAAGAGATTGATGCCTAGGGAAGAATAAGATGATGTGACATGGTGGTCAAAGATACTAGTATTTCATCACTATCGGTGGCTGGTGTTTCAACATCGGACAAACTAAAGCTGCAGCTCTCTGTTGATTATCACGAAGAAATGTCCAATCAGGTTGTGAAACTTGACCTTTGATCTGCCATTGGGTTTTCTTCAACGCTGCATTACGGTGATATGATAGCCGGGATGCTCTCGCTCACGAAGATCCCCTCGTTACTTTATCCTTCCTGTCCTTGGCATCATTACTATGCATCTAGTATCAGCTCAATTAAGCGATCAATGGAACAATGCGGCGCTGATCAGTTGTGGGCGACTACAAAAGACAGAGAGTCAATGCTCATTCCGTGGCCCACTCCGGCCCGTGTGGGTGTGCTGAAAAACTCCCGAGTGACCAGGTTGCCAGGGAGTGTGGGCTTCGCAATTGGTGGGCAGAAGGGAAAGATGCCAGGAACTTGGGATGTTCGCTTGTTTTCCAGAGAGGATTAGTGGAATATGCCAAGAATCCTGACTTTCCACTGACATTGTGTGTGTGTAACAGCTATTGTAAAATCGAAGACAAACACACTTATTATCATGAGACCTGTCTAGCCTCGTTTCTAACAGTCAGTTCTGTTCGACATTATCAACGTGCATGCATATCTTTGACCTACCTATATTACCAAACGAGGAATGAAATCATTGCTTTAAAGCTCTCTTGCCCTAGCATCGAAGGGGGGAGGTTGAGCATTATCGTTACCGTTCGTGCCTGTCCCGTCCCGTCAGTTATGGCTACCAACGGCGGCGTTGTGGTACACAGGGACCCTCCCACTACTAATCCCGTCTCTCAGATACCTCTAGTACTTAGATACCCTCAACTGATTCTAGGTATTTGCTCCCCAATAACAAGAAGACTTTGAGAAATGATGAGCTCGTCTTCGACAGAACTAACAATGGATGGATATATGCCCACGAGAGAAGTGTTTCTTCCCTTAAGCTGGGGCCATGCATGGGTGTGAGTATCAAAGCTTCGGTACTTTCTTTCCAGGTATATCTTCCCCTCATCTACGTGACAATGTAACATAAAATATATAATGGTCTCAAAGGCAGAACTGATTAGAGTACTTGTTTCACAAGTGTCTTATCGCTTCTATGTTCCTTCCCCTCCAAGTGTTGCCTGTCTTACCCCACTCCACTTACGGGCCTGCTGCTGCCACAATAGACAAAGGCACTGCACCTCTTAGCTGCTTGGTCTTGGTTGGCAGGTACAACGGGAACAATCTTTCTGTGTGGTCACTCGTGGTGTTTAGCTGTCTTGGTTCTGGCCCTGGCCATTACCTTACCTTAGGTACAATACCTTACCCTTAGCTTAGGTACCTTAGCTAGCCCATGACTTCCATCTCTTTTTCCTCTTCTTCTATCCTCCACCCACTTACATCTCCTCTCTCTCTCACCTCACCTTTTCCTCGCCTTCACCACCTCTCTTCTTCCTTTCCTCTCTCTCCAACTTTCTCACCTTCCTCCCGCTCTCCTCACATCTCCCTCTTTCTGTCGTCGACTCTGCTTTCGACTACGATACATTACATCAGCTGTTGACGCACGCCTCCCGCGCATCGTAAGGTAGCCCACCCGCCCGCCGCCGCCGCCGCCGCTTTCGCAACCGGAGTGCTCGCGACCCTTGACCCCGCTATCCCGCTTCGCGTACACGACTGCAGAAAAAAACATACTGCACCACCTCCCCATCTTCCTACCCCCGCCTTCTCCAGCACACTTGGACGTCTTCGCATTTTCCACAGCATTGACGATAAGGTTAGTACATTCATTATATTTCCGTCTTGTCTCTCTTGGAGAGAGATTTTTTTCTTTATTGTCATGGAGACAGGTAGTTGTACATGCTGTTCTCCGCTGTTCTGAACATGCACTGCAAATGAGGGATGATCATTACACCCTTGACTTGCGCCTCCTGGACCGGTGACAATGAAAGAATATATCCTGACAGCATTATAGATCCGATCAGACATCCACCACCTTCGTCTGTTCGTCCCCCTTCAAACGATCCGCTTTCAACTCGAATTACGACTTCCTCTCCACACGTACCCCGACCTAACAACTGCAAAATGTCGGCACCTCAGGATTCTATTCCCGGCAACGGCAGCGACATCCTCGATCAGATGGATCAGCTTAGAATGGATGACCGCCTTGGCCCCGATGGCGAACCCGCCCCTAAGACGGACGAGGAGTATGCCCAGGCCCAGCTCACCCTTCGTGCGATTGTCTCTTCCAAGGAAGCCGGTGTCATTATTGGCAAGGGCGGCAAGAACGTTGCCGATCTCAGAGACGAGACTGGCGTCAAGGCCGGCGTCAGCAAAGTTGTGCAGGGTGTTCATGACCGTGTTCTGACCATCACCGGCGGTTGCGACGCTATTTCTCGAGCCTACGCGATTGTCGCTCGCGCTCTACTGGAAGGTGCCCCCGCTATGGGTATGGGAGGTGTAGTTCAAAGCAACGGTACTCATCGTACGTGATGGATTCTGCCAGAGGAAATCGAACTTCAGAATGCCCGCTAACTTGAGATTTAGCAATTAAGCTCCTCATCTCACACAACCAGATGGGAACCATCATTGGAAGACAAGGTCTGAAGATCAAGCACATTCAGGATGCTTCGGGAGTCCGTATGGTTGCCCAGAAGGAGATGCTCCCTCAATCTACTGAGAGAATAGTCGAAGTCCAGGGCACTCCCGAGGGCATTCAGCGCGCTATCTGGGAAATTTGCAAGTGCTTGGTTGATGATTGGCAACGAGGCACTGGCACCGTCCTCTACAACCCTGTTGTCCGTACTCAGCCTTCTGGCAGCGGAAACGCCAGCGGCGGTGCAGGATTCAGTCAAGGGTCTGGTAGAAGCGATTATGGTGGTAGCCCTCGTGTCATGCGAACAGGCAATGGCGCTGATTTCAGCAACGGTAGCTCAAGGCCGTACAACCGCCGGTCCGACTCTGACGCAGCCCTTCGAGGCCCGCCAACACACGATGAGAATGGTGAGGAGATCCAGACTCAAAACATCAGCATCCCCGCGGACATGGTTGGCTGCATCATTGGTCGTGCTGGTAGCAAGATTAGCGAGATTCGAAAGACATCTGGCGCCCGTATCTCTATTGCCAAGGTAAGCAATCTTCCCCTTCCCCTTCATTTTGAGCACGACTGAACATAGCTGATCGCGTGAACCATAGGCACCTCACGATGAGACTGGTGAGCGCATGTTTACCATCATGGGCACCGCCAAGGCCAACGAGTCGGCGCTGTTCCTCCTGTACGAGAATTTGGAGGCGGAGAAGATGCGCCGAAGTCAGCTCCAGGAGCCCGAGTAGGCGACTGATGTTTTTGAAACCCCTTTGAGTTTTGCTTTTCTCGTGTTCCTTGCGACTTGCAGAGGTCAGTTCTGGCAAGATGAGCTGGGACACGTCCAGATCTGACTTGCCGCGAGGCTTGTATTTTCATTTTCGGACGATACCAGACGACAGCGTCACGAGCGACCAATCCACTTGTCCAACATTTGACCCCATCCGCCCAAAAACGAAACCTTTCATCATCAGTCATCGTCATCAAATTCGTTTTCCTTTCATGATTCTTCCCCCTCTCGTTACCATTGCTACGCTACAGCACCACAGTCAGGGGTCAACTTGGGTTGATCTCGGCTCATACCTTACTTGTCCCCTGGTTGCCTCCTCTGAATCAATCACCCTCTTTGTGGCGCGATATATCGGTATCCAACTCTATAGCATATCATCTGTATCAGTTTGCTCAACCGACTTCTTGGCGAAAAGTAATTTGCCTTTTTGGGAGGAAACGGTTTCGTGGTTCGGTGCAGCAACGCATGGTACAGTTTTCTTTTTACGACTGTTAAACCACGTCGGGACAGCCTGACATGGCTATGGCTTAATGACACAACACTACCCCCGAAGAGCGGTTAACGATAGGGATAGCGCAACATTCCAAGGACCGAGAAGGGCACATCACGGTTCCTCAAAACAATCTCTACCCACGCTTCGCGTCACCTTCCCCCTCTCTTTCACCTCGCACAACTGTTTCTATCTCTTACAACCTCGGATCCCGACATCGTCACGCGACCCGCGACTCCCGTCTTATCGCTCACATAATTCCCATCACTCATCGCTCTCACACACCCCGTGACATCAACTATACTGGCTCACCCATTGTGTATTTTGCTCCTCGCTGACCCGTTTCCACGACAAGGTGACTCTTTATTCCATGTGGGATTTTAGAAAAGGCAGTCTTAGGTGGAACGTACTTAGCACGGACTCAAGAGCCATCAAATAAAATCGAAATTATGAGCAAAGCCAGTTTCTTGTCAAGTAAACACAGAAGTGAAGTCGCATGATTGTGGTGTTAGGCCGTAGGATGAATGCTACGCAGGTGTGGCTGAAGAAAGCCGCTCATAAATCCTTAAAATAGTCTGGTTCATGTAACTGTGGCTGGTTCCATTGCAGTGGGGCATCTTTGTCTCATGGTTAATTGATGAAGCCAACTTGTCAGTTTGGTCCATCATGGCAACTTGTGATTGATTAAATTAACCATTTTTCCGGTTCTCTGTTCGCTCTCTTTTTTCCTTAATCCTCTCCTTAGATTTGGCTTCTGGATTATTCACCATCTTTTCATTCGTTCACGCTTTCCTATATTTCCCCCTACAACAGTCCTGGGAATGGCACGCTCTAAGCAACCGGCTATCAAGCGCGAGGCATCCTCAGAATTCTTCAATAAGACGACCGCAACATGGGAGGATACTAATCAATCGCAAAAGGTCCCTTCCAATGGAAACATTGTGAGTAAGGCCGTGCCTTCATCTGCGCCTGCGCAAGAAGCTGGGCTCTTGCAGCTTGTCATCGCCGTCGCGGGAATCTATGCTTCATTGTAGGTTCAACCCCAACAGCTACCATGGCCAAACCGCTAATACAGTCGTCGCGGATAGCCTCACTTGGGCATATCTTCAAGAAAAGCTCACTACAAAGCCATATGGTCCTCCCGACGCCCCGGAAGTCTGGCACTTCCCCGTCTTCCTCAACACCATCCAATCCGTTTTCGCCGCCATCGTAGGCGCTGTCTATCTCTATGCCTCGACGCCCAGCAACACCGCCGTTCCTCCTATCATCCCCTCGCGCCGCATTCTCGGGCCCCTTGCGCTTGTCGCTGCCACGAGCAGCCTCGCTAGCCCCTTTGGCTACGCGTCTCTTGCACATATTGACTACATCACGTTCCTCCTTGCCAAGAGCTGCAAGTTGCTACCTGTCATGTTCCTTCACATCACTGTCTTTCGCCGCCGGTATCCGCTGTACAAGTATCTCGTGGTCTCGGCTGTGACTCTCGGCGTGGCTGTCTTCACACTGCACTCTGGAAAGAAGAAGGGCAGCAAGGTCCGACCTGACGATGCAAGCACAGCATGGGGCCTACTGTTGCTGGGTATCAACCTCCTTTTCGATGGCTTGACAAACAGCACACAAGATCATATCTTCCAGACATTCCGACCGTACTCGGGCCCTCAGATGATGTGCGCCAACAACATCATGAGCACTCTTGTCACGGGTGCCTACTTGATCGTCAGCCCGTGGTTGGTCGCTACAGGTCTCGGAGAGTGGTTTGGCATGGATGTCGCTGGTAACGCGGGCGAGCTCAAGGCCGCTTTGGACTTTATGGCTCGTTATCCCGCTGTCTGGAAAGATGTTCTCGGGTTCGCTGCGTGCGGTGCTGTCGGCCAAGTCTTTATCTGTAAGTCTCGACCTCCTCCATCAATATCCAAGGCTAATCATAACCAGTCTACACTCTGTCCACATTCTCATCAGTTCTTCTCGTCACTGTCACTGTAACACGCAAAATGTTCACCATGATACTATCTGTTCTCGCTTTCGGCCATCGTCTCACGCAGATGCAGTGGCTTGGCGTCGCGCTTGTGTTTGGCGGCATTGGCGTTGAGGCTGGCATTGCGCGACAGGAGAAGATGGCCAAGGAGGCTGCTAAGGCGCAGCAAAATGGCAAGAAGGAGCTGTAAATGCATCTCATTTATTTTCTTTATTGGTGAGCGATAGATTACAATAAGTATAGTGGCTCAATGGGGCATATCAGAAGGGAATAAGGAGTAAATCAAGTATGAAGGGCGTTTACAGGAGTTGGTTAAAACGATCCCAACCCCTCTCAGTAATTGCACACAAAATATCCCGAATGCGTCTGCGTTGGAAACGCAAACTTCATAGTCTTATCATATAATATGAGTGGGGGTCAATACGATGTATAATCCTTTTGATTACCACCTAGTACTATGTAAACCCTTCTTCTTCACACTGTCTTGCTGTACCAAGACCCCTTTTGCTTCCTGGAAAAAACGCCCTGGTGCTATAACCCAACACAGCAACTCGCATTTTCCTTAGCAATACCTGTACATACACAACCCCTTTCCTTGACTGGGTATTTGAGCCCTCCCCATGATTCCCCTTGGGGTGCCTGAAGCCATACGCCACTTCCGTTTTGTTGTCCAAAATGGACAAAGCGAGAACCAAAAATAAAACTGAGACAAGAATGACAAGACGGGATGTCTTTGTCTATATTACACTAGGTCATCGTGAAACCATCCGACGCCATGCGCTGTGCATTGCTGAAAGGAGAAAAAGCGAATGTTTGTTATGAGGAGGAAATAACGATTGGAGAAGACGGGTGACAAAGAAGATGTATTTGGTTATTTGCGTATCGTCGTGCGGAAGGTTGAGAGACCATCCGGGATCGAGGGTCGGATGGAGTGCAGTTATAACTCCACCCTGTTGCTAAAACGCCCTGAAATGCTGTGTTTCATATTGTAGAATAGCGAATGGGGTTTATAAAATGAAAACATAAGCGATAGTAATCGTCGTACTTCTTCCTTTGGAAGTTTGTTCGTTCGACTTGACAGCGAAACGCAAGGTTAAGCTTCATCATAAGAGATCATCAATTGATCGAATAATAGGTGCCTCGCCTTTTGTAGGTGGACTCCTGGGATCTGCAACGACCGGTGGTCTTCCGAAGGTTGAGAAAGGATCTCGAGGGAACATGCCCGCTCGAGGAGAAAACAAGCCCTGGCTCGGAGTTGGTGGGCTCTCAACAAATCGCATCCCCGCAACTTCATGGACGTCATGAAGCGGATTGTTGGTCATTGTCTCAGCTCTCGGTGATAACAGAGCATTATCATCTGGGTATGAACCAGGAAGAGTTATCGTTCTCTCCACTGGCACATCGCTACATCTCATTTCTGACGGCGCTGGATTGAACCGTGGGAATGTCATGGTCTGGAAACCAAGACTCGCTTGAGAAGGGAACCCAGGCGAAGGGGGAGGCTTCATGATCGAGTCCATCATGGGAGACGGGGCTAGAGTCGGTGGTGCCTTGCCCTGACTTGACACGGGCCTCGTAGGCAAGTCACCAAGTTTGAAAGGATCCAAATGTTCTGACGGGCGCTGCTCAACCTCGTCTTTCCAGGTGCAAGTAGGGGGGGCCGAAGCTGGGCCAGGTGAGACCGGTCGGGGCCCCGGTGTTGAGTTGCCGCGAAGTCGACTTGGGCTCAAATTTAAGTGCGACTCCTTCGAAGCTTCATTCTGTGTGGGAAGAGGAGCAGTCTGTGGCTCCTTAGCTCCAATGTCGATAGCATCGACAGAGAGTGTAATTCTGTGCTTTGAAGGGCTACGGCCAGGACGAGGGCGGTGTGAAGGTAGAGCTGTTCGCTTCGTTGACACTTCCTTCTGGAAATCCTGCAGCGAATACATGAGCTTCATATTTGGGCTGATCCATTGACTCTTAGCTTGAGCTGCGTAGTAAGCATCGTTCACGGTGAGATGCGGTTTCTGGAACAGGCCATAGGCAATGATCAAACTGGCAGATCGGCTCGCGCCCTGCTGACAATGGACAAGCACACGTTTGCCAGCTTTTGTCCTCTTATCAATGACATCGCATAAATCCATCAGATCCGGCGCAATATCGGTATTGTGGTCCCAAGGAATGTGGATGTATTCAGGCTCTTTGAATTGGAAGGCCTTTGGTGTTGTGGGTGTGTCAGCCGAGTCCTCCTGGGGATATTCCCAGGCTGTCATAAAGCTGGCTGTGGACACAGCAGTATCAGGGATAGGGCTTTCAATTCCAGAAACAGGGCGTCGCATAGACTGGAATGGTGATTGCGACTGTGATTGACGGGCCACTTTGCGGATATCAAAGGGGTTGCTGACTTCTCGGGCGCAATTGATGACTACGTCAAAACGCGATGCTTCATCAGCCGTGGGCTCCGAGTAGAGGAAAACATTGTCTCCATAGATAGCAATTGGGCCGTCGGGGTAGCCTGGTGTCTTCATGTCCTCGTTGTTCTCGTTGTCGCGATAAGGGTCGTCATCTCGAATGGCCATCTGAGTACGAATAGGCGAATCTTCCTCAGTAATCGCAGAATGGAAAGATGGTTTCATACTCGACTTTGTGGGTCGCAATACTTCTGAAAGTCCAGATTCGTTTCTTTCCAATACCTTGGGGAAAGTCATACCGCCAGGTGGACCAAAGGTTGCGGACTTTAGACCGGAAGACATGTGAGGTGATGAGCAAGAATGCTTAAGAGCTCGGCGCTGGAGCATCGGCATGGCTGGTGAAGGGGGGACCTCCAGGGTGGTCTTATGGATCAAATCAGAAGTGTTGGTCTTGAGGCTTAGCTGGCTAGGCTTTCTTCTCATAGCAGGAATCATGGGTTTGATAAATGAGGGAGAAGAAGGCTCGGAGACCAGCGAAATATTTGTCGTTGAAGTCGAGGCAGCGAATGGGGGCTGAATAGACAGGCCCTTCATGTTGCGCCCTCTTCGAGGCGAGGGTGATGTCATGGGTCGCTGCAGTCGAGGAGGCTCACTCAACAGAGTAGTGGTGGTTGTGCTGCTAAGATTGGTAGAAAGATTGCCAAAGCTCGTGGCCGGATAGTTGTTGAGTGGGATAAGATTCATAGGAGAATCGGGAGAAGATGAGGGAGAAGCATCTGAGAGGGGCGAAGAGTCGGTTGTAGACAAGGTCGTTGTGGGTGAAGAGTCTGCTGACTCGGAAGTCTGTGTCGATGTGCTATCGTGATGCTTGTGTGTTGGGTCGACAGGCATCATGCTAGGACCAAGACCATGCTGAGGAGGAGCACCCATCATGCCAGGTCGCTTTGGTTCCATGTCGACGAATTTGGTGTCCACGAGTGTGACAGTATCCTGATCTGCCATTGTCTCGGCATCCAGATCAAACACTGTCATAAATGGCGGTATTTGATCTTCGTACACTCTTCTGTCTGTAACTGAAGGCATGTTTCGGTATCCGCTTGGCGATCTAGTGAGTCAAGTCTACTCCAGTACGTGGAGTGAGTCGAAGCAGATGCTGAGGGACAATTACAGTCTCGTCTGCGTATCGGGTATAATTCGAGTATTTGCTCAAGGCGTTGAAACACCAGTTGGCTTCCACCTGGGATGAATATGGTCGAAATTATGTGAATATGTGCAAAGATTTGCAAATTGGCCGGCAAGAAATAAATAGTCCGGCAAGAGAAACGAATGGTTTCGCGGGTCGCGGTGCGATCGAGAGCAGGTCAAGTCGGTCGTTCGATGGGTCAGCGCAGCTGATCTTGTCGCTGAGCGTGCCAGTAGTGAGTGGGCAGTGCTCAGTAAACGCACGCAAGTAGCTCGACTTGTAAATGAGAGAAACAAGCCTCGCGGTGAACAATGGTCTTTGAGGGAAAAATGAGGTTCTTGCTCAAAAACAGATCGCAACTTGGGCGGTAGAAGCAATCGAGAAAGGAGCTACTGCTACTGTCGAGTCTAGCGGGTAGCAGGGAGAATAGTCCAAGGAACGAGCCCAGAGAACTTATGAGACAAAGAACAGGCGCTTCGGCGATAGGTAGCGGCAGGGCAGGGCTGCGAGTGGCGCTGTCAGAGTCGCGAGATCATTATTTCCCTTTATGAGGGAGACCGAGTCGTCGTTCGAGAGAAGGTGTTATACCAGACCGGAGCGTGGTGGTCTGAGGTGAAGTAGAGGGTAAAGGGAAGGGCGAAGAGAAGAAGATTGTAATTGAAGATCGAAGTGACAAGAGGAAGTGAGAGAAAGATGAGAGGAAGAGTAACGAGTTGGAGGGGAGTGTGAGACAGAGCGAGAACGTCTTGGGATTGGATTGGATTGAGTTTAGCTCTGGGGGAGAACTGGTTGAGGGGTGTGAGTTGCAAGCAGGCGCTACTTGAAGACAGTGTCTTCCCAGGATATTCCATACGGTACCGGTTTTAGAGTGCCTCTCATGGGAGCCCAGAGCAGTCAGCTGCCTGGTGGAGGCTCAGTGCCCTGTAAAACGGAACCGAGCGCTGGCGACATAGCAACGGCGGTATCTCAAACAGTTATCGAAGTATCCAGTCCAATCCGATCCGGCAGCAACTAATTCAAGACCTCAAGTTTTCAACAGCACACGGCGGTATAGAAAATAAAAATAAAAATTAAAAGTGTTTTGTTTTCGTGGTATGAAACAAATATCCGCCCGCAGCAGGCGAGCACCTACGCATGCGCTGTGTTGCTTGCTGGCGGCTGTGGCCATAGTATAAGTCAACTAATGTAATGTAATGTCATGTCTAGCATGCTGCACAAGACGAGAAGAGACCTGAACTGGAAGCCCTCCGCAGCGCAAGGAAACGTGACATGGCAAGGCCCTGCAATGGCACAAGAAGCAAGAATAGTATACGAAACATGCACTGGGGTTGACGATGCTTGGAACCAGTTTCGGTAAAGGTTATTGACCATACCGTTATGTTGAATCTACCGTATTTACTCAAAATCTTCTCTCATGAGTATTGAGATTAATATTGTCATCTTGACTGGCTGAATCTAAGCCCTGCTTCATATGTCACTCCCTTGCCAATATATGGCTACAACAACCATGAACTACTGCGTCGGACGGTGTCCAATGGGAGGGAAACATTCGAATTGTAATAGTCGACCTAGAACAACGATTTTCAGGTCAAGGCCGTCTGCAAGACCCAACTGAACTGGATTCAATGAGCAATCAATCAATCTTACGGATCGATCTCCAACTCTCGCTTCTCTTTCTGGGCTCCTCTCTCGCTTCTCTTTCTGGGCTCCTCTCTCGCTTTCACTCAGAGGATGAGCAAAAATGGGGCGAGCAGCTCAAGGGCGCTATAATGAACCACTCACAGCTCCCCTTCTCCGTTCCAAGTAAGCCACGGCCGTAGAGTCTGCTTTGTGAGTGGAGGGTTCGCTGCACGAAACGCGTTCGGGATCCTAAATATAGACCTCGTGCAGCATTCTGCAGCATGGAAGGCGCCTACAGCCAGCCAATCATGTCCCCGTAGTCCAATTTTGGGACTAGAGAATTGCAGAACAGGGGGGAGGCGGGGTGTGAAGTTGAGACGCCAGGACAGGGTGGAGGGTTTAAATTTAACCCACAGGTGGGGAGGTACCTCCTCTTCAGCAGTTCAAGCTACACTGTGCTGACGAGAGCGTTTGGGTTGCTTGTTCATGTGCAAATGCGGTGCAGTCGAATGGGTAATAGGTAATTTGCTGAAGGATAATGGGGCCATCTGAGATCTTGACGGGATTAGGAAACGATGGGCAAAGAAGAAGACAATCGAGCTAGTCAGCGATGTGTCAGTCAATCAGGAGTTGAAGACAAGAACAGACTTTCAAGATTCCAACGTTTGTGTACACATGCACATCATACCCTTTTGTCATCCAACCTCCTCAACTCAATTCCAAACTACCTACGTACCTTACCATACCTTAGTATAAGCTTCTATCCTCCAACCTCCTGTTATGTAGGGCTGCAGCTCTTCATATCGTCTCATAACTGGCTGAATTATAGTATGATTAAACCTATTTAGATAAATCATACATAATTCTTTGGCACTTATCGTCTCAACTCTGCTGGTGCACGCCACTTCGTAACGCCGCCGCCAGTCCAAGGAAAGGCAAAAAGCCTGGCCGTACCCCGGCCCGTTGGCCGTGATTCAGCCATCTGCTGGCGTCACAGGCGGACAAGGGACCTTCTGTAACCTCCAACATCTAACCTCACTGCAACTGTAAGAGATAGGCGGCTCAGTGCAGAGACGGGGGCAAAGGGGTACCCCCGGTTCCTCCACCGTCAACTAACGTTACTGCGCCTGTTGCCGTACAGGACCGGCCCAGCCTGGCTACCTGGGTCCTGGGAAGAAGTGCACTGGCTGCGGTCTGGCTATGGCTACGGTGTTCGCTGGCCGGGCAGCAGAGTGTCATACAAATTGGATACGATATCGATCGAAACGCGACAACCAAATACTCGGCTCGGTGGCCGTCGGAGTTGAGCTGTCTGGTCTCGTGGCTTAGCCTCGGTTGGTTTGCGCCACTGCGGCGTCTGCAGTTGTAGGAGATATTTCTATTCTTGACGAACAACACGTACGTCAACCTATGAAGAGGCCAACTTGAATGGATAGTAAGAGGGGCTTTCAAGAAGTGAAGCTGACATCCTAGGCAAGGACTATTGATGTTAAACTGGTGGAGACTTCAAAAGAGATTGACGACTTTGACTCAAGATGGGTTATAATACGAAGATTTATTTTTATCCAGCTGAGAACCACATCACATCCAATATTGCAATAAGTCAAGTTTCTTTTTGCCACTGTCAATGGTTCAAGCAAGTACCTTAGCAACTAGGTAGGTAGTTAGTTCATGAGAAATTAAAAGCTGTGTCGGAGATATTTCCCGTCGGTATGCAAAAGAAGCAGATCCAAGCTCTTCATCCATCTCCATTCATCCACAGCAAGTTCAGCCACCAATATAATCCAACCATGTTCAGAAACAGACTGGGCCGCACTTTTCCTCCTTAGCCTCCTCTGACGGCAGATCGAAAGGCGCCAAGCTACAACAAGAGTGGCTCACAGTCTGAACCCCTGGTCTAGGGAATGAAAAAGCGGGAAAATCTTGAGGGGCTCCATCGAGTTTCAGCTTTTTCTAACGCTCGCTCATGAGCAAGTGAGTGACCACCTACCAGATGCAGTCAGAGGAAGGCCAAGGAGAAGGAAATTTCAGACCGCACAGTGAAGAGAGAAGATTGGCTGCATCGGCTATTGGCTACTGCACGTCAAATTGCCTGGACCACATGGATCCAATCTCCAATGACATCCAATATCGAGTTGAGTCCCTTTTTTTAGCTTGCGCGCTTGTTCTTCCAAAACTCGTGGCCTTCTACGCTAGACGTTGATCAGCAATCTACTGTATGTCCCTTATTATTATTATTCCTGCAGGGTTCGTTCAATACAGTACCATCAATCATCTCCTGCCCTTTGGGACATCGCCTGTGGGAGACAAAAGAAGATTCGAACCGTTCCTTTAATGAGGCGAGGTGTATGGTTCACCTGAATGCTGCAGCGTAAGGTACGTTCTGTACTGTACAGGGCTGTTTTGTCTCCTGGGAACCATAGTCTACTTCCTCGCCGCTAAAACTACACCTTCACAGGACCCAAAAATAAGACGGGTCTTGATCTGAAACGAGACTCTCCATTACAGGGTCACTTCGCCCTCGACTACGCAACTCTCGATCATCATCAACATCATCATCAACATCATCCCGCAAATCTTTCTCCTATCCCCTGACTCCTGAGATCCAGGCGCTGGGACTTGGACGTGGAATTGGGGCTCAATGTTACAATCCATGAGTGCCCTCAAGGCTCGGCAAAGCTGCAGAATAGATATCTCTTTCTTCTATAACAAGTTTGTGTAATTCAGACCCAAGCTTGAGCTAGCCCTTCCCAGTAGTGTTTCTAAGATTTCAACCAAGTTTACTATAAGTCAATTGTACGGTACAAAGTCGTTCTCATGTTGTTATACTACCTTTAGACTGCATAGCCGCAACTGCGCTTGTTTCGAGTCTATGGCTGTGCTGTATTGTGTTGCCGCCGGTTCAATATCTACCCAGTCACAGAATTCCTATGCTGCAACTCGCTCGCCTGTGAGTCTCGGGCACAGTAAATTTGAGACGAAAATCACATATCTCCAGGGCAACCCTTAATTCTCGTCCTTGTATCACGTGTGGCTAATCGATAACTTGAAACTGAGGCTCCTGTAACATTGGTAGGGATCTGTGATATAGAATTGGCCTGTTGCTCTATTATCTACACCGTAGTTTCTCTTTCAAAAGATACTCATATGAAGGGAGGTCTCAGTTGAATGCTGTTGATAGCCTCGGTCCTCGGTCGTGTCTCGACCGACTCGCACGTACATAATACCGAATGCTGGTAACTTAATACATGGGAGCTGCCTCTACGCACTGTAACTAACA